AAAAATAATTTTTTTAATAATTTTAATTAAAAACTTGGAAAATAATTGAATTAAACAAAGAATTTTTTCAATTTTTAAAAATAATCTTGTCTGTTCAGAATTGTAATTAAAATTTTAATTATTCAATTTTATTTAAATTGTATTGATAGTAATTGAATTTTTGCGCAAAAGAATTTTACTATTTATAAAAGTAATTGAATCCTTCCAAACAATGTTATTATTTATAAAAGTAATTAAATTCTTATACAAGAATTTTATTAAAATTTTTTAAAATAATAAGCAGTAATTATTAATTATGTACTTAATAAGTAGTAAAAATTTCATTTGCTCCAGAAATAAATAAAATAAATATCATTTATTTCAACATTCGGAAATTTTAAATTATGAAAATTTAAGAGAAGTTCAATAATTGTAATTATTGAATAATAATAAAATAATATAATTTTTAAAAGCAAAAAATTGATTTAAAACTTTAAGAGAGACTTTATATTTTAAAAATAAAATTATAATTATACGGTGATAAACTATTTCTTTGATTATAAATTCGAAAGATTTAAATAAAATTCTTTAAAAGAATTCAATTATTTTTAATAGAATATAAAGAAATTTCAATTATTTGTTTATAAAAATTTAATTATTTTGAAACAAAAGAATTAAAAATTTCAAAAATCTTATTTTGCAGAATTTTTAAAAAAAACTTTGCGAAAATTCAATTTTTTTAAAAATATTTCAAGTGTGTATCTTTTTTTAAATTAACTAATAAAAATTTTAATTATTAATCTTTGCGCTAATAAACATGATTACATTAGAATGTGACTCTTATAAAATTCAATTATTAAATTAAAATACTCTCAAAATACGATTTGTAACCTCAATATTTTTCAAACAATGATTTACTTTCCAAAATTCAAACAAAATAAATTTAGCAAAAATTAATAAAATTTAAGGTTACTTAGGAACGATTAAATATGATGCAAAAGGGTGGACGCCAGTCCTAAAAGGACACTCAACAAAATTCACAAAAAGGACAAAACAGATTTCTAAATAATCCCGAATAAACAAAGGCCACCAGGCTAATTACCGGCAATTATTTAAATTAAATTAAATTTATTTATTATCGACACACGAGGCCACCAGGCTAAGTGTCAATCAATAAACAAATACACAACAAAAAGACAAAAACCTTTTGAGACAAACTAATTATCAATACACAAAGGCTACCAAGCTAAGTATTAATAATTTTTGTATTTATCTCAAAAGAAACAGAATCAAAATTAAGACACCAATTTAATCTTCCCAAAATATGTCCAAGCTAGCTACAGTCCCATAACTGGAAAATAAATAGTCATTTTGACAATAATCGCTAATTTTGAGGTTAGACAATAACAAAATTGATGTGATTCTATATAATTTCAAAATTAATTATCGAAACATTTAAATTAAACAAACTGAAAATTAAGCAAATATTAAACTTATTCTAAAATAGAATAAGGATTCTTTTTCAATTCGAGATATATAGGATGGACAATATGATTGAAATTATAATCTTGACTTTTAGTCAGATCAATGGAAAGAATTAATAAACGAATGATATCTCAATTAAAGATTTGAATCATTAAATTAAAATAAAAATAAAAAAAATAAGACATTATTCAGTCTCGAAAATCAAGAAAATAGAATTAAATTTTGAGATATCATACATAAAATAGAAATTAAATTTGTACCAGAAAATATAAATTCACTGCCAACGAATTTCCAAATTGATAACTCCTCTCGAGATTCCCCAATGGTTTTGACTTAATTCTCCAAATTATTCAAAATTAATTAGATTCTTTAAAAAGAAAAGAAATGACAAAAAAATAGATAATGACAAAAAGACGAACTGTCTTCCACGATTTCACAGAAAAGAATGAATAAAAATGGCGTTTTTTGTTTATCACCTAGGAAATTCGTTGCCAACATAAAAAAATGAAAGTCACATAACAAAACTAGATTCATGCGACATTAAAACGAATTGTGATTGGTTAATCCAGGAATCTTCTAATTTTCTCACGCTGATTGGTTGGTCCGAAATTTAAATCTTCTTAAAATGAATTCTTCAATAAAAATACGGGATTCTTGTTATTCTTCATTAATAAATTAATTCGAAAGGAATTATTTTGACGCAAGATGGTAAATTATCAAATCCTCTTCCATATAAAATTAAACGTGGTGAATATCAATTGTTGTAATCCCAGAAGACTAAGCGACACTTATGCACGAAGACTGGACAACTGAATATCTCCCGATCCCAAACTTACATTGATACAGGAACGTGAAAATTATGTGGTTCAATTAGAGTTTCGAGCAAAGCTCTCAAAATATGATAAAGCCTTCCAAGGACAGAAAATTGTTAAGTATTTCTCCAGGAAACGAAGTCGATCTTCAAATTTAGAGTAGTAAAAACAATAATATTGAGTGGCATCTTAAAAAGATCCAAATCCAAGGGTACGTCAGAAGAATGAGGCTCACAACAATCAGAAAATCCAATAATTCCAAAAAGATAGGTTATGTTTTGACCAGCGGGAAAATCCAAAAAGATGTAATTTTGACAAAAATAGATGAATTGAAATAATAATCGGAAAGTTTCTTGAGATCTTCAAACTTCTTATCTTCAGGCGATAGACTCGACAATTACAGATAACATTTTTACATGAAACGAAAGAAAGGATAACAATAATTAATTTCTAAATTTGGGTTTTAATTTAATTTTGTCCTATATCTCGAATTGTTGTGAAATCATGGAGTAATTTTTTTTTAACACGAATAAATAAAATTTTGAATGATAGAAGCGCGAAATAACTTTTTATATGAAACTTTGTGAATTGTAAAATAATAAATTTTACAACGTCACAGATTGGTTATAAAAATTTTCTGTTTCAAATGAAATTCTTTAACAAATTTAAATATTTTCAGTTATAAAATGTTTCGCCTGTCTTTAGGCAACAAATTTTTTGTAATAGTAAAATAATAATAAAACAACTTTTTTGTAATTCGATAGTTCATTAAAAAAAAAAAAATGTTGCGCCTGATATTAGGCTACCTGTTGCTCTTTGTTGTTATTAGAAATTTGGTTTTAAGGGGTTAGATGGGTCAAAACGTCCAGCGCAATAATGTATAATTTTTTAATTATTTTTTTTATTTTTTTGTACACAAAGATATCTAAAAGTACACTATAGAATAATTAAGTTATCAAATTTTTGTTAAAAAATAAAATAAGAGAACATTTTACTTAAAACTATAAATTTTTTTAAAACTATAAAACATGAAGATATCGATAACTCCGAGTCTTCGACTTGGAAGAATCAATTACTTCATGTTTTATAATAATTACAGATGACCGAGTGATGAAATCATTATCAATAATTCATTTATTATTTTCAAGAATGTTTAACTAAAATTTTTCTTTAAATCAATTATTTATATTATAAATAATTGATTTGAAAAAGTTCTTTGACAATTTTCAAATCCATTTGTTTACAACATTCAATTTTACGAAATTTCAATTATTCGTAAATTCTTAGATTCTTTTATTCTTCAAATAAAATCTTAAAATAATATAAAAAAAATTCAATTAAACTTTTTCAAAAAAATTAATTTCAAAATTCAATTATTTCTAAAAATTCACGCTATACATTATTGCTTTTAATATTCAATTATTATCTAAAATTTTAACTGAAATTCATTTTTAAATCAAATTTTATTAAAAAATTCTACTAAAATTCAATTATTTAAATACAAAAATAAATAGTGTATTGAATAATTAAATGTTTCTTAAAATTCAATTCCCATAAAGAATTTTACCAACGAATTTTTAAATAATTGAATTCTTTCGACGAATTTTAATATAATTTTTAAGAATAATTGCATATTTCGAGAAATTTGATGAAAATTTTATGAAAAATAATTTAAATTCTGCGATGAGTTTTATTATTTGTGAAAGTAATTGAATCCCTAAGAAGAATTTCATTATTCTTGAACAATATTTAATTTTTGCGAAAAATATTAATACTCTTGAAAATAATTGGATTTTTGCAATAATATGTAACTTTTCCAAAATTCCACGAGAATTAAATTATAAAAAAACAAAATTAATAAATAATTTATTGAATAATTGAATGTTTCTTAAAGTTGAATTCCCATAAAGAATTTTATTAATAAATTTTTAAATAATTGAATTCTTTTGACGAATTTTAATAAATTTTTTAAGAATAATAAAATTTTTGAGGAATTTGATTAAAATTGTATTTAAAATAATTGAAATTCTGCAATGAGTTTTATTATTTATGAAAATAATTGAATAAAGAATTTTATTATTTACGAAAATAATTGAATCCCTGAAAATATTTTATTATTTATGAATAATTGAATGATTGCGAAGAAATTTATAAAAAAAATGTGTAAATAAGTAAATTTCTGTTAAATTTTTATTATTTTATGAAAATAATTAAAGGTTTGCGTAGAATTTTATTAAATTTTTTTTTAAATAATTGAATTCTTTTGGAAAATTTTATTAAAATAGAAGAGCCCTGCACTTTGTTGTAATTAGAAAGTTGACTAAAAAAAATTGTTGCGCCTGTCGTTAGGCTACAAGTTACATTTTGTTGTGATTAAAAACTTGATTTGAAAAAAATTGTTCCACTTTTATTTACAATTATTAGAAACTTAATTTTTAAAAAATAGGAACTTTGCCCCTGACGTTAGGCTATCAGTTACACTTTGTTGCAATTAAAAAGTTACAGATTTTAAAAATGCGCCTAACGTTAGGCTAAATTAATAATTAACTGCATTCTTTAGTAATTTCAATAACTTACGTACTTTAAATTAATTTTACAATAGTTTTGAACTAATCAATTAATTTTAACTAAAACTTTATTATATCAAAATAAATTTCTCTTGATGGTAACAGACTGTTATTACCATCAGTAGATGGTGACGAGTTAGTTGAGATCAACTGGTGGCGCTTTGAATTATTTTTTTTCCTTTAAAAAATAGGTTATAACGAAAAGTTGTTTACAATATTTACTATTGTTTGTATTTATACGCCGTTGAAAATTCATTTTTTATCCAAAAATTGGTAAATGTAGCCACTTAAGTATTTGTGTACTTTAAAAATAGAAAATGCTTAATCAAGGCAATCAAAATAATACTATTCTTCACGACACTTACGTGCAACCACTCTTAACACGAGTTTTAGAAACCCAAAGATTTGGTAAGTCTTATTTTTTTAATTTACTGTTGAAATAAAAGTTTTGTTACTTAAACTGTTTGAGTTTCTTTATACAGTTTACTTGCGTTAATTCATTGCACCTCTAGTGTATATTGTATATATAGACTACATTGACACAGTTTTCAAAGGTCGGAAAATCAATATTGAAAATAATAGAGAGAACTGTGTTTTTATGTTTAAAAGTTAATTACCTTAGAGTAGTATGTAAATATTTCACCAAAATTTCTGTTCTTTCATGCTTTTCATTTACGATTGATAGTAGAACTGTTATATTCCTCCATCAGAATAAGAGAATAAAATATGAAATTTATTATGTATGGATACTTACCGGTTCATGTCGTTGAACTCAATGGAATTGCTGAAAATGTTAACATTGCATTTTGACTTCAGGTGCTTGCAGACGTCCAATAATAGTGCATGAATTAAAATCCAAAGATGGATTTAATTATGACTGCATCGATTTGGTCGTGCCTTATGCAGATATAAATTTAAAATGGACTATACTTTTTGATTCGGAATTTCCAGAGTTGGGTCCGGATTTCATCTTCAACGATGATTTTCTTTTGAATCCCGATGCAAATAGTTTAATAGAAAATGTTCCTAGTTTAAACACTTGGAATTACTGCGACAGTAATTCATTGCTCCTCGTTTTAAAGGAACTCTTGACGTACTACAAAAAAAAGCAGGTATTCAAACAAAATCGTATTTTATATTTATTAAACAACAAATCAGGCATCACAGTTGGTCCCCTTATTTCAATTTTATCCCCTTTTTCACCTTTTTTGTTGATTTATCACCTTTTTCCCCTTTTTTGCTGATTTGTCCTCTTTTTCACCTTTTTCTAATAAAAAATAAACAAGTTTTTCTTTTTTTGAAATCTTTTTCAAAGTGTAATCATAAAATTTAGACTCAATGTTATAGAATTCAGTACGTTTTATTTTTGATTCAGATTATTAACACCGCAACATAATATAAATGTGTTTTTTTACGTTAATGATTTAAATAATATAATGTAAAAAATTTCATAAATAATAAGGTGGTTCATTCAACAGAATGCAGACCTCTAGAAAAATAATTAATTAATATTCAAATAATTAAAATATTATTAATAGTTTTTTCTAAAAAAAACAAAAATTCTAATACAAAACCTTCAATTTTTTCCATTTCTGACAATAATTTCTTTTTAAATAACTTAATTCTTGAAGAACTATCATAAAATTATAACTTAGAAATTATTTAATGAACAATTGTATTTATACATTTCAAAATTAATTGAATTTTAAAATAGTTTCGTTTATAATTTTCATAAATAGATGAACTTGAGAAGATTTTAATTTCAAATTTTATAAAATTTCAATTTTTAATGAATTTTTATAGAAATTCTAAAGAACTTAAATTTTAGCAAAAATTTTCGAAATTTAAATTATTCTGAAATTAGTTAAATTTTTTAATAGGTAGAATTTATTTTAATATTTTGAGAATAATTGAATTATTTTTAGACAATTTTAAATTCCTGTTGAAATTGAATTTTATGGAAATTTTTAAAATAATTAAATTCTTTCGTGTAATTTTATTTAAATTGGATTAAAAATAGTTGAATTGTTTCGAAGAATTTATTAAAATTTTAGGAAAATTTTCAATTAAAATTGTTTTGAAAATAGTTCAATTCCTATAAAGAATTTTATTATAAAAAATAATTGAATATTGTTTCGATGGATTTATTAAATTTTAGAAAATAATTAAACTCTTTTGAAAAATTTTATAACGAATTAAGAAATAAATTAAATCCTTCTGAAGAATTTAATTATTTTCATAAATAATAAAATTCTTCACTGGAATTCTATTAATTTTGAAAAAATTTTTGATGGAATTTCTCAAAAGAATTGAATTCTTTTAAAAAATTTGAATAAAATTTTTCCGAGGAATTCAATAATTTTTATAAAATAATTCCCAAGAATTAAATTATTTTAAATTAAAAGTGATAAAAGTTCCAAAGTTATAATATTAGGAAAATTTTTATAAAATACTATTAAACGAATAATAATTTTTAATAAATTAATAAAATATGTATTTAATTTGATTAAACAGATTGAATTGATAAAAAATCGCTGTCAAAGGAGGCTGTCATTTGAATATGAAGAATTAATAAAAATTGTTAAGGAGGAGAATGTAGAAGTGATAATTATGAATAATGGACTGAAATCGTCAGAAGTGAAATTTTTCATACGGCTCACAATTGATTTCTCGAGAATTCCTCAAAAACATAAACATCATCTTCAAAGTGATGCTGTATTACTTTTGGTTACGTTCTCGGGATCGGATTATTCAAATGTTGTTCCCGCACTGCAATTGACGAAAACTATTGAGAACATTCTTGGCAGTCAGGAAACTCTATCAATTCCTCCCTATCCAAGTCAAGACGGTTTATTAATTGAATATGTTCCTCTTATTGAAAATTTCTTGAAAGGAAAAGTAAGTATTATTTTCACTGTAATTTATAAATGTGTACTATTTATGTAATCTTCTATCTTCTATATTAATAATCGATATATTCCGGTAATCTTTTTCAAGTCTGAAGTTAGTTGTTTTTGAATTCTTATAAGGAAATTTATCTAAATATAACGAAGAATTTTATAATTAACATTTTTTTAAATATCTTAATTCTTTCGTAAAATGTAATTAATTATGAAAATAGTTGAAATCTTTGTAAGAATTTAAGTAAAATTGTATTCAAAATAAGTGTATTCTTATCAAGAATTTTACCAAAATTTTACAAAATAATTTAATTTCTGAGAAGAATTTGATTAATTATGAAAAGAATTCAATTGTCATAAATAATTTTATCAAAATTTTTCAAAGTAATTGATTTTCTACGAAGAATTTTATTGAAATTATTCAAAATAATGAAATTTCTACGAAAAATGTTATAAATTAAGAAAATAATTGAAATCTTGTTAAGAATTTAATTAAAATTTTCGAAAATAATTGAATTCCTGAGGAGAATTTTATTAAAGTTTTTGAAAATAATAAGTTATTACAATTAATTGATAAAGTAGTTAATAATTTAATTTTTAAAAATTTTGAATCTGAAATAATTCCAAAATTGAAATTAATATTTATATAATTAGACAGAATTGAAAGAAAATTGATAATTAAAATAAACCGCTTTATAATTTTATTTGAAATTTCAGGTGGAAGCGTTAATTTCCAATTGCAAGAGGAAACGGGATTTCATATCGTCGTTGCTAATTATTTTACGCGGAAGCATTATCGAGTACGATGCACTGGAATTTAATCAAGCGACATTTCTCGTAGAGAAAAAAGATTTTCATTTTTTCATACATTTTCGTATTCCATCAAGATTCCCGAGAGAAAAACCAGAAGTAGTAATGGAAAGTGCGTATCATATGGATCGATCCGGAAAAATGATTACGCACACGATTAGTAAATATCCACACAACTATCAAGCGGAATCAATATCAATGGTTCAAACGATATTAAAGCATATTGAGGAAAAAGAAGTCGAACCATTTCAACAGATGTGCACGCAAAAAAATCGCTTTTAATTCCCCCCCATTAAATTATTTTCATTCTACCTCAAATTTTTCCCGTTCATCTTACTTTACGTTCATTTTATTTTCATTTCAATGTTAATGAAAGTTACTGAAATTTATTTCTAAAATTTATTTCTAAAAAACTTATTTTTTAAATTTATTTTCCAAATTTGTTTCTTTTCTAAAATACTTTCTTCAAATTTTAGTTTTCTTGTATTTATCCCCTTCGACTTTCTTCTTCTCGACGCATTTATTGTAAACTGAATTGAACACATTTTTAGTGTAAAAGAAAGCACGCGCCTTGACAAAAAAGAAAAAATGTTTGTTAACCATGAAAAAGGAGAGAAATAAAGTCAATTGACTCAAATGTAAGATACAATTATAATTTATAAATTTACATTTACAAGGCTTATAGTATTAACTTTAGTTTAATATTAAAATAAACTTACGCAGCATAACACTATAATTGGATATTCAATGGCCCACACTTGACCCCTTGCATAGTCAATCAACAAATACTTCTCTAAGAGCAGAGTTATACACATGGGTAGATGAATAAAGAACAACTAAATTATTCCGTGCCTATGCTTATTAAAAAAGAAATAAGAATTTTCAAAAAAAAAAAAAAATAATTTATCGTTGTGGCAAGAAAAAACTATTTTAAAAAAATTATCCATAAATGTAAAAAAAACGGATAATAAGAGTTGATTGACACCGCGAGATATATATTTATATATCTGTTTAACACTAATAAAAGATCTTTTCAATAAGTGCTCTGCCTTTCGTACTTACAAGAGCTGGTCCTGTTTTTTTCACATACATCGCCCTAAATATTTTCATTTTTTTTTGTTTGTTTTCTTTTTCATACTTAAGTAACGACTTATCCGTAATATTTAAGTCCTGCTGCTGATTGATAAGATTAATTAAAAAATAATAATAAAACTCGACCTATCGATTTTTTTTCTTGTCAAATATCAAACAGCAATAAATTATTCCATTAATAAATATATATATATATAAAAAAATTCTTTGCGAATCAAAGTAAAAGAGGTCCTTCAAATTAATAAAATAAAAGGAGAAAAAATTCAAAAAAAAAAGAAAAATAAAAGAATTACCACATTTGGACACACATATTGCTTTGGCTGTCTTCGCGTGAATTCAAAACAACGATTCGTTCTCAAACGTACTCGTCGTGACACCTTGATCAAGATAAGCTCATGTCAAGCATCACATTCGATTCTTCCAATGCCGGTAGGGGCAATTCGTTCTTCTCCTCCTCGGTCCTCGCGTCCGACATCTTTAGGAACTTAATTACTTTCTCGGTGGCGGCGATTCCACAACTGCTCACCTCGTTCTGAAATTGAAAAATGTTTTATTCTCCTTTTTATTTGTTACAATTTATATAATTAATAAATTTTAAAAATTTATAAATGAGGGATGTTTTTTAACAGATGATAATTTTTATTTTTGAAGCGCCCTAAAGAAGCAAATGGATCTTAGAAGTAAACGAATTTTAAATTTCAATAAAATTCTTCGCCGGAATAGAATTTTAATTAAATCCCTAGAAAGAATTAAATATTTTTCAAAAATTTTAATAAAATTCTTCGAAAGAATTTGATTTTTTTCAACAAATTGAATAAAATTTTTCACACAACTACAATTATTTTCGATACAATTTTAATAAACTTACTTGAAACAATTCTAATATTTAAAAAAAACTATATTAAAATACTTCGAAAGAATTCAATCATTTTCAATACAATTTTAATTAAATGCCTCGAAAGAATTTAATTTCTTTAGAATTTTTAATAAAATGCTTCAAAATATTAAATTATTTTCAAGAAATTTAATAAAATTCCTCGCAAAAATTGAATTATTTTCAAAATTTTAAACTCGTCAAAGAATTCAATTTTTTTCAAAAATTATAAATATCTTTAGAGCAATTCAATTATTTTCAATACAATTTAAATTAAATCCATCGAAAGAATTTAGACTGTTTGTAAATATGTAATTGAATTCTTGCGAAGAATTTTATTAAAATTTTTGAAAATAATTGAATTTCTGGGATGAATTATATTGAAAATTTTTAAATAAATTGACTTCTTTCAAGAAATTTTATAAAAATTGTATTTAAAATAATTGCATTTCTGTGATGAATTTAATTTAAATTGTTTTAAATAAATGAAAGGATTCAATTAATTTAAAAAATTTTAATAAAATTCTTCCAAGAAAATTTTTATAAGAATACAATTTTAATGAGATTAAAATATCAAATTCACAAAAAACAATTTAAATATATTTCAGAAGTAATTTCAAATTCTTTCCTCCTGGAATTTCAGAAATAATAAAATTGTTCCCGAGAATTCTAAAATTGTCAAAAGTAATCAAATTCTTCGCAATAATTTAATTTTTATAAATAATTAAATTCATCTCAAGAAATTACATAAAAAAATGTTAATAAAATTTTTTTTGTAATAATTTATAAATATCTATTTTTATGTTTTAGAATATTTACAAATCTAATTATAATTTTTAATTCAAAACAATTTTCTCTTTAATTAGTTTTTCTTGAAAAATCTTCAAAACTTTAAATTAAAATGTTATTAATTTTGAAATTGAAAACATTTATAAAAGAAAAATTCATAAAATCTTAAGGTTTCCATTATTATTAATAATTATTAACAACTCAAGAAGAAACTTACCGATGCCGTCAAATTCATGAAATTAAAGAACTTTTGAAGAACAGCAATCATAGTGCTAAATGTGTTATCCGGTAGTAAACTTCTAACCAGAGTTTCATAATCCTGAAATAAAATTCATAAAATCGTCAAGAAATGAAAAATGTTTACATGGATTGAACAAATTTTTGTTTACTATTAATGAAATTATATTCAATTTACCTTATTATCCATAACTAAGTATCCTAATAAAAGTACAACATATGCACCTATCAAAGTGTGCTCCATATGTCTACCTGCTTTCTGTAACACTATAAACAGAAAAAGATAAACAAATCTCAAATATTATCTCAAATATTATAGATATAGTAATTATATAGAAAACTACGAACATTTTGTAACTGTTTCTTCAATAAATTCCTCCTGCGATTTTGTTGTAGTCGACACAGTTTCCGTTTGTTCTGCATCTTTCTTTCCATCTAAAATAGCATCAGTTTTCTGCTCCTCAGCGCGTGCGAGTTCTTCTTGTTTGTAGAAAAGATCAATGAGTGCTTCTACTCCACTTTCGTTATCTGAAACGAAATAGAAATTAATTTCAATTTTTATCTACAATATGTGACGCTCCTCTACAAAAGGTAGAGACAATTTTATTTTTCTTTGTTTTTGCTATATTAAAAAGATTTCATTTTCATTTCCTAAAATGAGAAACACTTACTATTGAATCAGGAATTAAATATTACTTATTAAGCTCATAATGTTAATGAAGAATATTAAATGAATATTTAATATTCAATGAAAAAGAACATTAAACTCGAAATTTACCGTCAAAGATGTGATCAGCCGCCGGAGCCTTGGCTTCGATAAGCATTTTCTTGTTGTCGTCACATTGCTCCACCAAATTAATCAAGAGAATTAACGCTAACATCATCATGTCGAATCTCTTTTCCTCTGGAATTGAATCCGGTACACGTAACAAAAGATAGAGACTGCAGTCTAACACACCAGTTTGTGAACCAACTGTTTTACTGCCAAATGCTACAAAATAAAAAAGAAGAGAAATCAAAATTAAAACATTTATTCTAAATCATAAATTATGAATAAATGAAATAATCAAAAACTCACATTGTCTATTAAATCGATGTGTCAAATTGATCAGAACTTTGATAATAGCAAAGAGACATTCCCTAACTACAGCACCAGTAGAACTTTTATCACTCGGATCTATGATTGGATACATAGGAATTTCCTTCGCGCACAGTTGATAAAGACTAGCAAGAGTGCTCACCAAGACACCATTATCATATTTTAACAAGTACACTTGATTCTCTTCATTCATATGCGTTACCTAAAGAAAAAGAAATCAGAATTATAGAAAGAAAAAAATTAAAAACAAACAAAACCTCATTTTTTATAAGAAATGTAAATTTTTTTAAATTTTGAATACATGGAATAAAATAAAAAGAAATTCTTCTAAGAGGAAAATGAATGAGAGATACTCACATTTTCTAAAACGCGCAAACATCGATCGACTTTTCGTAATTTGTCGAGTATAGGATCACACCATCCACGTGCAATCTCACTGACGTTTATATGTCGATGGCAATCCCTGATTGTCTTTACGATATGCTCCAATCCACCCAATTCCCTTAATTCCTCCTTGAACCACTCGCCTGCTCGTCTTGACGTTAAACTCAATAGCGTCTCCATTGCTAATTGTCCAACCTATTAAAAAAAATAAATACAATAAAATTAAAAGAAAAAAAAAAGAATACATTCATCAATTGAAAACATTTTTCCATCAATTAAATGTAACATTTTTCCAAACGTAAAACTTATTTTTTACAGGGTTGCCACAAATATTTAATTTTATTTTTCCCTGACTTTTCCTTGATTTCCAGACTTTTTCCTGACTGATTTTCACTTTTTCCCTGACCCTAAAGAATATTCTGATTCACTCTAAAAATTATTAGATATTTAAAAAAAAATGTTCTATTACATTTATTTACAAATTTCTTTAATTGTAAAATTATTCAAAAACTTCAATAACTTCTTTTTTAAATAAATATTTAATCATTATTATTTTTCTGTAGGAATTAAAATTCTTCAAAACATTCAAATTCAAACCTTTTTGAAATTCAACAACTTATAAGAATATTATTACAAAACATGAAGAAGGCGATTCAATTATTTTTACAAGCAGTACAATTTCACAAAAAATTAAATTATTTTAAAAAAATGTAATACAATTCGTTGCAATAATTTGATTTGATAAATTTTAATAAAATTTTTAAGAATAATTACATTTATCGAGTAATTTGATTAAAATATTGTACAAAAAATTATTAAAATCCTGCGATGAGTTTTATTATTTATCAAAATAATTAAAATTTTCCTAAGAATTTTATTAAAATTTTCATAAAATAATTGAATTTCAGAGAAGAATTTTATTATTTATAAAGATACTTGGAATTTTAACAAGAATTTGGCTTTAAATTTTTTAACATAATTGGATTTTTGCGAAGAATTTTATTACATTTGAAAATAATTAAATTCTTCCAACGAATTTTATTCAAATTTATAAGAATAACTGTATTTCTGTGAAGAATTTTATTATTTATATAAATAATTGAATTCTTACAACGAATTTTATTCAAGTTTATAAAAATAATTGAATTTCGGTGAAGAATTTTATTATTTATAAAAATAATTGAATTCTTGAAAATAACTATGTTAAATTTTTTTAAGTAATTAAATTCTTGCGACGAATTTTATAAAAATCTTTTTAAATAATTGATATTTTTCGAAAAATTTTATGAAATTTTGTATTTTAAATAATTGAATTCCTGTGAAAATTGTATTACTTATGAAAATAATGGAATTATTTTGAATTAATTTATTAAAAATTGAATAATTGAATTCCTACGAAATTTTGACAAGAATTTTATTAAAATTTTTAAATATAATTGAATTTCGATGAAGAATTTTATTATTTATAAAGATAATTGAAATTTTGACAATATTTATTTTTTAATTTTTGAACATAATTGAATTTCTGCGAACAATTTTATTACATTTGAAAATAATTTAATTCTTCCAACGAATTTTATTCAAATTTATAAGAATAACTGTATTCTTACAACGAATTTTATTCAAGTTTTGAAAAGTAATTGAATTTCAGTGAAGAATTTTATTATTTATAAAAATAATTAAATTCTTGAAAAAATTTTATAAAAATCTTTTTATATATAATTGATATTTTTCGAAAAATTTTATGAAATTTTGTATTTTAAATAATTGAATTCCTGTGAAAATTTTATTACTTATGAAAATAATTGAATTATTTCAAAGAAATTTATTAAATATTGAATAATTGAATTCCTGTGGAATTTGACAAGAATTTTATTAAAATTTTTAAAAATAATTGAATTTTGATTAAGAATTTTATTATTTATAAAGATAATTGAAATTTTGACGAGAATTTTTTTTAAATTTTTGAACATAATTGGATTTCTGCGAAGAATTTTTGTAACTTTTGAAAATAATTGAATTTCTGTAATCATTTGTAACTTTTCCAAAATCCAATTTTTTTTAGTATTTTTAACTAAAATTCTTCTATCAATCTAGTATTTATGGAAATTGTAAAAATTGTTCATAAAATAATTTATAAGTAATAATTTTATGGTAGTTTTTGTAAAATTAAGTTACTTAAAAATAAATTATTGTCAGAAATTGAAAAAATTGAAGATTTTTGTATTACTTTTAGTAAAAATCCCTGACTTTTCCCTGAATTCCCTGACCTGTGGCAACCCTGTTTTAACAAATTAAACAAATTTCAAAATTAAATAACGATTTTAAAAAATGAAAATTAGCTCTAATTGAATGATTGTTACATAGTATTTCTAATAATAACACGCCTCTGCTTTAATTAATAATACAAGCCTTGAAACAATGAGAAATTTTTTTTTTTTTTTTTTTTGAATAAAATAATAATAGAAAACGGTGTCACGCTATTGATGTCATTTTCAACAGGAGGCAAAAATGAAAAGAAAAATAAAAAACTTACGGTGATGTTATCAAGATTCAGGTGTTTCGCGTGTCCTTGAGCTTGAATGTCGGCGCAGAGTTGTCGGACTTTCTCTTTATTTTTTAACAATTCAGCCCGACTCAGGCCACAATCATCGAGAGCATCTTTGTGACTTGCGTCGGATTCTAATAAACTAAGCATCAGCTCTAAACAATCACGATCAAGATCCATTGCCAGACGATCTTGACTTAAAACAAACATAACTGTTGCTGTACATAATCCAAGACTCTGAAAAATAAATACAATAAAAAATACAATAAATGCAATAAATACATTAAGAAATAAAAATTCACTCAATTCGTTAAAAATTTTAATCCCTTCAGTAGTCGCGTCTACTCTTTTAGAGAAACTTAGAGAGAAACTAAAAAAAAATCATCTGATGACGTTTTAAAAAAATACCAACGATTTTCAAACAAAAAAATGTTGCAAGTTAAAATGCAATGTGAAATAAAACCAAATTTTTGTTTTTTTAAAAGAAAGTTTCACCGATATTCTCAACTAAAATCAAGAAAATATTTTAAATATTCAATAAAATTATTTTTATATCAATCTATCTTCTATATTATTAATAATTAGTATTCCAATAAAATAATCTATTCGCAGTTTGAAATTTATTGTTATTTGTTTTTCTGTTTCTTAACTTTTTTAATAACTTTTCTCAATTTTTTGAATTTAAAAATTAATGTAAGTATTGAGAATTATTGAATTCTTAAGAAGAATTTAATGAAAAAATTAGAAAATAATTAAATTTTTTTAAATAATAGTTTTTCTAATAATTTTAATTGAAAATTTTGAAAGTACATATATTTGAATTTCTTTTAAGCCATTAAAATAATCGTGTTTGTTAATAATTGTAATTAAACATTATTTTGGTTATTGAATGTTATTAAGATTTTTAGAAAATAAATAAATTCTTCACAGAATTTTATTACAATTTCTTAAAATAATTGAATTCAAGGAATCCAATTAATTACATTTCAAGGAACTGTATTAACATATTGAGAATAATTGAATTCTTTCAAAGTATTTCTTTCATTATTTAAAAAATAATCGATTTCAATAATAATTATTGTAATTAATAATTATAATTACTCAATTTTATTAAAATCATTGGTAGTAAATTAAAATCCTTTGAACAATTTTATTAGAGTTTTCATAAATTTTCAATTTTTTAAATAATTTCTGTAAATTTTTTGAAAATAATGTAGTTTTTTTAATAATTTAAATTAAAAATTTTTATAATACTTGAATTTCGGAAAAAATTTCTTTCCACTTTTTACAATAATCGTGTCTATTAGTAATTGTAATGAAAAATTAGATCTTATAAAACAATTCATCAAAACTTTGATAATAGAAATTTAAAAAAAAAATTAAAACAATTTCTAAAAAATAAATTATTCATCAATTTCTTTTAGAAAAAGAAGAAACATTCTATTTCATAATCACAATTTTTGTACAAAATTCTCAGTTATTTCTTTTTTTTTAAAAAAAAGGAATAAAATTGCAGCATTTATATTTATTTGTCACGATGTTTTATCGGTATTAACAAAACTTCCAGTTTGCTTTTAGAAATAAAGTTAAAAAAAACTTTGCATGATTTCTTTTTTTTCATAAAATTTTATAACAAAATCTCAAGTATTTTTTCTTCCAGAGTTGAAAAATAATAATAATAATAATAATATTTCTCACGATTACTATAAACTTTTTGAGAAAACTAAAAATTCTAAAAGGGTCAAAATGTTTTCTGGCCTATTTTATTTTATAACCATTGAATGAATTGAATTTTATTCCTCACAAGAAATTACCATAAAAATAATTTTATGGTATATTTAAAATATTTTCCTCATATATAGTTAAATATACTTTATTCAGGGAAATTGCAGGAACAGAATAAAATACGTATAGAGAAAAGTTTTACTAAATTAAATTTTTTCCGAATTTACCTGGTCTTTCGTTGCATCGTGAAGAGCTTTGAAAAATTTGGCAACGGTACCATGGGCTCGAACGTGCATTCGAAAAGCTGGAGCCATGCATTTACTTGCTAATCGTATGGCCGAGAGACAGCGAGTGGCATTTGGATTGTTTTCTCTTAAAGTATCCAAAATATATTCGACATCATCGTTGAACTCTTGGAACTCGCCACTTTCTTGAATCTGATGAGCTTTTTTCACATTCTTCACCACCGTGTAAAACTGTAACGAAAATTTTCAAAGGCATTAATTCACAAAACCAATCAATAATCGCTAATTAATTCAATTAGCGAAAATATTATTATTATGTCACCTTTTTTTCAATTAATTTCTGTACTAAATTTATAATAATTTAAATTTATAATAATAAATATTATTATTATTTTTCTAGTAAAATTTTTTAATCAATTAATTTACAATAAAGAAATAAGTAAAGGGAATTTATAGTAAATTTACAATAAATGAATAAAATTTAATAAAATAATGAAATTAATAAAACAAATAGTAAAGTAAATATAAAGCAAAATATAGTATAGAATTCATTAACAAGAAAATCAATAGCGACCTTATAATAAATTAATAATCACGTTATAATATCAATACTTTCAATAATTTCCATTTTTATATAACGATTATTTTGAAAGCACGTCGGGGTTCGAAACAAAGTTATTGAAACAGAAATTTATTATTATAATTCATTATATAGATAAATTTTTCAAAAAGAAAATTATACCTACACAATTTTATTAACTCGTATTATAATTATTTATTACGGAAATTGAAAAAAATAATTTAAGAAATGGCAATGAAGTAATTAATTGTCGTTGGTATTATGATAATTTAGCAAGATCAGTTTCAGATTCGAGTTAAAATTAGAAACTGAAATCAATAAAGGAATTGTAAGCGGTTACTGACCTTTTAACTACTATATACAATATTAAAATCAACGTCACGGACAGTAAAAAAAATGTTTATTAAAATTTTTATACATTCAAAATAAATTTCAATTAAGAATAATCGAGAGAATAATCAACAGAGTGATCGAAATAATTAATTGAAAGAAGAAATTAGTCTAGTAATAATTGAAAAGAAGTAAAAATTAGCATAGTAATTAATAAAAAGAAATACAAATCAGCACAGTAATTAATAAAAAGAAGTACAATTTAGTATAGAAATTAATTTAAAAAAAGGTAAACGACAATAGAAGAAGACCACAACGACAAATAAAATATTTGTAAAAAATGTAAATAAATAAATTTAAAAATTTTAAATTATTTGTGTGCTACATCATTTATATTGAATGACAGTAAAAATTGACTAATTGCTTTTTAAATAATACCATATGTAAAATGACATCACATGCAGGTAATTAATAAAAATGTCATTTTAATATTGTATGGAAATACTGACAATGAACGACAATATATTTTTTAATATTAGTAATAACAATAACAATGATTACAATTTCAAAACTATTATTATTATTAATTAAATTATTAATATTGTTATTATTGTTATCTTTATTTATACATATTCTTATCTCAATCTTAATGAGAATACGAAAGAGAATTTTTAGATTAAAATAATAAATGAGATTTGAATTATTCAGATAAAACATAAAAGACAAATTACAGTGACACGACATTTGAAACAGTTAAATTTCAACAAATATTTTACATATAAATATAATATTGAATTTAAAAATCAATGTAAATAATTTAAATAATTGTTAAATATTCAAATAAATAAATTTACAAATGATTTTCTATCTTTTAGAAAATTTCTCTACTAAACTGTCGAAAATTATTGAGATTATTTTCCTATAAAGTAAAATGCGTAAAATTTTATCGAAAATGAAAACAAATTTAATAGTTTGTGTTGCAAATATAAATATTGCATTTTGTAAAAATATCTGAAAATAATATATTCTAATAATTTTAGTTTTATATTTATTATTGTTTTTAATAGAATCGTTCGCTATCAATGTTCAAAAAATTCTGAACGTTTCGAATAAAGGAAATATTTTTTCAAATACAAAACAATTTAAAAAATTACTCACTGAAATAAAAATCAAAAATATTTTAGTTTCTTGATTCTCCTGATAATTTTCTCTTTAATTGTTTTGAATTTTAAGATTGATAAAATTCTTTTTAGTCAAAAATCATAATTTAATTTGTAAATTTAATAAAATTCGGTAAAATAATTAAATTATTTTTAATACAAATCTAATTTAGGAAAAAAATATAATAAAATTTTATTAAAATAATTGATTTTCAGCGAAGAATTTTATTACATTTTCTGAAAATAATTAAACTCTTTCGAAGAATTTTATTAAAATTTTTGTAAATAATTGAATTCTTTTGATAAATTTGATTAATTATGAAACGCATTGAAATGTTTCAAATAATTTTATACCAATTTTTGTAAATAATAGCAATCTTACAAGGAATTTAATTGAAATTGTTTTGAAAATAATTGAATTCCAGCAAAAAATTAAATTATTTATAAAAATCATTTGAATTCTTATGGTCAATTTGATTAAACTTTTTTAAAATAATTAAATTATTTCAATAAATATCATTACAATTGTATTAATAATAATTTAATTTTTCTAAAGAATTTTAACAAAACTTTAGAAAATCAATAAATTCTTTTGAAAAATTTTATTAAACTTTCATTAAATAATTGAATTCTTTTGAAAAATTTTATAAACTCATATTAAAATAATTAATTTTTGAGAAGAATTTTATTAAATTTTTTGAAAATAATTGCATTGCTTCGAATAATAATTTTTAATAATTTTTGAAAAAGTTCTTGGAGAATTTTTATATCCGTTTGTTTATAATTCAATTTTACAAAATTTCGATTACTCGGAAATTCTTTAAATAGGATATTAGAAAATAAAAACATCAAATAATTTCAAAAAAAAAAAAAATTCAATGAAACTTTTTTAAAAAAATTAATTCTATAGAATTGTTAGTCAAAAGTATGAAAAATTCAAATTTTCAAAGATTTTAATTAGAAGCCTTTTCAAAATTCAATTATTTCTAAAAATTCATGCTAAAATTCTTTTAATACTCAATTATTATCTAAAATTTTAACTGAAAGTCATTTTTATATCAATTTTTATTAGAAAATTCAACGAGAATTCAATTATTTAAATATAAAAATAAATTTATTGAATAATTGAATCTTTCTTATAATTGAATACATTCGACGAATTTTAATAAAAAATTTAAGAATAATTCTATTTTTCGAGGAATTCGATTAAAATTGTATTAAAAATTATTGAATATCTACGATGAGTTATATTATTTATGAAAATAATTGAATTATTGACAAGAAATTTGTAAATAATTGAATTCCTGTGAAAGTTTTAATAAATTTTTTTTAAATAATTGAATTCTCTTGGAAAATTTTATCCCTAAAGCTCTTTATAATTTTGAAATATTTTTGAAAATGTAATGTTTACACACACACGCACACATGCGGAATGACATTTTTTAAAAATGTGATTTTTGAACTCCTGAGGTCAAATAACATAAAGATATGTCAAAAAATCGAAATCGAAAAATTTTGGTATTACAATACTTCCTCTATGAGGAAGTAAAAGACATGAAAATTCAGTATTTTCTTATAAATTCTAAAAATTAAATTTTTTTCAGTAGTTTTAATAAAAATCGCTGATTTTTCCCTGACCTTACTATAACTAGTAACTAGTTACATAAAAATAAAAATTGGTAATTATTAATCACCCCCAACAAGAAAGCAAATCTGAAAGAAGCTTTTCTTAATTAGTTTACTGTTTCTCGTAAATTTGAAAAAGTACTTACACCCTTGACTTTCTTGTCACACCGAATGCTCGTGACGGCCAATAGATCATCATCGGCGAGGTCCTCTCCAGGTTCCGGATAGGTAACGACTCTCGTGAGCTCATCAGATCCAAATTCCTCGAAAGCATCGACAGCCCCCGCATCCACGTGTGAACTCGACGCGGCATTGGGAATTTCATTGCCAGTACTTCCAGTATCAGTTGCCGGCGACTCCTTGTCATTGTCCGACCATTTGTGTTTATACAGAGCTCGCCTCTTATTACCATTTGTCGTGCCAGCCGACCTACTTTTGAAAATACTGCCTTTCTTCGTTGTCGGTTTACTGATCGAGACATCGTTCCTCGGCGGCGATGATGGTTCAACTCTAATCTGTTCATCGCGCGGAACGGGAATTTCATTCTCAACATTGCCCGTTGCACTTTCGCTGTCCTCACTGCCCGAGAACCAATCCTGATCGACCATTGTCTTAGCCGTTGGCACATCATCCCTTAATGGTGTCAATTCCTTTTCTCCAATTTCTTTATCGGGCTCGTTCTCCGGCTCGTCCTCCTCCTCCTCCTCTTCCTCCTCATTGTCAACTTGCTTCGTCGCAGGCTCCTCTGAATACTGTAGAATCTCCTCGAAAATCTCCTCCTGCTCCTCGTAGTTTGTCTCCATTGGTTGCGGTGGAGGATTGTTCCTCTGTCCTGAATCGGGATCACTCGAGAGAATGTCAATGAGTTCCTGGGTGGTGGTCGGTAGCGGTTGATCGCGGCCAATTAGTGGCTCGACTTGCGTTTTCCCGGTGAAATTCGTGTCAGTCTTAACAATATCGTAATGCGCAATTACCGTGTTGTTTGAATCGGTCACCGATTTCCGCAGTGTCAGTGACAGTCCAGAGCCATGAGAATTGGTGGTAGGTTGTGGTTGTGGTAGTGGAGGTGGCGGTGGAGCGACAGTCGTCGGCGATATAATGTCGCGGAGATTTTTTGCCCGACTGCGCGTCGTTCTCCGTGTGTCGGAATCGTCAAGGGGAATAGAGACAGTCGTGACGACAGGTTGAGCCGTTGTCGAACGTGTTGTCCTCGTGTCAGTGGGAGTTTTCACTGATGCCGCTGTTGGCGGTGATTTTTGCTCCACTTCGACTTTCGTTGGACTCTCGTGGGGCGATGAGGAAATTCTATAGGTCTCAGCTTCCGAGTCGGCGTCACCGCAAATTAGACGCGCCGTTCCTTTGCATATTCGCAAAACTATCGGAGGTTTGCCCTCATCCTTAGGTACTTGATGGACATTCGATAGAGTTTCATGGAGTTTCTTCGATTGAGCAACGGACGACGATTTTGACAGAATCTGCTTGGCGGCAGACTGATGAGTTTGCTTTGATGGACGACCTCGTCCATAATGTGTTTCAGGTACTTGTCGATAGGTTATCGGTTCGGGACGTGATTCTTCAACTGCTGTTGGCGCGGCATTTCGGCTTTTGAAAAATTTTTTTGGTTTCACCACTGCTGGCGCCTCAGTTTTCTCCGTTTCAAAGGAAAATGGATCCTTGCCCGAATTCACGCGAGCATTCTGATTACCATAATCAAGCTTTGCTCTCTTGTTCCCGTAAGTTGGATGAATATCGTCTCGCCGTCCTGAAAAATTTCATCACAATATTTTATTATCTTGAAAATAAAATTCACCAATGTTCTCTTTTCTCTAATACAGGGATCACAGTATCTTTTTCCTTAATAGAAAAGGGTAAATTATTTCTAAAAATAGGTGACAAACTAATTATAATTATTGTACATACAATCTATTATTATTTTTTATCTTCCTTCCAACGTTTTAACAAAATTCTTCGAAACAATTCAATTATCTCTAAAACTTTATTACGAAGTTGAAGTCCACAACGTTGATCAACGAAAAAATTTTTTTTAATGCAATCAAGTATTATTTTTAATTTAATATTTAATTGTAAAATAATTATTATCAAAACATAAATATCAATCTTTTTTTCTAAATATTTTTTTGTCAATATTGCGGCGTAATTTTTAATTAATTCACTTAGTGAACAATTTTTTTTCGTTGATCAACGTTGTGGACTTCAACTTGGTAACTTTATTAACATTCTTGTCCAGAATTCAATTATCCTAAAGAAATAAAATTCACTGCAGAAATTCAATTTTTAAAAAAAAATTTTAATAAAATTCTTAGCGAAAATTCAATTATTTTCAAAATTTTAAATTAAATTGTTCAAAGAATTCAATTATTTTCAAAATTTTAAATTAAGTTGTTCAAAGAATATTTAATTATTTTCAAAATTTTTAATAAAACTACGCAGAATTGCAATTATATGAAAATTTCTAGAAAGAATTCAATTATTTTAAAAACATACAATAAAATTCTTCCCAGAAATTCAATATTTTTCAAGATTTTAATGAAATTCTTTACAGGAATTCACTTATATTTCGAAATAATAAAATTCTTCGCAGGAATTAAATTTATTTTAAAAATTTTAATAAAATTCTTCGCAAGAATTCAATTATTTTCAAAAAAAATTTAATTCTTCATAGAAATTTAATTATTTTCAATACAATTACAATTAAATTTCACGAAAAAAAAAAAAAAAAAAAAAAAAAAAAAAAAAAAAAAAAAAATTCATTTTTTTCAAAAATTGTAGTAAAATTCTTCACAGAAATTCAATTATTTTCAGAAATTATAATAAAATTCTTCACAAAATTCAATTATTTTCATAAATAACAAAATTCTTCGGAGGAATTCAATTATTTTTAATACAATTATAATTTAATCCCTTGAAAGAATTCTATTTATTTACCTGTTTTTTAAGGTATTTTAATAAAATTATTCCAAACATGAAATTATTTTAAAAAATGTTAATAAAATTCTTTACAGAAAAGCAATTATTTTAATTATAATATTTTAATTAAATTTCTCGAAAGAATTCTATTGATTTAAAAAATGTCAATAAAATTCTTCCAAGAAATTCAATTATTATATTTAATATTTAATAATTTTAATAGAAGTCTGTACAAGAATTTAATTGTTTTTAATATAATTTTAATTAAATTTCTAACAAAAATTGTATTTTTTTCTTATTTTAATAAAATTTTTTCGAAACAATTCAATTATTCTCAAATATAATAAAATTCTTCGTAAGAATTCAATTATTTACAAAAAAGATGAATTAGTGAGAAAATTAAAAAGAGGTAAAATCTGTGATCCCTGCTAAAAACTTTACCTATAAACAAAAAGAAAAAAACTATTATAAACATATGTATGAAAAATTTTAAATTAGATAAAACATAAATTAATTTAAATATTTTACTACGTTGCAATAAATAGATAATTATATTTAAATATAAAGAAGAAAAAAACTTAATACATGAGAAAAGTTTAATTAAAAATCAATAAATTATTTTGTAATAATATTTGAGCTGAAGAATTTACACTAACCAAAAAAAAATGTTTACTGTGACAAAAAAATATACCGAAAGCAAAAAATTCTCAATTTAAAATTTAAAATACGATTAATGAAAATTATTTAAATACAAAAAAATAAAAAGATTTTAAACCAATTCTTATCTGTTAATTAAAAACTAATTATCTTTCATAAATTTACTCTCATTTCGTGTTTCTTATACTAAAATAATAATAATAATAATAATAATAATAATAATAATAATAAATAGAAATAATTATAAAAAAATAGAAATAATTATTAACAGTGATCCACAAATTTAAAACGTTCAAATGAACGAAATGTTATTAAAAATATTTACATAAATTACTGATTGCAATAAAAATTAAAAATTTTAATTTTACATTTAGAAACTTTATAATTATTGTAATAAAATAAAAATTTAAGTTGAAAAAAATGAATTTCGTACATTGGAACGTTCAGAACTCAATAATAAATAAATAAATAATAAATATAAATATAAATAATAATAAAAATAATAATAAATAAATTAATAAATATTAATAATTAATAATAATAATAATAATTAATTAATATTAATAACAATTAATAATAATAATAATAATAATAATAATAATAATAATAAGTAGTAGTAATAATCAATAACAGGCATCACAGTACCTTTTTTCCTCAAAAAAGGTGAAAAGGGGAATATTTTTCCTCAAAAAGGGGACAAAAATTTATTTGTTTATACAACTTGCATATATAATTCAAATTTTTTATCATATAGCTTGTATAAAATTTTTTAAAAATGTTTCGATTTAAATCAGAGTTGCAGCAAAAATTTAATTTTGTTTTCCCTGATTTCCAGACAAAATTTTGACTTTTTCCCTACAGAATATACTGCGATTCACTCTAAAAATGATTAGATAGTAAAACTATTCGAAACCATCAATAACTATCTTTTTAAAAAAATATTTAATCATTATTGTTTTTCATAGAGATTAAGATTTTCAAAACATTCAAATTCAAATCTTTTTGAAATTCAACAATTTATAATAATTAAAGATGACGGAGTGATAAGATAATTATTTTCTTCTATAAGAAATATATTTACTGTAACTTTTTCAAAATTATTTCCATATCATTTCAATTCACTTATTATTTTCTAGAATTTTTAACTAAAATTCTTCTTTAAATTAATTATTTACAATAATTTTTAAAAACATTCTGAGAATTTACAAATGTATTTGTTTATAAATAATTCAATTTTACGAAATTTCATCGATTATTCGGAAATTCTTCAATTATGAAATATGAAAAATTCAGATTTTCAAAGATTTCAATTAGAAACTTTTTAAAAATTCAATTACTTCTAAAAATTCACGCTATAATACTTTTAATATTCAATTATTATGTACAATTTAAACTGAAATTCACTTTCAAATCAATTTATTTATATTAAAAAATTCTACGAGAATTCAATTATTTAAATACAAAAATAAATAATTTATATTGAATGATTAAATGTTTCTCAATATTGAATTCTCATAAAAAATTTTATCAACAAATTTTTAAATAATTAAATTCTTTCGACGAATTTAAATAAATTTTTTAAAAATAATTACATTTTTCGAGGTATTTGATTAAAATTGTACTAAAAATAATTAAAATTCTGCGATTATTTTGATTATTTATGAAAATAATGGAATTATTGCGAAGAAATTTATAAAAAGTTTGTAAATAATAGAATTCTTGTGAAATTATTTTATTATTTATGAAAATAATTAAACGTTTGCGTAGAATTTTAATAAAATTTTTTTTAAATAATTAAATTCTTTTAGAAAATTTTATTAAAATAGTAGATATTGAATATCATTGAATTTAGGAAAAATTTTGCAAATAATTGAAATTTTGCCAAGAATTTTATTAAAATTTTTAAAAATAATTGAATTTCGAAAAAGAATTTTATTATTTATAAAAAGAATTGAAATTTTGACGAAAATTTCTTTAAATTTTTTAATATAATTGAATTTCTGCGCAGAATTTTATTACTTAATTGAAAATAATTTAATTTTAGCAATCATTTGAAACTTCTCCAAAATTCAAAATTTTTTTAGTGTTTTTAACTAAAATTCCTCGTTAATTTCTTTATTTTTAAAAAGAAATTACTTTAAAATTCAATTAATTTTGAAATACTTGAGTAAAATTATTCATTAAATAATGTCTAAGTTATAATTTTATGACAGTTCTTCAAGAATTAAGTTATTTTAAAAGAAACTATTGCCAGAAATGGAAAAAATTGAAGGTTTTGTATTAGAATTTTTGTTTTTCTAAAAAACTATTAATAATAATATTTTAATTATTTGAATGATAATTAATTATTTTTCCTTATTTTTGGTTAGAAAAAGGTGAAAAAGGGGACAAGCAGCAAAAAAGGTGATAAAATTGAAATAAGGGGACAAAAGTGGAAAAGGGGACCAACTGTGATTCCTGTTCAATAATAATAAAAAGTAATAATAATCAATAATAATAATAGAGAAAAATCGACGAGAAACTTGACAAAGCGATTGGAGAAATCTTTAATTAGATTTATAAGGTATAATTAAGAATCATAATTGAAAGAGAAGTTAGAGGAGAGCGAAATGAGAGAATTAAGATAAATTGCAATTTCACTATGTATTTTTATGAAAATCAATATAATAAAGAAATAATGAATGGAATTTTGAAAGGTGAAAAAATAATGAAAAATACCATTAATATTTGTGCTGCGAATTGACGTGAAGGAAGTTATGCCCCATTTTCCGACGATGCCCGCTGATTTGGCAGCCGAGGGTCGATTACTGTTTTCTCGAAAGAGTTTGTCAAATTGTATACTACCTGGTGAGACAGTATTAACTTTACGACCATATGATTTCGTATAACTTCGTGACGTCATTTTGTCTGTGCTATTATTTCATAAACTTTCTGCATTCCAAAAGACATATACCACCAGTGAATTGAAGCTTCTCATAACTTTGTGTGATCACCTCTTTTTTTCTCTATCTTTCTATCTTTCTCTCTCTCTCTTTCTCGTTAGGACATTTTCTATATAGATTATAATTTGTACACACAAAACACTATATATAAAAATGCTTCAAACACCAATAATAGAGAAAACACAAATTTTTAAGTCCTTGAAAAATCTTTTGTAAATATATATTTATGAAATGAGAAATAATTGCCTGTCTTCACACACACTTGAACTAATGAAAAAGCGGAGAAAAATTAATCAGCGTGCTCGCTTTTCGGAACATATGAAAGAAACGCCATGTTTCATTCACTCTCTCCCGCTTTGAACGAATTTACAAATCTTTAAATTCGCCATTGAATCGTCACCCACACTTAATAAATCCATTCTCGTTGCTTTCTTATTATTTAAACTTTTTATTAAACTCGATATTTTGTGAAAAACAATATGATTTTCACGAGAATTATTAATCATAACATGATCTTTGCCATCTGTCGATGTTTTTCGCTCGGATCAAACTATTGAAACCAATTGAAACTATTGAGTGAAAAGTTCATTTCAGTCGACAGATGGCACTTTTTCTATTTACCGACTGCGGGTTTTAACGATAAAGCAGTTTTCTTTCTTCGTAACGTTTTTTGTTTACTGTCAAAAAGAGCGTCTGCTAATATCAACATATTTTTACTTTTATTAAAATAATAACTTGAAAAAATTTTGTGTTTTTCCGAAAAGAAAACTACTGAATAATGTTAGAGAATTATTTTTACTGTTTAGAAGAAAACAATTCAATGTTCAAAATTTAAACTTCCGTATTTATGGTATTTATTTATCAATGTTTTATGAATCGCAATGATTTGCTGTTAGCACTCTCAAAGTAAATTATTTCTTTAAACATAAATATATTAGAATTTAGGCAAAAATATGAGTGGTTTAAGAAGTGGTACCTGTATGGCAATGTGTCCAGAAAAAGAACGACGCATGTAAGTGAATTAAATAATAAATTAAAAGAATTTATTTCTGAGAAAAAGAAACAAACAATTCTTCACTCAATTGGTTCTTCAGAAAATAAAAGGATTAAATTTTGATTTTTAGGAGAGAAGAGAAATGTTTATTGCACATTTTTGAGAAGGACGAGACAAAAAATACAAAATATCCAAAAGCAGATTCTGCGAAAATAGTCAAGTGTTTCAATAGACCAGCAGCTGGCCGATCAATGACAGATCTCAGTGAATTAAGACCTAAACCGGTTTTAATTATGACTATTAACTATTTATTTACCAGGTAAATAATTTACATAATTGAAATTCATTTCTCTTTGTCTTAATTTCTTCTAATTTTTTCATCTAACATTTAGAAATATTTTAGTGTAAATTTAGAACAGGGTTGCCACAGGTCAGGGAATTCAGGGCAAAGTCAAGGATTTTTATTAAAAGTTGTGGAAAAAATTAAATTTTCAGAATTCATAAGAAAATATCTACTGAATTTTTGTGTTGTTTTTTGTTTGTCTCCTAAACTATGAAATTACCACAAATTCTAATACAAAAACCTTCAATTTTTTCTACTTCTGACAATAGTTTCTTTTTAAATAACTTAATTCTTGAAGAACGATAATAAAATTATTACTTAGAAATTATTTAATGAATAATTTTACTCAAGTATTTCAAAATAAATTGAATTTTAAACGAGATTGTAAACGCAAGTTTACAATTTTCACAAATAAATGAACTTCAAAAGGTATTAATTTAAAGTTTTAGAAATTTTCAATTTTTTATGAATTGAATAAAAAATTTTAAAAAACTCAGATTTTTGAAAAATTTTAATTCTTCAAATTCTTCTGAAATTAGTTAAATTTTTTAATATATTTATTATTTATATTAAAAATAATGTATTTATAGAAGAATTTTAGTTAAAAACACTAAAAAAAATTGAATTTTGGAGCAATTATCAATATTTTCCAACAAAATTTCTTTCAATTCAATAATTTTCATTATCTACTATTTTCATAAAATTTCCCGAAAGAATTCAATTATTTGAAAATTTTTTAATTAAAATCTTCGCAAATATTTAATTATTTTTATAAATAGGGGAAAAGGTTCGGTTGTGGGCATGGTTTGGTTGTGGTCACCCCCGCAGAACTTTTGACAGAAATGGGATTTTTCTAATCTGACAAATGTCACGTGTGTGTTATGACCAAACGTAGTTATCGATGAGAATACAAAAGTGATTAGACAACTGTGCTTTTTACTATATATAAATTAATTTTTTGACACGTTGAATATAACAAAAATGTATTTTTAAACATTGTTAAATATTCAACAAATCGAAGTGAATTAATTAAAATGATAAGTTCAATGCGTATTTACACAGTAAATATGTTATATTTTGTGCTCCAATACCAAATATCACAACCATGTTCACAAGCAAATTTTTTTTCATGATGTTTCAAAATGATGGTAAAGTTTGGTTGTGGGCACCTAAATTGATTCGGTTGTGGACACCACTCTTATTCTTGACAAATCGTGAAATATCGTAGTCGATATAATCATAAGTAATTCCTTACAACATTTAATAGTATTTTATGAATTTTAAAAGTTTCGTAGTTTAGCACGGAAATTAATATGACAAGACTTTGATTTTTATGCGTCGTTCGTAGCTAGTGACTATGCTGCTGAGGTTCAGTGTTAGAAATCTTATATGTCCTTTCATGGGGAGGAAGTAATGTCAAAATTAGATAAAATTATTCTTACGTAGTTAATGAATGGTTACTTAGTTAATTTTTTGGCATTTTTATTTGATTCTTCAAGAGTGCCCACAACCGAACCAAAATTTTCTTTGTTAGAAAAATGCCCACTTTATTGAATTTTTAATAAAATTTTTTTAGTCAATGGAATCAATTTAGTTTCTTCATCAGTAGTTAGCTAAGGTCACTATAGCTTTAAATACATATACATATATTTGCTTAATATCTACAAGGACACAAATTATGAGTCAAAAACGAAACTATGCCCACAACCGAACATCTTCCCCTAATAAAACTTTCACAGGAATTCAATTATTTGCAAATTTCGTTTACAAATTTCTTGGCAATAATTCAATTATTTTTATAAATAATATAACTTATCGCAAAATTCCAATTATGTTCAAAAATTTTTTTAAATTTTCGTCTAAATTTCAAAGATTCTATTAAAACTCTTGGGAAAATATCAATTATTTTCAAAAATTTCTCTGAATTCAATGATTTTTATTATCTACTACCTATTTTAATCAAATTCTACGTAAACATTTCATTATTTTCATAAATAATAAAAATTTCACAGGAATTCAATTATTTACAATATTTTTTTATAAATTTTTTGCCAATAATTCAATTATTGTCATAAATTAATAAAACTCATCGTAGATATTCAATAATTTTTAATACAATTTTAATTAAATTCCTCGAAAAATGGAATTATTCTTTAAAATTTTATTAAAATTCGTCGAATGTATTCAATTATTTAAAAATTTGTTGATAAAATTCTTTATGAGAATTCAATTTTAAGAAACATTCAATTATTCAATAAATTAATTATTTTTGTATTTAAATAATCGAATTCTCGTAGAATTTTCTAATAAAAATTGATTTAAAAATGATTTACAGTGTAAATTTTAGATAATAATTGAATATTAAAAGCATTTTAGCATTAATTTTTAAAAATTTATTTGTAGTTTTTATTTTCCAATATATATTTAATTGAAGAATTTACAAACAATCGAAGTTTCTGTAAAATTGAATTGTAAACAAATCGATTAAAAAATTCTCAAGGAACGTTTTCAAAAATTATTAAAAATAATTTATAATTGATTTCTTTTCAAGAATTTTAATAAAATTTTTTGAAGAATTAACTTTAAATTGTATTAAAAATAATTGAAATCATGTGAAGAATTTTATTATTTAGGAAATTAATTGAATTCTTGCAATGAATTTTATTATATATATATTTTTTTAAATTGAAGTCTTTTGAGAAATTTTATTAAAATAGTAGATTTTGAAAATAATTGAATTTCAACGAAGAATTTAATTCTTTGTGAAATGTAATTGAAATCTTGAAAAAAAATTTTGAAATTAATTACATTTTTCGAAGACTTTATTTAAAATTGTATTAAAAATAATTGAAATCCTATGAAAAATTGTATTATTTGTGAAAATAATTGAATTTGTGTGAAAAATTTTATTACTTGTAAAAATAATTGAATTCTTGCGAAGAATTATATTAAAATTTTTGTAAATAATTTGATTTTTTAAACAAATTTTATGGTTATTTAAATTGTTGAATTTAAAAAAAGTTTGAATTTGAAATTTTTTGAAAATCTTTATTCCTATGGAATAATAATGATTAAATATTTATTTAGAATGAATTTACTGATGTTTTCGAATAATTTTACAATTAAAGAAATTCATAAATAAATGTATTAGTACATTTTTTGAGTATCCGATCATTTTTAAAGTGAATCGGAATATTCACTGAGGGAAAAAATCAAAATTTTGTCTGGAAATCAGGGAAAAGTCAGTGAAAAAAAAATTAAATTTTTGTGGCAACACTGTAGAAATATTTTAACGGTATTTAGAAATATTTAATATTTAAATTTAAATTAGAGTGATATTAAAACTAACTTTTCTCATGTCACTTAAGAATTATGGAAATCATTTATTTGTTTATAATAGTTTTATTTTCTTACCTATTTTGCAAAAGACGTCCATCTTTTTTCCACAAAAAAAATGTGACTAATTTGCTTTCTTTTGTAACTTAATAAACTAATATGTTTCCTATTTCTTTCCAGAATAGCAACAAGAGCCGATTATAATTGGGTATTTATTTACGATTTTATTTTTGATAGATTGCGAGCCATAAGGCAAGATTTAGTTATTCAAAGAATCGATCCACTGGACGCAATTGAAATATTAGAACCAATCGTTCGATTCCACGTTTATGCGGCACAAAGGTAATGTTGGGAGAAAAGTCTACTAAAATTGATATTGACATTTTGTAATAATAGATAACATAATTGTAAACTATAAAGAAAACTATTTTTTGTACGTTGTAAAAAATTCCTATATAATAACTTTACATAATATTGTGTTTTTCTTTAAAACTATTTTTTAAAAGTACGCTTCTTTTATAGATTGTGTACCCATTCTATCTCTACGTTTGATCCAAAAATAAATTATCAACATTTGCTAGAGTGTTTAAAACACTTACTGGTTTGTTATGATGAGTGCAGTAAAATTGAGATCGACAATAATGATATTGATGCGGCATTGAAAAATTTGAATTTGAGGAATAATCGTTCGGAAATGGAAGCTATTTATCTTTTGATCAATTTAGGGGAAATTAATTCTCTCACTAGGGGTTTAAATTTACCGAGAAGATATAAGTAAATCATGATTTTCATTCATTCTTTTTAACTAATTTCAGTTGCATTACTCTCTTTTTTTAATTGTCGATATTTATAAATTACATTTTAAATTCACTGTCGTCGATGATAAATGTTTGTTTTGTATTTGTTAAATATATGTATTAATGATAACGATTATTATTTAATAATAATTAAAATTATTATTTACTAATAATAGTTTGTCTTATTTTTTTAGGCAATCTTCAGAAGTGAAACTAGCGATGAAAATATCACTTACTGCTTACTTGAAAAATTATGTTCGCACCTGTCGATTAATAAGTACATTGCCGCCTTTATTGAAATCCGCCGCTTTATGTAATTTAAGAAAAATAAGAAGGTATCTAATTTAATTATTCATAGGAACTATTAGCATTAAATATATTTAATTATTTTTATAAATAATAAAAATTTCACAGGAATTCAATTATCTTCTTCTATATTAATAAATAAATTGTATTCAGGTAACCTGTTCGCAGTTTGAAGTTAGTTGTTGTTTCCTTTTTTGTTTCTTAACTTTTTTAAAATATTTTTTCATTATTTTAAATATTTTCAATTTTAAAATTAATGTATTGAAAATCATCGAATTATTGCAAAGAATTTTATCAAAAAATTTGATGATAATAATAAAATTCCTTCGAAGAATTTTATTATTTAGGAAAATAATTGAATTCTCCTGAAGAATTTTAAAATTTTTAAAAATTCTAATTAAATTCTTTTTGAAGAATTTTTTTGAATTTTTTTTTAAATAATGAATTTTCTTTAATAATTTTAATTAAAAATTTTGAAAATAATTTAATTTTATGAACAATTTGTTTCAAGTTTTTAAAATAATCGTGTTTGTTAAAAATTGAAATTAAACATTTAATTATATTGTATTTTATTAAAATTTTAGAAAGTAGATAACTGAATTCTTTCGAAAAATTTTATAACGATTTAAGAAAAAAATTGAATTTTTGCAAAGAAGTTTAGTATTTATAAATATAATTGAATCATTTTGATAAGGATTTATTAAAATTTTAGAAAATAATTGACTTTTTTCGAAAAATATTATTAAAAATTACAAAATAATTGAATTCCTTCATGAAATTTTATTAAAATTGTATTAAAAATAATTGAATTTTTGCAAAGAATTTTACTATTTATAAATATAATAGAATTTTTTCGAAGACTTTATTAAAATTTTATAAAATAATTAAATTCTTTGAAAATATTTTAATAACGAATAAAAAAAATTGAATTCTTTTGTAGAATTTTTTAAAAAAAAAAAAATTTTTGCAAAGATTTTATAACGAATTAAGAAAAAAATTGAATTCTTTCGTGAAATTTTCTTGAAAATAATTGAATTTTTGCAAAGATTTTACTATTTTAAAAACATAATTAAATTGTTTCGAAGGATTTATTAAAATTCTAGAAAATAATTTTGTATTCGTTCGTGAAAAATGTAATTATTATTCTTCAAAATTTTATTAAAATTCGTCGAAAGAATTCAATTATTTAAAAATTTAAAAATAAGAAACATTCAATTAATTCAATAAATTAATTTTTATATTTAAATAATTGAATTCTCGTAGAATTTTCTAATAAAACTTGATATTTAAAAATAAATTTTAGTTAAAATTTTAGATAATAATTGAATATTAAAAGCATTATAACGTGAATTTTTAGAAATAAGTGAATTTTGAAATTAAAATTAAAATCTTTGCAAATCTGAATTTTTCACACTTCATACTTTAAGGAGGTGGAGATTTTTTCCTTTTTGCTGGCACTTAATAATTGATCTAAAGAAATTATTCCTTTAATACCGTTAATTTGTAAATTTTTGTATTTTTATTTTTTTAAATTTATTATATCTCTTTTTATTTTTCGAATCTTACTTTTACATTGCAGTGAATCATTGCAAGTGATGAGTGAAGGATACAATAGCAAGACATTAACATTCCCAATAAATAAATTGCAAGAAATATTACTATATCGTGATATTTGTCAAATCAAGACTGATTGCCAATTGTTTGGCCTAATGTTCACTAATGAAAATGTTTTCTTTGAAAAAAAGAAATTTGTGAACGCTGATAAATTTGTAAGTTGTGGAAATCGAATACTCTCTTAATTATAATAATTTAATCGCCGTTTAATTTGATGAATTTTCTCTTTTACATTATTTAATTCAATTCGTTTACATATTTAAAATTCCCTTTTATTACGAAAATTTTGACCAAAAATGATTTTTTACTATAATAACAACTATTTTTGTTTCAGGCTTATCCAGAAATGTTGTTTGACGCGAAAGAATTGCACCAACTTTTACCAGGAATTTTATTAGATTAGTGAAAAAAATAATTCTTGATTATTAAGAATTCAGAGAAAAAGTCTGCTAGTATAATGTAAAATATTCAACAAACTGGTTTTGTAAAAAAATAGGATCAATGTTATTAAAATTAAATAAACTCTATTTAAATTATTCATTTTTGTCTTTATTTCTCATTGTTAGAAAAATAAGGAAATTCATTATTTCAAAGAAAAATTACGAACAAATCTCATCTAGAGTTTTATTCTAAATATATACGCAATATTTTTAAATAAAATTCTTAATTTATAACTATCAAAAGATTTAAATAATTCTTACATGTTTAAAGTTTAAGCCTTACGTGGATAACAATTGGAGAGATTAAAAGTAATTTTTTACTTTTTTTTTTGAAAAAATTACTCTTTACTGGGAATCACTCGACGAACTACTTGACGAATCTGTAGACATGACTTCCACATCCTCGGTTTCTTGTTTGTGAGTATTCATAGCGACACTTCCTTGTCCTCCCATTGTCATATGAATCTCGCCCGATGGATGCCAAGCGAATTGATTTGCTTGCGATACAGGAGGCTCTACGAAAATTTGTAATTTCAAACATTTACAAAAAAAGTTTTAATTCAAATTATCATAAAAATTTTATAAAAACAATAATATTCGAAATAGTAATATAATAAATTAAAATACCTGCGGGGTGTCCTGCTCTGTGCAAATCGGCCGGAATACCTGGATGTGAACCCATCAATTGTCCATTCAAAGGAAGGTCACTTAATCTTCCCAAATATCCCAATCTCATTTCGATATCTATAAATTAATTAATGTAATAATTGAATCCATTTTTTGTCTTATTAATTTTATTTTTAACTTAATATTTAATTTTATTATTTTTTTATTACAAACAAAATTAATTCAATTTAATATTAATAGAAAATATATGAGATAAAAATTTTGATTTCCTCTTAACGATTAGCAAAGACATTCTCTTCTTCATGAAGGAATAAAAAAATAAGTAAATAGAAAAAAAGTAAATTTTGAATCAATAGTCAACTTAGCAGAAAAAGAATAAATAACTAAAAAAGGGACTTAATAAGACGCTGAATGTATTAAAAATAAATTTTGAAAATTTGATCTACCAGTTGGATATGGTCTTCGTGGATCGCCCTGCTGCCAGGTTAGAGGAGCACAAACGGCATTTGACGCACTAATTCGATGAGCGAATTTAATTAATTCTTCTGAAGCAACCGGTCGTTTATTGGCTCGAGCTATTGACTGTAATTTTTGTTTCGCTTGATAAATAGCAGTTGCTAGAATTTGCTCAGCCTCTTTGAGTTGACGTTGTAGCTGCTGAATTTCCTGATCCTGTCTCTCAACCTCTGCCTTTAGTGCGTCCATTTTCAAATTTATTTTTCCCTGCTCCGCAGCCTTTTTCAAAGTTTCCTTTAATTCCTTGTCCTTGGCAATTAACAATTCGGTCAACTGTGCATGCTCCGTACTTGACATTTTAGCATGTTTTTGCGCTACTGTATTTTCAATCATTTCTCTGCGAAAATAAAATACAACATTCTTGGTTAACAAAAAAAATTCCTCTTTATTTAAAAAATACTCTTCCATCTTATTTAAAAAATGCCATATCTGATTACAACTGTACTTCTTCCAAAATTCAATTACCTATTTGTTTAGAATTTTTGAATAAAATTATTGAAAAACTATGAATTTTTAAAGGAAAATAATGTACATAATTAATAATTTTTTTAAATAAAAATTTTAATATTATTGCTTCCCTTAAATTTTCAAAGAATTAATTTCAAAAATTTTTTTAAATTTAATTAATTCCTAAAATTTCTGTTATAATCGCTTTAAATATCCAATTATTTTCTAAAATTTTAACTGGAATTTTTTTTAAATCAATTCCTATTAGAATTCAACTACGAGAATTGAATTATTTAAATATAATGTATTTTCAAAAATCCAATTATATTTATAGATAATTTTTAAAGATGAAAAAATAAAATGATTTTTAAAAAGGGAGCGTTCACAAATGATGTCACGTTTTTGGGGGTAGGGGGGGGGTCTCTACTAAACGTGACACAAGGTATTTTTACATGTAAAATTGCATGAAATTGCGTGACAGGGGGAAAGGGGGGTGTCTAAAATCCCGAAAAATTGCGTGACATCATTTGTGAACGCTCCCAAATTATGAAAAAATACATTTTTTTTAATAATATTTTTCAAAATTTTTAATTTTTAAGGAAGCTAACAAATTAATAATTTTTATATTTAAATATTCTTTGACTTTTACAGCGATTAAAATTTCAAAGATTGAAATTTAAAAGCTTTTTGAAATTTCATTATATTTCTAAAGAATCCTACTTTAACACATCTAATTATTTTCTAAAGTTTTAACTAAAATTCTCTTTTAAATCAATTCTCATCAGAATTCAATTATTTAAATACAAAAATAAATAATTCATAGAATAATGAATTATTTTTAAAAATTGCAACTGTGCCTCTTTATTGAGTTTTTTAAATTAGGGTTAAATTTTCTTACTCCACTAATTTGATTATTTGCAAATTAACTGTTAAACTTTTGACATAACAATTCGAACTATAAAACAAACGATTATTATAAAATAATAATTTACTTGATCCTCGTCAACATAACCTAAAACTAAATTATTTTTTTCAATTTATTTTTAGCCGAAAAATTTAGATTTCAAAATAAAATCAAGATTTCAAGATTCGATTGGGGTACAAAAGATCCAATCCGAAAGGTCCAAGACGAAAGGTCTAATCCATAAGGTCCAAAAATTTATTTATCCAAAGTACATAAAATCCAAGAGTACAAAAAGTCCAAAATTGCAAATTGTCCAAAATATGTATAATTACACAGGCCTGCAAATTTTGGCTTAGTTCTGCTACAGAAAAAGTGGTAGGTGATTCTTATAGCTTTTTTGACGTAGAATACGAATCCGATTTCCAAAATGGCCCATCACGTCAGGATTTCTTGTAATATTGACTTAAATAGCCAAAAAATGGCTATTTTGGCCACTTTTCGGAATTTTTTTTGGTTAACCAAAATTTTTTTTCAATTTGCGAAATTGCATCGTATAGTACTATATCTAAGCTTTAAAACCCATTTTTCAAAATTGTTTTACGTTTTTTTAAAAAAAAGTTATGTAGATTTGAAATTAAATGCCATTTTGAACTTCTTTAAACCTACATTTGCCTAAATAAAAAAATTTCAAATCTACATGACTTTTTTTAAAAAATCGTAAAGCAATTTTGAAAAATGGGTTTTATGAGGAAGCAATAAAAACAATAAAACATATATTTTTTGCACTTTCTATCTTTTTGAATTTTTAAATTAAAAAAAACGGAAAATGAAATAAAAACAATAGAAAATATATTTTTTTTGTTTGGACTTTTTGTCCTTTTGGATTTTTAATTTTTTGGATCTTTTGGTTTGGACCTTTTGTACCAGAACGCAAGATTCAAACTAATTAGTTTAACTAATTACTTGTATTTTTATATGAAAGAGTATTTTCAAGTTGTTTCGTGACTTACTTTGCAATTAATTCAATATCATCTATTAAAGACAAAAGTTCTTCTCTCGTACTCTTATTTGCTGCCATAGCCATGTTTGATTATCGTACTTTTTTTGTAATGAAAATCAACAGTAAATAACAAATTTTTGTTATTAATTCTCAACAAAAAATAATGATTGGTTTTATGGATTTTATGTTTATAAACTTAACCTCTTTTTGGTTGACATCTTTTGACAGCAATTGTGACATGCGCAGAAATACGTTGCTATCTGATTGGTTGAACGTACGCGCCTTTATTTAAAAAGTTTTCTGAAAAACAATTTCATTGTTAAACATTTTTTCTAAAATATTACACTCTTGTCAGTCATAAAAAATGAAAAAGTATTTTTTTTAAGAAAAAAGGAGAGTATTTAACACCTAATATTATGTAATTTCTTTTCTAAACAGAATTATTTAAAATAAACTAGGTTGGCAGCACTGCAATTGCGCACGCAGGGCACGCAGAAAAAAGGTTTTTAAAGTTTTGTTTATTGTTTAACTGTTGTTTAAGTAAGTATTTAAGTAAGTATTTTTAAAGAGCTGTCCAGAGCAGGCAAATAGTAATATAGTATATAGGATATATTCGTATAATTTGTATTATTTAAATAATAAATCAACAATATACATGAAGAATGTTGCCAATTAAGTATCTACAATATAAAACAAACATTTTAATAGTTTGCTACAATGGATTCATTCAACAAAAAATACTTTTATTACTTTTTCGGAAAATTATTGGAATAATGACCGAAAATGTTATATTATAAATATTCTGGAAATATCGATAATTAATTCTTCTAAAATCTAAATAAAGCTTGGAAATCGTTTTCTTCATGTATATGCGAGAGGTCATTGAATTATCTCTGATCGTGTTGATTAATGACATTTGAATAAAGTCCACGCAAGTAAATTAAAGGATATTATGAGAGATTATTGCGTGGATTTGTAAAGAACATTAGTTACGGTCGGTGCAAGAAGTGAAGGTCAGAAAAAATTTATAAATAAGCAGTTTATATGTATGATGATGCGTCGCAAAGAGAATAGTTTGGTATATAATGTAAAGACAAAAAGAATGTCCTTCATATCCTTGTGTTCATTTATATATTGCGTGCATGTTATGCGGGTTACACTATGGTGTCATTAATTTTATGTTGCGTGAACATTTAACGATAGACATAATATTATTCTTCTAACTTTCTCCGCATGTTAAAGAGAGTACAATTTCCTTCATAAATTACAAATACATTTTTATCCGCATTTTTTATTTTCAGATATAAAGCAAACAATATACATAGTAAAACGAATTCTATTTTTTATATATTTAAAAAATTTTATTATTATTACTAGCAAATGATACGCGCGCAAAACGCGGTATTCCATTACTTATTTTTAATATAATTTTGATGAAATTCTTACCAAGATTTCAATTATTTTCATAATTAAAAACATTTCTCAAAAGAATTTAATTATTATAAAAATTCTAATAAAATTTTTCGAAAAAATTCAATTATTTAAATAGGTAAATGTTAATTATAACATTCTCTGCAAAAACTCAATTATTTTTAATAATTTTGATAAAACTCTTTAATAATTATGTAAGAATTTAAATATTGTTTTTAATCTTATTTTAATAAAATTTCTCGTAAGAATTAACTCATTTTTAGATTTTAATTACATTTTTCTCAAGAAATTGAATTATTTTGATAATTTTGTGTAAATTCCATTAGAAGAATTCAATTATTTCAGATTCAAAATTATAAAGAAACATTTTTAATTTAAAAACAATTTTTTTTTAAAGTAATTTTTGGTATTTTTTAATCTTCAAAGCATTAAATTAGAATCGTTAATTTTAAATAACATTTAATAGAATATAGTCATATAGTATAATTAATTTAAATAAAATCCATTTTATTATTTAAAAGTTTTATTAGTTCTCAAGATAAAATATTTATTTATAACTATTATTTTTATTATTTATTTTCTAAGAAAAATAATTTTTGTTTTATTTTTAGTATAAAAATAATTTTATATTTTAAGTATAAAAATAATTTTATATTTTTAGACATTTATAATGTGTCTCCTTTTCACATTCTATATCTGATTTCAATATAATAATTCAAAAATAAAAACTGAAAATATCAATTAAAAAAATTTCCAATAAATTATAATTATATTATATATTGCTTTTGATTATCGATCGATAAATTTATTTATCGATCGGGATTTATTTACTGACGATATTGATGTTTACAGAAATTTTCTAACGGAAATAAATATAAATATTTGTTTTTTTAAGTTTGTAACGTTTTTTTTTTTTGCAGAAAATTCAGATAGAAGATCACTTTATAATCATTATTTGACGCAATTTCCAAGGGACAAACTCGAAATGTTCTTCCTAAAATTATATAATCCAATTCGATTCTTCGAAAATGAAATTGAAATTTCAAATAATCAAATTTTGATAAGAAATGAAATTACTTATCGGTGGCAAAAGAAACGAGAATTGTTTAAAATTGGAAAATTGTATAATTTTCGTAATGCAAAATTCATATAAAATATAAGGTATATACGGGTAAGTTTGTTTTTTATTAATTAGAACTGGTTTCACTGAACGGGAGAATCCGCAGACGTCACACGATGATTCAGAATAATTTTACAGTTTTCCATTGACTGTCATAAACGATTCATAAATGATATTAAATATCCTGCACGAAGTAATTGAGATGGGGATTCACCAGTTTTTTCATGTCCTTTTTGTGATGCAATACAGGATCTTATTTTTTGTTTCCTATTTTTTTCAATGAACACACATTTTTCTATTTAATTTAATTTATATTTAATTTTTATTATTTTCGTTTTTCGTAACTTTATTTTTCTTTATTTACTTTTTTTATTTATCCAACGCATATTATATACTCCTGGTAATAAGTTTATTCTAAATTTTTTTGAAATTCAATTATTTTCCAAATTTGCAATTAGAATTCTTCAAAAATATACGATTATATTTTAAAATAATTTTTTTTACAAGTAAAATTCATTAAAATATTAAATTTCTTTCAATGAAATTTAACAAAATTTTTAATTGTTTCAATTTTTAAAAATTTTTTTCGGAAATACAATTATTTTTAAAACATTTTAATTACATTTCTTCAAGAAACAAATTTTTTCGGAATTTCTAAATTAAATTATTCAAAACTTCAATACTTTTTGTTAAACAAAAATTTAAAAACTTATTCTTATTTATTTTTCGACAGGAATTAAAATTTCATCCTAGTTTCAATGAAACTCCTTTTGAAATTTAATTATTTCTAAAAATTGCAATTGTAATTCCTCCAAAATTAAATTATTATTCTAGAATTTTTGAATTAAATTATTTAAAACTTTAAGGATTTTTAAAGAAAAGTAATGTAATTAATAATTTTTTTAAATAAAAATTTTAATATTTTCATACTTCTGCTTCCCTAAAATTTTCCAAGAATTTTTTTAAAAACTTTTTTAAAATTTAATTAATTCCTAAAATTTTTGTTATAACTCTTTAAATATTCAATTACTTTCTAAAATTTTAACTGAAATTTTTTTTAATTCAACTCCTATCAGAGTTCAACTACGAGAATTGAATTATTTAATTATAATGATTTATGTAAATTCACAAAATATTGTATTTTAAAAAATACAAATAAAATTCTTTAAAATATAAAATTTTACAAAATTTTCTTTTTTTTAAAATTATTTTCGGGAATTCAAGTATATCTTCAAAAAATTGTAATTACTATTTTTCAAAAACCTAATTTTTCAGAATTTCCAAATTAAATCTTTCAAATTTGAATCATTTTTGTAAAATAAATATTTAAACACTTATTATATTCTTTATTTGCTTAAAATGTTGAAATACTTTCAATGTAAAACCATTGAAAAAATTTTGTATGAAAATTCAAACTGCAAGTCTTCTAAAATTCAATTACTTTTTTTCGAATTTTTGAATAATATTATTCAAAACTTTTATTTTTTAAGGAAGCAAACAAATTAATAATTTTTTATATTTAAATATTATTTGACTTTTACAGCAATTAAAATTTCAAAGATTGAAATTTAAAAACTTTTTTAAATTTAAAGGAGAAGAAGCTATCAATAATCCGAATCAAATTCGGATTATTGATAGCTTCTTCTCCTTTAAATATTTAACTGCCGAATGATAAATTCACTTTCTATAATTTTTTAAATTTAATTATTTCTAAACAATCCTACTTTAACACTTTTATTTTTTTTTGTAAATTTTTAACTAAAATTCTTTTTTAAATCAATTCTTATCAGAATTTAATTATTTAAATACGAACAAAAATAATTCTTAGAATAATTAATTATTTAAAAAAGTTGCAACTGTACTTCTTTATTGAGTTTTTGAAATTGTGGTTAAATTTTCTTACTCCACTAATTTTATTATTTACAAATTAACTGTCAAACTTTTGACAAAACAATTCGAACTATAAAACAACACCAACTTTACGTGAGGACAGATTATGTCGATTATTAGGTATAATAATATATTATAATATATAATTTTATTTTCCATATTTATTTTTATTATTTTCATTTTTCGTAATTTTACTTTTCTTTATTTACTTTTCTATTTTATCCAAGTCACATATTTTTATGGTTTTATTGTATTTTGTATATTTATTTTTATTATTTTCGTTTTTCGTAATTTTACTTTTCTTTATTTACTTTTTTATTTTATTCAAGTCACATATTTTTATGGTTTTATTGTATTTTGTATATTTATTTTTATTATTTTCATTTTCCGTAATTTTATATTCTGTTAGTTAAGTTTTTATTTTATTTAATAATTTATTTTTGTTTTAATTTTCTACTTTTTTGTGTACTTTTATTTTTTTTTATTTATTTTATTCAACACTTATTCATACTATTTTAATTTTTTTCTTTTTTCTAGTTTTATTCTTTTATTTATTTCAATTCATTTCACGTTCTTTGCCATTAAATTAAAAAAAGAATTCTCCTTATAAGAAAAAAATTTTGTTTTAATTCTTTTTTGTCAAAAAATTAAATTAACATTTTCCGCCTTCAATTATTAGAAGAGAATTTTTATATGAAAAACAATTTTTTTTTAATTCTCTCTTTCGAAATACACAAAAAGCGTGAAAATTAGCAAAAATGACTCTCGAGAGACATAAATGTAATTTCCAATTTGTCTATAAAAATAGTAAAATAATAAGCTTTATGGGTGAGAGACAACGGCAGATTCCTGTTATCTCTTTATCTGTTTAATCACGAGTGCATTAAATATCAAGTGAGTTGACAATTTGTAAGTTTGAAAATGAAAGTTTTCAGAGTTCATTAATTTTTGCTTTTGGAAATTTTTATTTTTCGAGAATTAAAAAAAATATGTAAAGTTAATAATAAATAAACCGAAATTATCGAATGATAAATTGCTTTTAAATAAATTAACATTTAATCCATTTTAATCTTCATTATTATTTTGTCTTAAATTTATCAATATTGATCAAAATCTACATATTAAAAGAGGGGAATTTTTCTTTTTTTTCTAACAATAAACTGATTGTAAATTTTTAAAAAATATTTATCGAATTGTTTATTAATAGTTTTCTATTTTAGTATATCACTAAATATTATTATAAGTGATTAATTTTAATTTTTAGATTAAACTCTTGTAAATTTTTGCAAATTTGAAATTTTTTAATTAAAAAAATTTTAGTAAATAATGTGTTGTAATTTTTATTTTTATTTCAGAAGAAAGTATCGTTTGGAAGAATAACGTAAAACAAATGATGGGTATATATTACGCAACATTTTTATGGAGAGCCAATGAGAAATTTGAATATACGCTTATTTTTAATGCGGTGGATGATTAAGATTGCTGATATTTTTGCAAAAAACTTCCCATGTTTTTGTATTCTTCATTATTCTCAATAACATTTTGAGAAGTATAAAATTTGTTTACGATTTATCATTAAAAAAACAAGTTTTAAATATGCAGGTTTCATTTGATTTATAACGTGAATGATAAAATTAATTGCTAATTAATGAATACATATTGGAAAATTTCAGAAAAATTGAATTGACAAATTCAGACAAAAAAGAAAATTTAAAAGTAATTTTAATTAAATTAACGTGAAAAAGAATATATTTTGAAAAAATATAGTTTTTCAATATTTTCCAAAAAATTCAACAATTTATTTATTTGAAAAATATAAAAATTGATTAATAATAATTTTACAAGCCGTTGTAATAATTAATATCGTAATAAATCCAAATATGTTAAATCATCAAAATAAAATTTAATCAAATTTCATAAATATTAAAAAAATTCTTGTTATACTTTTAGTGATTAGAATGTTTTTTATTTATTTTAATTAAATTACGAAAAAAATGCTTATTTAATTTAAATCGATAAAAAGTGAATATTTCAGCACTGTGTAAATGAGGATTTTACGATTGTGCGACAATAATAATGTTCGTGTCTTTAACTTTTAAATTTTATGCACATTACTATCGGTACAAGATACAAGTTTTTTTTCGTGTAATGTAGGTGACTGTACTTGTTATGATTATAATATCTTTTTAAATTTTTCAGGCAAAACTTGTATTCCTTTTAGGGAGGCAGTTATTTTTGCATATTTACTCAACTGCTGAAATAATAGTCCCGTCAGATGAATTACACTTACTTGGAAATAAAGACTCAGGTTGAAAAGACAATGTACAATTTTCGGTATGTATTTATTCAACATTTTATGTACTTTGTATGAACACTTGTAATTTATTTATTGCCTGTGATGTAAATTGCCCGAGAGGAATTTATTTTGTCATATTCTAAACGATATTTACAAATATATTTCGATTTGCATTTTTTGCAATTTGCAAACACAAAAGAAATCGAAAAATTCAATTTTTTAATTTATTGAAATAGTAAATAGGGAAGAAATTTTGAAATTAAAAGAAAAGTTAAAAGTTTTTAATTCAATTCCTTATAGTATTTAATTTAATATTTAAATTTAAGGTTTTTAAACAAGTCTCGAAAGTTTGTACCTGGAGAATGGAGAAATTTGGAAATGTGGATCACACACAGGGGATGAATCTCTCTCGAGATGAGAAGATAATTTCCTATCAGGTTTGGATATAAAAGAGAAGGATGATTTTGCGTGTGGGGTACAAGTGGCCTCCGCGAGATACTTGTATAGTAGAAGGGAACAAAGTTCTCGGGAAGCAGTTCTTCGTTGTCTTTCGTCTGTGATTTTAGTTATACTCAAAAGATTTTCCTCTCCGGAACTTCTTTGAGAGCGCCCCTCGAGCTCTACTTCCGGTGGAGAGTCGACGTCTCGCAACTAAATTCCGAAAAAGAAAATTTCAAATTTCTCTCACAAGAAGAAATTATTCAATTTTCAAAAACAGTGAAAGTGCTTCATTCGAGAATAGTAAAAAAAATCACTTTTGACACGAAAATTTTTTTTTTTATAAATTCTGTGGAATTGTTCGTCTCAAATAATTCTGCAAAAAAGGAAAAAAAATGTCATTCTTCAAAGTGATTTTCGTCAGTTTTTTACTTCAGCTGGAAATTCAATTTATTCTCACAGGTAATGATTTATTTTACCTAATTTTTTCATTTTAGTTCAAAATTTCAATTTTTCCAAATAAAAAATAAACTGAAAATTAAAAAAAAAATTTATTTGATTCGGGCATATTTTACAAAAGTGAAAATTAATCTTTTTCATAATTAAAGTTTGAGAAAAAAAAATAAGGTAGTGACAAAATTGTGTATGCAAGTGATAAAATGATAAGAAAAGATATAATTCAACTAAAAATTGTATATTTCGAGATAAACTTGAAAAAATGACAATAAAAATTTAAAACCAATGCAAACGTGAGGCAATCAATGATTAATAAAAATTTTATTTACAATTAATTTGAAACAAAATTTTTTTATTTCACACGTCTTAATTTGAAATAAATTTTTCAATTCGTGACAGTAAATTAATCATTAATGAAATTGTTATTTACAATTTCTAAAATTAATTTTTAATCTCACTTGTCTAAAAATCTTTATTAATAATATTGCTAAAATTCTTTTTAGTTAATCTATGTTAATAACTATATTAAAATCTTTAAAAATAAATTGATTCTTAAGAGAAATTTAATTAAAATTAAATTAAAAATATTTAAATTCTTATTGAAAAGATTTTTATCAAAATTTTGGAAAATAATTAAATTTCTGTGAAGAATATTATACTCAACATTTTTTAAATAATTGAATTCTTTCAAGAAAGAATTTTATTAAATTGTATTAAAAATGAGTGGATTCTTATTAAGAACTTTACCAAAATTTCCTATGAAAACTTTTATAAATTATGAAAGTAATTGAAATCTTGCTAAGAATTTTATTATTTAGGAAAAGAATTCAATTTTTTTGAAGTACCTACTTATCTAAATTTTTTTCTTTTATATAGAATTTTATTGGAAATTTCTCAAAATAATAAAATTTTTTAATAAAATAATTGAAAAAGTTTCAAAGTAATTGGGTTTCTGTGAAGAATTTTATTAAAATTCTTTAAAAAAAATTTAATTACTGCGAAAAATTTTAAAAATTATGAAAATAATTGAAATTTTGCTAAGAATTTTATTAAAATCGTGGAAAATAATTGAATTTTAGCGAAGAATTTTATGAAATTTTTCAAATTTGGATTCTTTTGAGAAATTTTAGTGAAATGTATTGAAAATATTTGAATTTTTATGTAAAGAATTTGATAAAATTTTTAAAAATAACTGAATTCTTTTGAGAAATTTTATTCAAATCGTATCGAGAATAATTTAACTAATTGATTAATTAAATTTTTATCTACAATTTTTAAAAATAATTTTTAAATTCACACAATTAAAAATTATATTAATAATTTTACTAATATCTAAGAATAGATTTTTCATTTTGTGTTTGTAAAATTTATAAATCTCATTGAAGAAAAATTCATAATTAGAGAAAAACTTCCTTGCACTTTTTTCTTTAACATAATTATTTATAATTATAAATGTTTTCTTCGATTCTTGACTTTGAATATTATAAACATTTTTTATTAAAAAATAACTTTTTCAAGATTCTTTCGATTTTGCATTTTTCAATTTTTAATTTCACGTTTGAGAGATTCTATGATATAATGATCTGGAAGTTTTTTTTCTTTAACAACTTTTTTATAGCAGTCTTTATACATGTTTCAATGGCATGTAATTCTATTATTATTATAGAATTTTTTATCGATGCCGGCAGATAAAAAGTCGATTTTAGTAATAATTATTTACAGAAATTTTTCATTCTCTCAAAATTTTCTCCGTCTTCTTAAATTGTTTGAAAAAATTTTACTTTTAAATGGATACTTATACTAAAAATTACTATTAAAAATATTTTTATAAATTATTGATTCTCAAAAAATCCAATTTTACATCTAAAACTTTTAAATTATTTTTTTTTTTTCATAGTGATGCAAAATTATTGCAATAAAAATATAATTTTAAGACAGCGTTAAATTTGTTAATTAAGAGAGAATTTATCGTCGAAATAAAAAAAAATTATTGCTGAGATGATTAATTTTTACATGAATGATTGTTTATCAATGACAATGCTCATGACAATTTATGACTAAATTATATTTAAAAAAATAAATTTTCGAAATCAAGTCTTAAAAACATGGTTATTAATTAAATCCGATTAGTATTAAGGACGAATATGAAAGTTCAAAATAACAAAAATTGATTGAAATGATATATTACTGTTAGGTAATGTCACATAACTTCTATATAAAATTGTAAACATGAAAAAAATTTAATTTTTTGGTTGGTTTATTGTTTCTTCTAATATTTATGTTTACCAAATATAAATTATTTAGTTATTTATGTAAATTATTTCATAACAGTCTATTTTTTTATATAACGGGTTTACAAAATTTATTATTTGTCATTAACAATTATTTTTTATTGTATGAATTATTTATAAAAAAATAATAACAAAAATAATTTCTTAATTATTTATTGTAACCATATAACCTACAGTATAAAATGAAAATAATTTTTTATAACTTATAGTTAAATTTTTTATAATTTAATTTAATTTTTTGCATAATTTTGTTTCAATTTTGATTAAAGTTCTAAGTGATTTGGTTTTAATTTCAGAGACAGTAATTACAGCCCATGGTTATAATTGGGATGACGATTTAATAGTGAAAATTCCGGACGAGGTGGATTGGTCAAAACATCCATGTAAAAGACCATGTAATTCTAAAGAACCCCCAATGGAGTGTCGCTATAAATTTGCAGTTGAATCTTATCACACAATGAGCAAAGCCTGTTTCAATTGTCCTAAAAATCTTACAGACTGTTTTCGACCACATTGCATCACGGCAGACGGAATTCCGAGACCAATTACTGTTGTGAATCGACAAATGCCAGGACCTGCAATCGAGGTATAAAATGTGAATTTTGAAAAATTTTTCATTTTAGTGAACAAAAATTTTAACCAAAAGACAAGTCGAAAATATTATATGCATTTCTTCTAAATTAGAATTCAATTAGATTACATTTCTTTTAAATAAACAGTCTTTTTATTACAGAACTAGCATAACTTAATTTTGCAATTTTTAAGAGCTACAAAAAATTCTTTTTTGAAATTTAATAAAAGTTTCTTATTTTTTAAAAAATATAATTCTTAAAAAAGTACGATTTTATTTCAAAATAATTTTTTAAACTCATAAAATCGAATTCTCTCAAATATAAAATTTATTTCAATTAAATTTTAAAAAACCTTAAATTGTCTTAATTTTGAAAATTTTTTTCGGGAATTCAATTATTTTCAAGAACATTTTAATTACAATTTTTCAAAAATATTTTTTTTAGAATTTCTAAATTAAAGTATTTAAAAATCGTACAATTTTTGTTAAAGAAATATTTAAAAACTAATTGTTATTTATTTTAATTGAAATTTTAAATATGTTCAAAGTAAAACCTTTTGAAGTTTAATTATATCTAAAAATTAGGTGTAAATGCAATTTTTCAAAAAGTAAATTATTTTTTAGAATTTTAGAATAAAATATAATTTTTGAAGGAAAATAATAATTAATGAATAATCTATATTCTATTAATAATCGTTGTGTTCCGGTAATCTGTTCGCAGATTGAATTTAATTGTTGTTTGCTTTTTTGATTCTTAACTTTTTAAATAATTAGTCTTTTTAAATATTTTCAATTTTAAAATTAATGTATTGACAATCATCGAATTAATGCAAAGAATCTTATCAAAAAATTTGATAATAATTGAATTCCTTCGAAGAATTTTATTATTTAGGAAAATAATTGAATTCTCACGAAAAATTTTGTTAAAATTTTTGAAAATTCTAATTAAATTCGTTTTGAAGAATTTCTTTGAATTTTTTTTAAATAATTAAGTTTCTTTAATAATTTTAATAAAAAATTTTGAAAATAATTAAATTTTATGAACAATTTCTTTCAAGGTTTTAAAATAATCGTGCTTATTAATAATTGAAATTAAAAATTTAATTATTTAATTTAATTAAAATTTTAGAAAATAATTGAATTTTTTTGAAAAATATTATTAAAAATTAAAAAAATATGAATTCTTTAATGAAATTTTATTAAAATTGTATTAAAAATAATCGAATAAATATAATTGAATTTTTTCAAAGAAATTATTGAAATTTTATAAAATATTTGAATTTTATTGGAATATTTTATATCAAGTTAAGAAAAAAATTGAATTCTTTCTTGAAAGTTTTTTGAAAATAATTGAATTTTTGCAATAGATTTTATTATTTAAGAAAATAATTGAATTGTTTTGAAGGATTTATTAAAATTTTAGAAAATAATTGTATTCGTTCGTGTAATTTTATTAAAATGTTTAAAAATAATTGAGTTTTTGCAGAAAATGTTACTATTTATACTAGTAATTGAATTCTTACGAAGAATGTTATTATTTATGAAAATAATTGAATTCTTGCGAAGAATTTTATTAAAATTAAGATGAGAAAATAAAAGTCTTTGAAATATAAAATTTATTTTTATGAAATTTGAGAAAATTTACTACTTCTTCAATTTTTTAAAATTATTTTTAAGAATTCGACTATTTTCAAAAAATTTGAATTACGATTTTTTAAAAACCTCATTTTTTCGGAATTTCTAAATTAAAATTTTTCAAAATTCATTAATTTTTGTTTAATAATTATAATAATTATTAAACAAAAATTAATGAATTTTGAAAAATTTTAAATAAATAACGATATTCCAATAATATTGGAATATCGTTATTTATTTGTCCACGAGGAATTAAAATTTCAAAATACTTTCAATATAAAACCTTTTGAAATTTAATTATTTCTAAAAATTAAAACTGCAATTCTTTCAATTCTAGAAATATTTTCTAAAATTTGAACTGAAATATTCTTTTTCAAATCAATTCTTATCATAAAGTTCAAAACGAGAATTCAATTATTTAAATACCAGAAACATTTTAGAAAATTAAATTGAAATTAAAAACTATTCTAACTAATGAATTCTATATTTCGGGTTTATAAAAAATAATTTTTCATAAAGTTTCAAAGCAATTTAATCATTTTTTAATTTTTACTTTCATAAATAAATTATTCTTCAGTTCCGGATTGAAGCAAAAAAAAGAATCAAGTTTGAATAATAATTATTTCAATTACTATGAAGTTGAATGAATAAATTTTTTGAAAAAATTGCGGGGAAATACGATTGTCTACGTGTCGTTTTTCTTTTATGTATACAGTCATTTTTCTTCTTTTTTTCTCAATTGAAAACCTAATTATATTGATAAAAGGCATATAATACACGAGCAAAATAGTTTTTTTTTCTTCTTCAAGAATTTTCTAGTGTAGTAATTACAAAGTCTATTGTTAAATAGAATCGTAGACGGTATATTGAATGTATAGTATAAATTAGAACAAGATAAAAGATAAAAGATGTTATTATAAATTCACATGTGCGATGAAAAATGTAAATTTCGATAGAGATACGTCAATCTTTGAAATAAAATGTCTCTTTAGCGTGGTTTTTTTTATTGCAGAGTCAATTTTCCGCGCGCGCAATTAGCTTAATTCTAAAAATCATTTTACTTTTTTTTAAATATCGTTAAATACAATTTACCATTTAATTACATTCGAATTATTTTAATGAAAAAAATGAGGAATGCACTTAATGTTGAGGAAAAACAATAAACATTAATGTAAACTCATTGCAAACTTTTTTTAATCATGAAATTCATACATTGTTAATTAATTACGTTTAATTTTTTTCATTTTTAGTTTCTTTTTTCAACTTCAATTTCTTTTTTCATTTTTATAGTTTCCTTTTCCAGCTTTAATTTATTTTTTCAGCTTTAATTTCTTTTTTCAGTTTTAAATTCTGTTTTTATTTTTAATTAATTAATTAAATTTTGGAATGAATTTACAAGGTTTTTACAAGGCACGGAAAACCTGGAAATCATAGAAATTCATTTTGGTTCAAGGAATTATGGAAATCTCATGAAAATTCCAATAAAATTGTGTAAATTTTGGAGCGCATGAAAATTTTTTAAAAATCAGTTCGAATTTCCATTTAACAGAAATTTCTAATTTCCGTTTAATCGAATATTTGACAGAAATTTCGTTTAATTTCATTTAATACTCAACAATTTGATTCATTTAATTAACTTTATTTAATACATTGTATTTTCATTTTAAAAATTCATGTATATTTAACCAAATCTCCATTTTTAGCATGAAAATTTTTGATTGGAATTATTTTGAATTCTTGACAAAAATTTTCTTTCTATTTATTTTTATAAAAATAAAAATTCTGTCAAATAAAAATTGAGCTTTTCAACAATACTATAAAAACAAAAAATCGTGCAAATAAAAATTCTGAGATGGGAATTTTGTTTAAAAATTTTACTGAGTCGAATTATTGTTGAATGGAAAATCTTTTAAATAAAAGTTCATTTAACTCTGAGGTTAACTCAGAATTCTTTCAAATTAAAAAGTAGGATGAATAAATTCGAAACAATGCTTTTTATGCAACATTAATGTTAAAAATTGAAAAGAAATTAATTTTTTTAAACCGATAAACTTGTCAACTTCGTCAATGAGGAAAAAATATATCCTCTTGAATTAACAACATTTCTGTGAAATCCTTTGTAGCAGAAATATTATTAATTCAATAGGAAATATTTTCCAGTAATGTGGAATCAAAGTGACACTCGGCTTTTCCCAATTTTTTAATTGAACATTAATAATTTTCTGACAAGAATTATTCCTTGCTGGAATTCGATTATTTTCAATATAATTTCTCAAAAGAGTTTAATTATTTTTTTTAAATTTGTTAAAATTCTTCACAAAAGTTCAAATATTTCGAAAAATTTTGATTAAATTCTTTAAGAGAATTAAAACATTTTGAATAAAATTTTAATTAAATTACTTAAAAAATTCTTCGCAGAAATTCAATTACTTTGCAAAATTTTCATAAACTATTTATCAGAATTGAATTATTTTCATAATTAATTAAATTATTTATAAGAATTTAATTATTTTCATAATTAATAAAATTCTTCGCAGGAATTTAATTATTTTTAAGAATTTGAATAAAATTCTTCGCAAAAATTATATTATTTTGAAAAATTTCAATAATACTTAATCTAAGAAAAAAAAAATTTAGTTTGAATTATTTTCATAATTAATCAAATTCTTCGCAGAAATTCAATTACATATTTTCAAAAATTTTAATAAAACTCTTAATAAATATTTAAATATTTTTAATGTTATTTTAATTAAATTTGTCGTAAGAATTAACTTATTTTTAAAGATTTTAATTAAAGATCTTCTTAACAAATTTAATTATTTTGAAGAATAAATTTGGATAAATTTATTTATAAGAATTAAATTATTTCAGATACAAAATTATAAAAGAAATAATATAAATGAAATATTTTTACTTGAACTAACTTCAAACTGCGAACATATTTCCAGATTCAACGATTATTAATAAAGAAAATAGACTATAGATAGATTCTTGTCATTATTTTTAATAAAAATTGTCAAGTAGGTACAATTAAGAAAATAATTTTTATTTTCTCCTTTCGGTAGATTTTTCTTGGAGAAGAAAAAAAAGAGAAAATGAATTGAAATATCACAACAACGCAACGTATGTAATATTGCAGGTGTGCAGAGGTGACCGGGTGATAGTGGACGTGACAAACATGATGTCTTCGGACAGCACCTCGATGCACTGGCATGGTCAACATCATCGAACAACACCTTACATGGACGGTGTGCCTTTCGTCACCCAGTGCCCGATTCTGCCTGGAAATACTTTCCGCTATCATTACGAAGCCGCCACTCCAGGAACACATTTTTGGCATTCTCACATTGGTACCATTTTTCAATTTTCAAAAACAATATTTCAACTGTTTACAATTTTCCTCTGGGTGCAGAGTAAAAATATTTAGATACTTTTGCCAAAAATTTCGCTAATACAGTGAAATTTGTAGTTTTTCCAGGTTAATATTTTTTTCCGTGCATAACGAAAAAAAGAATTATAGAAATTAATCATTTTAAAACTTTGCCAAATTCATCCCAAAAATCATTGAATCAGATAAATTAGAAGAAAGTCAGACAAATGAAAGCTCTATTTTAAATTTCTAAAATTTAACGTCAATTCGTCATTAAAAATGAATTTCAAGTGAATCCGATAAATTTTGTTAAATTACTATTACTGCTATTAAACTTTCTTATTGTACGAGAAAAATTGAATTTCGCAAAAATTCAAGTTACATATTTCATACTTATATTCTCAAAATAATTTTAAAATTAAAAATAATCTTGATTACAAAAATTTTAATTATTCAAAAAAATAATTGTACATTTAGCTTTTTAAACAAAGAATTCCGTATCTTTTGAAACTAAAATAACTGCAACAAATTAAATTAATTGAAATATGATAAAGTTAATTAAACAACTTCTAAATTTTGTTTGAAATTCTAATAATTTTACTAAATGGTCTCATTTTAAATAGCATTTATATTGACATAAATTATAATACTTTGGAAAACAAAATATCTGTAGTAAAAATACTAACTTTCACTTGCATTAATTATTTAATTACTTCAATATGTGATATAATATAATGAAGCTTCAAATTAAAAAAAAATATTCTCAATTCGTTTTTAGAAACAGAGAAAAAAAATTTCAAGTAAATTTGATGCGTATGATAGCCCCCAAATTTTAATTCTATACAATAGTTATTTAATTGAATTTTTATTTAAATACTGAGAATAGATATTTGATGTGATATATTTTTAATTGAAAAAATTGACAATAGATTTTCATTGATTTGTAGAATCAAGAATGTTAACATTCGAATTTATTCATTTGATTCTTTAAATTTCCTTTTCTTTTTTTTTTTGATAAATTTTCCCGATGTAATTATTTGTACATTTTTTCGGAAAAGAACATTTTATCCTTAAACCAGTCTCAAGGAATTTCCAAGACTAATAATAGCAACCAGGAAAGTCCAGTTGGAGGAAAAGTCATGACTAAACATTTTAAATGCAGCAGTATTTATTTATTATTCAAATTAAAATATTTAACTACAAATTTAATAGTAATTTTAATTTTTAGATTAGAGAAAAGAAAATAAATTTGAAGAATTAACGATTTTTTAAAAATAATAATCTTTTAGTCTCATTGCTTATTGTGTTAAAAATTATGCATCTAGTGCGAAATTAGAATATTTATTTATAATTCTTCGTTCCAATTATGCAAATGTCGCGAAGTAGTAATCAAAGGTTGCATTTTCTCTCTGAATCAAAAATCAGTGATGAATCATTTTTTATTATTAATAATCATTATTTAGAAAGGATTTAATTTCAAAATCTTTAGTAAAAATTATTCTAAAAAACTTAATTATTTTCAAGAATATTGAATTAAAATCTTTAAAACAATTAAATTACTTTAAAGAATTTTAATAAAAATCTTTCCAAGAATTAAATTATTTTCAAAAAAATTTTAATTACATTTTCTCAAAAGAATTTAATTAATGAAAGAAATGTTCATAAAATTCTTGAAATTAATTCAATTATTTTCAAATTTTTTTATAAATACTTTACAAGAATACAATGATTTTCAGTACATCGACAATTTAATTATTTCTGAAAATAATTGAATTCTTGAATATAATTTTATTAAAACTTTTTTAAATAATAATTGAATTCCTGCGAAAAAATTTATTATCTCTACAAATAATTGAATTTTTGCAAAATTTTAAAAAATAAGTGAATTTTTGAGAAGAATTTTATTAAAATTGTATTTAAAATAATTGAATTCCTGTGAAAAATGTAGTATTAATTGATGTTATTGAACTCTTTTGAAGAATTTAAAAAAAATGTTTAAATATAATTTTATTTTCCCTGGAATTCAATTAAAATTGTATTTAAAATAATTGAATTCTCGAATTGAATTTTGTTAAAAGTTTTTTAAATAATTGAACTCCTTTGAGAAATTCAATTATTTTTTAAAATAATTGATTTTTCTAGGAGATCTTTTACAAACTTTTTAAAAATAATTGAAATTTTCGAAGAAATGAATTAAAATTGTATTGAAAATAATTGAAACCCTCATAAGAATTTTATTATTTATATTAAAAATAATTAAATTTTTTACGAAGATTTTTATTATTTATAAATTGACTTTTTGCAAAGAATTTTATTACAATTATTGAAAATAATTGAATTCTTCATAAAATTCAATTACTTTCAAATTTTTCAGTAAAAATTATCAAAACAAACTTCATTATTTTCAAGAATATTGAAATAAATTCTTCAAAAACATGTCAATTATTTTAAAGAATGTTAATAAAAATCTTTTCAAGAATTAAATTATTTTTAATACAATTTTAATTACATTTTCATGAAAGAATTGAATTATTGAAAAAAATGTTGTTAAAATTCTTGAATTGAATTCAATTATTTTCAAATTTTTGGATAAATACTTTACAAGAATTCAATTATTTTCAGTAAATTAATTTAAAAATTTTAAACATTTAAAAGAAAAATTATTTAAAAAGTTAGGAAACAAAGAAGCAAACAGCGACTAACTGCAAACTGCGAACAGATTACCGGAATACAACGATTATTAATATAGATTATTAATTATTATACATATTATTTTATTTTTTATATTCATATTTTTTGTAATATTAGGATTTTCTCAATTTTTGATAAAACATCTATTATGCAGGTTTTCAAAGGGGCGATGGAGTTTTCGGAGCAATGATAGTGAGAGTGCCACCCGAGGAAGATCCTCACAAGGCTTTGTATGACGAGGACAATTTTCAAGTGATAGTAATGGACTGGGAGCATAAAATGGGCGGCGATGCATTTTTAGGTCATTATCACTCGGGAACGAGTAATAAACCGCCAAATATTTTAATTAACGGTTTAGGACAATTTAAGCAAGTTATCGACGTCAATGGAACATCCGTAACCTTGCCAGTAGCTACATATCGCGTCAAGCAGGTAAAAGAAAGAAGGAAAAAAATATTTTCAAACCTTCGAGTGAAATTTCAAGGTGAAAATTTTGAACCTTGCAATGTAAAGCACTTTCAAAGGCTGTGACGTCACGTAAAGTGTCTTTATTTTTTACACCTTCATGATAATGAGTTTCAAGTTTAAATATAAATTCCTTATGACAGTTTTAGAAAAATTGAGTCACTTTTAATATTTATTTTCAATAATACACTGAAAACACTTTTTTTAATCCAAAAATACTTAAGTAGTTAACCAAAAAAATATGTTTTAATTGTAACATATTTTGTAATTGAATTAAACGTAATTTTTATTTAATCAAAATTATTATGTTTAGTTCAAAAATAATTTTTGGTTGACTGTATAACAAACAGAATTATATCTGATTCAAATATATTGTTTTCTCAGTGTAAAATATTTATATTTAATATTTGTATTTAATTTTTATAGTTTAATATTTGCATTTAATATTTATATGAAAATGATGAAAATTAAGTAATAGTACATTGTACAACTAGTGGCAAAAGTGTGATTTTTCGAGAGTGAAGTTTGCGGCTCGAGCGTAGCGAGAGCAGCAATCACTCGAGAAAAATCATTCTTTCACCACGAGTTGTGCACTACGTTTTCTCCTACGCCTTGCGAGGAAAGGTTTCTTCGTGAGTTTCGTATAATTTTTATTTAAAATGTTCTTATGTTTAATATAATAAAAGACGAATGTTTTGAGTGGGGAAGAAGTTAGATACAAAATAAATCTCGGTCAAAGAACAAGAAAAAAGAATAAATTCATGATTTACTTTCGCCACGCCAAATTTACTTTCGACACGCTAAAAATTACTTTCGCCACGCTGAATTTACTTTCGCCACGCCAAATTTTACTTTCGCCACGCTCTTCAGAGCAGTTGAGAAAAGTTCTACTTTCGCCACACTTTTCTACCAAGAAAAGTACTCCTTTCAGAGCAAGTGTTGGAGAAAAGTTATTAATTTCAATTTACTAGTGTAACAACTCTTGTTTATTAAAATTTTTAATTTTTTTTTGCAGAATATGAGATACAAATTTCGACTGATAAATGCAGAATTTCTAAACTGTCCGATTCAAATGACGATTGACAATCATACATTCTACGTTGTTAACAGTGATGGGAACGACATCGAACCCATTGAAGGTTAGACTTTTCACAATTGAATCACACTTTTCGAAATGGGAAAGCTACATTTCGTAATAAAATTAATGAAATCATTTTATTGCTTTAAATTTATCAGTAATGAAGAAAAAATAAAGTTGAAATTTACCAACGTTTATGTCGACGAAATGAAAATGAAAAATGTAGAATTTATCAACAAATTTCTCCGTCTCTATTTAATTCAAAAAAATTGAATTGATATTGAGATTGAATTCTTGAAATTGAATTCTTCAACGGACTTTTTTCTTATGAAGCTGAAATTACCAAAGTTTACGTCAATACAAAAAGGAAAGAATATTTTTTTTTCCTTTTTGTATTGACGTAAACGTTGGTAATTTTAGCTTCATAAGAAAAAAGTCCGTTGAAGAATTCAATTTCAATTTTTCCCGTTTCGAATGAACAAAATGAGAAAGACATTATAATTAATAGAAAAAATATTGAGAAAGAATAAAGAAAGAAGAATAATAAAGAAAATGTAAAGAAAATATAAAGAAAATAAAAAGAAAATTTATTTAAAAAATAAGTAAAAATTTTGAAAGAATATAAATTAATAAATTTCGTTTATGTATTACAGCGCAATCGTTGATCTCTTATGCTGGGGAAAGATTTGACTTTATTGTCGAAATGAATCAAGAGGTGGGAAATTATTGGATGCATTTCCGAGGACTTTTGGATTGTGGCGAAGCTTTCACAAAAGCATATCAAGTAGCAGTTCTTCATTACGAAGGAGCAAATGATTCGATACCAACTTCGCCCATTTCTTATGAACGAAGAGTTCCACTCAATGTTACGGTAAAAATTTACATTTTCAATCCACAATTTTTATTTTATTTCAAGAGAATCTCAAATTTCTTCGCAGTTATCTCATTTTTGTCAGTCAGAAAAAGTAATTTCATAAATTCAAAAATTAATTTCAATTTTTGAAAAAATTGCATATTCGAAATTTTAAAAATTCACTTATAAAGTACATAATTAATTATTTTGTTTATTATTTTCAAAAATTTTTCCTAAGAATTCAATTATTTTCATAAATAATAACATTCTTTGGAAGAATTTAATTATTTTTAAAAATAATAAAATTCTTCGAAACAAATTATTTCCATAAATAATACGAATTCTTCGAAAAAAATCAATTGTTTTCATAAATAATAAAATTCTTCATAAATTCAATTATTTTCAGAAATGTTTTCAAAGTCTTTCAAAGAATTCAATTTTTTGATAAATGTTTCACAAGATTTCAATAATTTTCAATACATTAATTTTAAAATTGATTATTTACTGGTATAGAACGATTATTAATACAGAAGATTAATTAATTAATTAACAATTATTAATCCATGAATATAAACATAAATAAACTAAATAAATAAATAGCGAAATATGAAGTAAATTAATTTAAATTATAATAAAAATTTAGTTTTGAATTTGAAGAAATAAATTTCGTTCAAAATTTTGGGATCATTAAAAAAAATTATTTTATGGTAAATAAATATTTTTAAAACAAAAAATAGAAAAGGATTATATTACGTAAAATACTCATAAATCATTTGTTTAAATACCGGCTTGTTGTGTTTTGTTAATTTGTTATGCAAAAAGTAATTTTCGTTTATCTTCTGTATTTGATTTTAGGAAATAAATGGATTTAACATGGGCACGGAAACAAACGATACTATCAGTATTCCTCTGTTTGATTCAATGGATCCTGACGACGAATCTAATATTAAAGACCCGGATTATCAATTTTACATAACGTATGACTTTTACAATGCCAGTAATCCAGTTTATCATCGAAAGAATCTCTATGACTTTCATCAAGGTAAAACAAATTTACAAAATTATTAACAAACATTACTTAAACAAGTTGTTCATTTCATGACCATTTAGCTTCCTCAATGTATAAAAATTGCGGTTTTGCAAACTTTTGAAAAACTATGTACAAAAGGGTTCGTCCAGAAGATTTGTTAAAAATAAAATTATATAAATCATTTATAATTTATAAGTTGTTATATACATATTTGGTGAAATTTACACTTTCATTTGCCAATTGCTTCTTTTTTATGATAGAATAATCATTTCAAAATATTAATATTAACATTAAATAAATTATGAAAAAAATACAAAATTTGAATTTTTTTTTAAAAAGAAAAATATTTATTAATTTGATAAATTTTGATAAAATATATACTTTGATGTATACATCAATCGATTCGTTTTCTTATCAGGAATGTAATTAAAAATACAAAAAAAAATTTTTTTTGAATTTTAAAAAAATTGTATAAAAAAAATTTTTGTAGATATTTTCGAAAATCCTTGTGTCAGATTTTAGGTATTAATGACTGCAATAAACCTGCAAAATTTCAGGACAATCCATCAAAATTTGTCTGAGATAATTTGTACACAATTTTTGTGACATACACACACACACACACATACATCTGGACATTTGCTCAGAATTGAATATACATATGTTTTAGATGAAAATGAGTCCATATAACCTTCTTTTGAAAAATTGAAAATCGTCACCAATGCAAAGCTTTCTCATGAGGCAGCAATAAATTTTAAAAGTAAAATTAATTTCAATTCAATTCGAATTTCAACTCAAATTGAAATAAATTTTAAAAGTAAAATTAATTTTAATTCAATTTGAATTTCAACTCAAATTGAAATAAATTTAAATTCAATTCGAATTTCAACTCAAATTAAAATTAATTTCAATTCAATTTGAATTTCAACTCAAATTGAAATTGATTTAAATTTAATTCGAATTTCAATTCAAATTGAAATTAATTTCAATTCAATTCGAATTTCAACTCAAATTGAAATTCATTTAAATTCAATTTAAATTTTAATTCGAATTGGAATTATTTTCAATTCAATTCGTATTTCAACTCAAATTGAAATTAATTTCAATTCAATTCGTATTTCAACTCAAATTGAAATTAATTTCAATTTAATTCGAACTTTAATTGAAGTGATATATTTTCAATTTCATGAAATAATTGATAATAAAATAGTAAAAAAAAATGAGAGAAATTGGACAATGATTTTTCTTTCACTTTCGAATTTATATTTTTAGAATTCACATCTTTGGAAACGTTAAAGGGTTTAAAAAAAAGAAAGGAGAATAATTTATATTCTAATATATTATTGGCAGGAATTTATTAGCCAAGAGAATTGCACTATGAAGTTGAAGAAACCTATTCCATCATTAAATACAATTAGGTTTGAAAGCACATGACCACGTAATATTTATTCTCATGTCCTCTCGAAACTATTGAAAGTGGCCATGAGCTCTTTTTCTACCTTTACACTTCTCGGCTCCTGAAACTCATCTGCATCTCTATTTTGTTTTTCGAAACTCTCAATGCATTTTTAAATTCATTCAACCGTAAAATAACAAATAATACAATTTAAAATTTGTTACTTATAATCATATTGAATAATATTGAAGAATAGATAGAAGAATAAATAAAAATAAAGAAATAGAAAAAAGAATAAAGAACCCAAGAGCATTTGCGTGTTGGAACAATCAAGTTGATAAATAAAAAAAAATTTGTTAAATCCTTGAAGAAAAACCTGAGAAACAATGAAACTTAATTTCTATTTAATTGCTTAGAAATGAAAAACAAACAAATTACACGAGAAAATCAATTATTGTCCATTTACGCAAATATGAATTACAAATAAATTTTTTTTTTTTATTTTCTAAGATAAGTGCGAACAAAATTATTTTAGTTAATTTAAAGTATTTTTTTTTATTTTCTTGGATAAGTGGAAAAAATTTGCTAATTTATTAATTTTGCTTCCTCATGAGGAAGCTTTGCATTGGTGACGATTTTCAATTTTTCAAAACAAGGTTATATGGACTCATTTTCATCTAGAACATATGTATATTCAATTATGAGCAAATGTCCAGATGTATGTGTGTGTGTATGTATGTGTGTATGTGTGTGTGTGTATGTGTGTATGTGTGTGTGTGTGTATGTCACAAAAATTGTGTACAAATTATCTCAGACAAATTTTGATGGATTGTCCTGAAATTTTGCAGGTTTATTGCAGTCATTAATACCTGAAATCTGACACAAGGATTTTCAAAAATATGTACAAAATTTTTTTTTATATAATTTTTTTAAAATTCAGAAAAATTTTTTTTTTGTATTTTCTGAAATAATTTTTTTATTTGTTAATATTTTTATTAATTATTCTCAAAATTACATTCCTGGCAAGAAAACGAATCGATTGATGTATACAAAGTATATATTTTATCAAAATTTATAAAATTAATAAATATTTTTCTTTTTCACAAAAAATTCAAATTTGGTATTTTTTTCATAATTAATTTAATATTAATATTAATATTTTGAAATGATTATTCTATCATAAAATAGAAGCAATTGGCAAATGAAAGTGTAAATTTCACCAAATATTTATACAACAACTTATAAATGATTTATATAATTTTATTTTTAACCAATCTTCTGGACATAAAATTTTGTACATAATTTTTCAAAAGTTTGCAAAACCGCAATTTTTATATATTGAGGAAGCTTAATGGTCATAAAATGAACAACTTGTTATTAATTGAAGCATTATTTTTCAGTGAAAAAAGGACACAAAGTGTACACACCGCAATTGAACCATATTACAATGAAACCATCATCGATACCACTTCTGTCTCAGAGGGATTCTATTGATACGAACACTTTTTGCAACGAATCAACTGTCAAGAATTGCGATAAAGATTTTTGTGCTTGCACCCATGTTCTTCAAGTAAAACTAAAAAGCGTCGTCGAGGTTGTTTTGATCGATGAAGGTGATTTTTACATGAATTTCTATTAAAAATGGCAAAACAGAATTTTAATTAAATTCTTCCAAGAATAAAAAATTCTTCCAAGAATTAAAAAAATATTTTTAAATAATAATTTTAATAAAAAGTAAAATTTCTAATATACAGGCGCCGTATACGATGCGAATCACCCCTTTCATTTGCATGGATATGGATTTCGAGTTGTGGCCATGGAGAGACTTGGTAAAAATACAACAATTGAGGAAGTTAAGAGACTGGATAAGGAAGGACAAATTCAACGGAAACTCCATCGAGCACCGATCAAGGACACAGTCACGATTCCTGATGGTGGTTACACAATTATTCGTTTTTACGCAGATAATCCAGGTGAGTTCCGTAATAAAGCCCATGTGGTAAATTATAATTGATGATCCATCAATTTTACTAAAACTTTCCATAAGAATTCTCTCAATTTAAATTTCTTTCTTCATATCTCCTTCGAAAGAAATTATTAAAAATTAAAAAAATAATTGAAATATTTTGGATAATTTCTACAAAGAAATTGATTAAAATTAAAAGAATTAATAATTAAATTCTCTTGAAAAATTTTATTAAAATTGTATTGTGAAAAAAATTAATTTCTGCAAAAATTTGATTATTTATGTAAATAATTCAATTCTTGTGAAGAAATTTATTAAAATTTTTAAGAATAAATGAATAATTGAATTTTTTAAAAATTTTTGAAAATAATTGAATTGTTAGAAGAATTTTTGCAAAAATTTTATTAAAATGTTGAAAAAAAAATTGAATTCTTTCCAAAAATTTTTAATACAATTGTGTTGAAAAGAATTTAATTTATGCAAAAAATTGTATGTATAATTATGTCCATACATAATTCAATTCTTGTGCAGAAGTTTAATCAATTTTTTGAAAATAATTAAATTGTTTCAAAGAATTTCTGCAAACAATTTTATTAAAATTTTGAAAAATTATAAATTGAATTGTTTTCAAAAATTAAAAAAATTAAAATTGTATTAAATTGTATTAATATTTTATTAAATTGTATTAAAATTTTATTAAAAAAAAAATTTCGGCAAAAATTTTATTATTTTTGGAAATAATTGAAGGACTGGATGCTATAAGGTGTTACGCGCCAAGTTAAGTCAATGACGCATAACACATTATAGCATCCAGCCCCTCAATTCAATTCTTGTGAAGAAATTTATTAAAATTTGGAAAACTAATATTGAATTCTTCCTAGAAATTTTATCAAGATCGTATTGAAAATAATTTAATTTCTGCGAAGAATTGTATTATTTATATGGAAATAATTCAATTCTTGCGCAGAATTTTAATACAATTTTCGAAAATAATTCAATTATTTTGAAGAATTTCTGCAAAGAATTTTACTATTTATGGAAATAATTGAATTGTTAAGAAGAAATTTAATAATAAAAGTTAATTAATAAAAGTTTTGAAAATAATTGAATTTTTTTGGAGAATTTAAAAAATTTGTTTAAATACCTAATTGAATTGTTTAAAGAATTTTATTAAAATTTTGAAAGATAATAATTTAATTCTCTGGAAAAATTCTCTTAAAATTGTATTGATAATAATTGAATTTGTGCAAAGAACTGTATTATTTATGAAAATATTTCAATTCTTACGCAGATTTTTAATAAAATTTTTGAAACTAATTGAATTGTTTTGATGAATTTTATTAAAATATTAAAAATAATTGTATTTAACACAACATCGTAATAATAATATATAATAACTATTAATATAATAATATAAATATTTTTTTCAGAATAAATAAAAGTTGGTTAAAAAAAGAAATAAAATAATACAAATTTTTTTTCGCAGGTTACTGGCTGTTTCACTGTCACATTGAATTTCATGCTGAAGTTGGAATGGCTCTCGTCTTTAAAGTTGGAGAACACGAGGAATTTCCACCGGTTCCAAAAAATTTCCCACAGTGCAACAGTTTTATGCCATTTTCTCCACCGGAAATTGTGGAAGCAAATGCAACCGAATACAGTGTAAATAAAGAAACGAATTTGTCATCAACACCAAATCCAAAAGAAAACGAGGTACAAAATGCGGAAGATGTGAAAAATTCAATAAAAGCTTGGTTGCCGATTGTTCTTCAAGAACTGGGAATAACTGCAAAATCTTCCTCATCGATTTTCGTCCCTCAAAAGTCTATCATTGAATTTAGTTTTATTTTCGTTGTTATTTATCATCTAAGAACGTTGCTTTAAAATCACAACCTGTGAGATTGTATGAGTATTTGTGTGAAAAATTTTCCAAACTGTATATTTATTCCTTTCTATCATTTTTATCATTTTCGTTTTTTCTTCCATTTTTCCTTTTTTTTCTTCTATTTTTGGCTCGAATAATAACAAAATTTTCGGCTGCAACTTTTGACACTTTTTCTCATTATTTTTAATATACGTTTCTTTTTTATTTATTATATGTGATACTTGATGAAAAAAGTATTATAAACAGTAATTACGAAAAGTAATAATAATGTAAATAAGAGATTAAAGAATTGAAAACTTTTCACTCTTTTTCTATTTTTCATGAATTTTTGTATACTATGAATATGAAAAGTTTTTTTTAAACAATGTTATCAATTATGTTGTACGCTTTAAACATTTTAATGTTTTTACAAGTTAGACGAATGTTTGTAAAGTATTGTCTTCCCTTTCTCTGTGATAATTACCATTCTGTGAACTTGTATTTAAATATTATTGCGATACTGTAATTTATGATCAATATATTTATAATAATAATAATTTTTTAATAAATACATTTTTTAAAGTAATTAATGTATATTTCATTTTATGTTTATTTTTCGTATTTTTTTATTTATTTTATATTTATTATATTCATTTTCCTTTAATTAAATATAACAATTATTTCTTTTTTGCAAAATTCTTTTCTGGTCAAATTTTGGATTTTTCTTTTTTTAATATTGCACTTTAAATTGTTAGAAAATCAATTATTATTGCCTAAAATATAAACAAAATCTAACTAAATGGATAAAAGTTATTCGTTTTTCCATGTATTTGTAAAAATTTATTGGAATTATTTAATTTTGTAAAATATAAATGTACTTTTAAAAACCTGGAAAAATTCCGTTTTTTAATCTGGAAAATCTGGAAAAGTCAGGGAATTTGAAATAAGCAAAAGCACTAGAAGTACCTACTAATTTCTTTTTTAAAAAGAAAAAGAAAAAATAATATATTTTAAGTAAATGAATTTAGTTTAAAAAATAAAATAATTAAATAATCATTTTGGAAAAATAGATTTAAAAAGAGAACGAAAACAAAGAAAGGAAATTGAAAAAAATATAAGTGCCAGTGTGTTATAAAAGGTTTCCTTATATTATAACGTTTTTTTTAAACAAACTGAATGGAGTTACAGTATAATATAATATATATACGCAAAAAATCTAGGCATTATTCTTTACAACAGTAGTTATTATTAAATTTGTTTATTTATTTTTCTTCCTTTCTTTTGTCCTTTGTTGTCAAAATTTGTTTCTCTTAGAGAACGATTTGCATATTTATACCGAGAAATTCTTTCTCACAAAAAATGCTCTTTCTCGACGATAACATCCAATACTTATTTAATAGAAAAACGCTAATAATTACATAAATCATTAAAAAAAAAATTATAAAAAAATTATAAAAAAAATATCTGTAGGCCTAATCATCTTATCAGACGAGATCGCGAAGCATTTTCATAAACATCTTTTCTAAAAACTAATCCATTAGTCACTTTTTTTATTTACTATCTCACATTTTTAAAATAATAATTATATTAATATAATATAAAATAATAATGCAATTCTCCCAATGACTTAAATGCACATTGAAATTAAGTCAAGACGTTCGATTTATCATTTACTTTCTGATTTGTATTTTAATTTAATTATCCTTCTTTCTATTTTGTTTCTACTAAATTCTATTAAATAATGAAAGCCAAGAAAAATAAATTCTTTGCGAAATTAATTTTTTATGAACATCTACAACATTTTAGGTAATTTTTTTAAGGCATGTTATGGTACAGATTTTGTACTTTTTGCGATCTTGGCAATAAATTTTCTATTTTCCTCACGTCTCTTTAATCACAGTCTTTTTTCTTCTATATGGAATCAGAAATTCGAAATATTTTACTTTTTCTCAAAAAAAAAAAAAAAAATTGCTTTCTTTCCTTTTTTCAAAGATATATTTTTTTCACTTTATTTTTCTATGTTATGAAAAAGTAAAATTTTCTTCGTTACTCCAACTAAATAAATATTTTAACTAAAAAGTAAAATGTAAAAGAAGCAAATGTTTAATTTTCTGTGTCAATTTCTTAAAATTGAAAAACTGAATTTTCGTTTCACTGAATTTATATAATTTGGAGAATTATTTTTTGACGGAATTCATAGTTTGATAAAATTGACATTCAATTTTATTTATTTAAAATAGTTGAAATTAATAATAATCTATTTTTTTATAACGAAAATGGAATTTTCCATAAAATTAATTTTATTTAATCGAATTTCTATTTTAATTTAATATTTTATTTCTAGATTTTCTTCTTTTGTCAAATTATTTTCATTTGACATCGAATTTATATTTTTAATGAATATTTTGTTTAACTAAATTTTCCTTTTTTATAAATTATTTTTATTTGACATCGAATTTCTATTTTATTAAAAAAATATTTCATGTAATCAATTTTTTTTTGTGAATTTATTTTCATTTGATGTTTTGTTAAAACACCTAAAATCATGTACATTTTTTTTACCCTTTTTAAAAACAAAATTTCAAAAAATGTTTACTTTTTGTAAGTAAAGCAATTTTTCAGTTATTTTGAAGAAAAATATTTCTACTTTTAAAACAAAACCTGTGAAAAAATTGTAGTTTCTTGAAACTTAAAAATTATTTTATTTTATTTTCTCTGGGTTTTTAAACTTAGAATATTATTTTTATACAAGGCAAGAAATATTATAAAATAACTTTTACTAATTACAAATTAAAATCCGAACTGTTTAGAATTTCTGTCGACTTGTACTATTTCTAGAATAAATTTCACTAAGCTGAATGTATATTTTACTATTTTTTATTACAATTTACTTTGGATGTTATAAAATTTATTCTGAAAAAACGTTTTTTAATAGCAAATTTTTACTTTTTCCTAATTTGAATTTTGTGTACAAATTTTAAAAATTTTCTTCCTGCGTAATAAAATTTATTATTAAAAATCATTATTTACAGAATAAATTTTACTACTTCTGAGGTAAATTTTTCTAATTATCATAAAGAAATTTGCTTCGAAAATAGTAAAAGTTATTCTAGAAATAATAATTTTTAACAGTAAATTTTGCTTATTTTAAAGAAAATTTTACTACATAAGTCTTGAGTAAAGTTTACTAAATTTTTACTAAAAATTTACTTCGAATATAGTAAAATTCAAAAAATTTTCAAATAAAAGTATCGTTAAAATAATTTTGATACTAAATTTGAAAATTCCTTTTTTAATGAAAACTTGACTAAAGAAGTTTTTCTAAAAAAAATTTATTATAAATTCCGTTAAAAATAAAAATTTTGATAAATAGAAATTCGATTGTTTTTAATAAAATTTACGATTTTACTTCGATTAGTAGAAAAAAACGAAAAATCATATTTTCGAACCAATATCTATTATAGTGCCTTTTTCTTTTTTTTTTGAAAGATAAAAAAAATCGTCCGTCTTGACTTAATTCAATTCTAAAAAAAATTCTCCGTCTATAAAAGGAATGAAAACATACAAAATACATACGTAGAATAATATTCATTAACAATATAATAATATAAATAACGACGTGACAATTTTTTCCTTTTCTCAATCATGTGATGACTCGAGATATTTGTGAAAATGCGAGACCTTTCTTCCATCTTCCTCTCTCCTTTCTTTCCTTTCTTTTTTTTAATACATTTTTCATCGTCTTTGATCATACTTCGATCAAAATATTTCGTTATTAAAAGTAATTTTTTTATACCCTTACTAATACTAGACGTGCACAATTACTTGTTTTTTTCCCACTATATTTCAACTATATCTCTAGCTTATGATTTTAAGTCAATTCAGAGATCATGTCAATTCATTTTGACTCCGAATCAAGATAAAATAATAAATCTAGTGGTGTAAAAACTGAGCCATTTCATTTTTATACAATAATAATAATAATAATTAAAAGGAAAAATAAAATCTACTCTTCACAATTATTATCAAGCTACTATGAAAAGAAATTCATTTTCACCATTTTCCAATTTTGGAACTTGAAAATTTTTTTCAAATATTTCTATTTTTTCCTTTTTTCTTTCTTTTGACAAAAATTTCTTAGAAAATTTTTTAAATTTTATATATAAACTAAATTACTATCAGTATTTTTATTTTGAAAGGAAAAATCTAAAAAATCTTTATTCGGAAAAGATAATGTCGAGTAAAACATCTTCGATCACAATTATCCTTTTTTTTTATGAAAATAGAAAAATTTTGAAATTCCCAATTTGGAAACTATTCGCAAAAATATTTTGTCTCGGTAAAATTTCTTCGCTTTCTCTCTCTCTTTCTCTCTCGCAATATTACACAAAAAATTCTCGTCTTTTCTCTCACATTTTACAAATTTGATACTTGATACAAGACAACTTATTTATATATTATTGTATTATATATATGTATAATATATATAATAGTATCATATATATTATAGATATTTATATATAATTTATATATTTATATATTTATATATGCAAAAAAAAAAAATTTGAAAAGACGATTCTACAAAATGTCGCACTAACTTATAAAAGGTTTCCGTTATTACGATAATCTGATATCTTTTCAAAATATATAGCACATTTAGAAAAGCGACACGCTTTCGCTCTGCGGAAACCTTATTTTCTAAATTCGCTCTTAATTTTTAATATAATAAAATCCTATACGTTGGCTTTTTTTTACCGATGGTCCTAAAAAAATCAAGTGTAGTTTTTACTTTTATTTTTGCTTTTACGGTGTTTTGTTTCATTATTATTTTCTTTTTATTTGGAATTCTAGTGTTAGATTTTTACGTGTATCTAAACACGAAAAAGGCAGGCACTTTATAGTGTCACAAAAATCTTTTTTTCAATTCTTCATTCTCTCTCTCGCTCGTTTATTTTTTTAACTCACTCGCTCTACGTTTTAAACCTTGTCTTAAAATTTTCATCGTTCATTTGAAATATTTATTTTCTATTTAGATTTCAATTCCACGGACGAAACACAATTGCAATTCTATACTTAATCCAATAAAGAGATCAAGATTTCCTTTTACTCACCGATCGCTTTTTCATAATTAAATTATATAACCATATACAAGAAAAAAAAATACATCTCTAGTTTGTCGTTCACTGGGCTTTAAAAATTAATATTTAAAAAAAGGAACAATTTTTTCCTGTTCTACTAAAAACTAATTTTATTATTTTTATTCTACTTTTTTTAAAAACTAATTTGCATACTTTCGCAAACCAAAATACCCATTTATGGAAGAGATCAATAATAAAAATCGTTAACAAAAAATGCTTCAATAAAAAGCTTTGTACACAATTTATCGATTTTATTTAATATCATTCAATAAATAAAACTCGAATAATAAAATGGACGACATTAAAAATGGGTAAAAGAAATACTGGCACACAAAAACGTTCTCTGACAAAAAGAAAAAAAGAAAGAAAGAAAAATTGTAAGAGAAATAAGTCTTTCTTTTAAGAGAAATTTGCCCAGTAAACGTGCAAAACAAAATACAAATATATTTCAATACATTGCAAATTCTCAAAAAAATAATTAAGGAGAGTTAAAATTTAATACATCTCATGAAAAAAAATATATATATATATTAAAAAAGACAAAAAATACAAAAAACAATAAAATTTAATTAGTCTCAATAAATTATAATAAAATCACGCAACCTTTTGATAAATTTTATATACTATACATAAGTTAATGATAAAAATAATAATAATAAAAATTATAATAGTAATAATAATAATAATAATACATGATACATAATCATGAAAATAAAATATTATTAATAAAAAAATACATAATAATATTAAAACTATTAATAAAAAAAATAATAGGTAAGAATATTATTAATAGAAAAATTACATAATAATAATAATAAAAAAAGAATAAAACAATAATTAATAGTAATAATAATAATAAAAATAATAATAAGATCCGAATTTATTTCAAATCATTTTTGCCTGATGTAAAATAAATTCGATCAAAATAAAAAAGCGCATTTAAAAAACATTTTAAAAAAATTACATTAAAATTAACGATCGATCAAAGCTGCATTCATTTTTGTATCGTTTGCTTTTTGACAAATGTTAAAATTTGAGAACGTTGAAATTTTAAAACCGGTGAAACGACTAAATCAGGTTTTTGAGCTAGGCATTATTTCTTTTTTGTTTGTTTTTTTTATACATTGTTAATAATTTAAGGAAAAAGAACCTATTGTTCAATTTTTTGTTTTTTTGTTACCAAATCGGTTCAAAAAATATAGATAAGTCTGACGCAAAGTTTTTTTTTACAACATTTTTGACTGATAATGGTAGTAGAATAATAATTATTTTTTTGTGTTATGTACGTGTTTTCTTTTTTCTTTCAAATATCAGCTTAAAAGTATTTATCTAGTAAGGTTCTCGCGCTAATATTAGTTGTGTATCAGTAGCTAACTCGTTCTTCTTCATAAAAAGAGTCAGTAATACTCGTTTCGTATATATTTAGAAAATAACCGATCAACTGTGTCCATTCAAATCTCTTGGGGATCATTGATTTCGAAAGGCAAATTCTTTTATATTTTTGTTTTTCTTTTCACAATATTAAATTTTCCAATCTTCGAAATCTTACTCTTTTAAAAAAAGTAAAAAAAAAAAATTTTTTTCTTTTAATAACATTATTTGAGATTAATTTCATTATTATAATATTATATTAATTATTGTAATATTTTCATATATTATAAATTTTTAGTATAATATTATAAAATATATTAAATGGATTTCGCTATTTAAATTTTTTAATTATTTACAGCATTAAATGGGCCCTATAAGAATCAAATGCCCTGACGAAAAAAAATTGTCCAATTAAATTAGATTTAACTAATTATTTAGTTAGTAATTAATTGAATTAATTTTCAATTAATAAAATTAATTGTTCGAAGAAAATTAAAAAAATTTTAATTCTCTTAATTTATAGACGGGCTTAAGTTGGCGTATAGTTTTCATAACTCAAGAGATTTGAACGTTCCAATTTGTTTTTTAACTGCTTCTCGATACCAAATGGTATTCGAAGTTCTATCTAATATACTTATATAATATATTTATATATTTATATTTATATATGATATTCATTAATCGTTATAAATTATTGAATTATTGTGCCGTTACCGTTTGGGAGGGTAATTCATTATTTTTTTTTAATTTTTTACTGATGACGTCTCACTCTCGAACTATGCTTGCCAGTCGAAAATTTTAATCTCCTAATGACCTTTTGCTGCTTCCTTAGCCGCCATTATTAGTGGCGTTAATGAGGCCAACGGCCTTGCTAATTTCAAAAACGGATGCTGTGAAAATAGAGAAAATTTTGTTACTAAAATGTACTCGAAACATAATAGAAATTTTTTTTATAATATATTCAATTATTTACCTACATAAGTAAAAAATTTATTTGTAACTCAGAAAAATATAACGAAATTAAGAAAAAATGTTAAAAGACAATTATTATTTATATATTATAATCTTTATAACTTAAATTTTTGAACAATTTCATACTCAAAATTTTTAAAAATTCACTTATTAACTAATTAATTATTATTAATTATTACTAGCAAAGTCCTACGCGCGCGATGCGCGCGTGAATGATTTAAAGAATTATCACGGTAGCAATCTGCCTACCTGCTTTCCACAGAAAAAATTTAATAATTTCAATTTATATTCTTGCATGTTTACAATAGTTATGATTTTTTAAAAAATCTCGGTATTTCAACTATATTATCATTTCCACGCCTCAGAAGCCATTTAAAAAAATTGCAAGAAGATCGAAGGCGGGGAAAGCAGTGATTTTTATTTTTTGTCACGGATTTTTCAGAAATCCTAAAATATAAAATAAATCAAAATCACTGCTTTCCCCGCCTTCGATCTTCTTGCAAAATTTTTTAATGACTTCTAACATTAAAATAAATAATTAGCAAACGAAAAAAATTGCTTCCAAGGGGTGGAAATTATAATTTAGTTTAAATACCGAGATTTTTAGAAAATCCTCGAAAAATCAAAATTACTACTTTTCTTGCCTTGGATCCTTTTGCAATTTTTTAATGGCTTCTGTTATTAAAATAAAGTGAAAAAACATGCCTCTACTCAACTCAAGTTTCAAATGTAATTTTTATACATGTAATTTTCTCATGAAATCCCTCAAACATTTTTTAAGCTCATATAAATGTAATAAAATTCAAACTCAAAAGATTTAAATTATAATTTCTGCAAATATTTTAATTTTCATTCTTATGTTTCTAATAATGGTTGGGGTACAGTTTTTCTAAATCGTATTTTATAAAATTTTTTTTCTAATAAAGGTGAATTTCTAAAAAACTTTTTTCTAATCAAGGTGATTTTGAAATTTTCTGTCTTCTAATAAAGCTGATTTTCTAAAAATTTATTTTTCTAATAAAGGTAATTTTCAAAATTTTTCTTTTTTCTAACAATATTCTATTTTTGTAATCACGATCAATAAGTACATATGATTAAAAAATAAAATTTACGAAAATTTGTTAATTCTTTAAAAAAATACTTGATATTTCGTTAAAAAATTATAATAAAAAATAGAAATTATGCAAATTACTTAACAAAATTTTCAAATAATCTAGTTAAAAATCGTAATTAACAAATTATAGGGATTTTTTCCCTAAAGATATTTAAAATTATCTAAAAAATTTTTTTATAAATATATTAATTTTGGAAATTTAAATGTAAAAATGATGCAAATTATTTTTTTTCAAAGAAGAATAGAATTTTGTTAACAAATTGTGATAACAAATAGTAATTTTATAAAAAATTTTCTTCATTTTCAAAAAGAAACTTATAATTTTGTAAACAGAATTGTAATTGAGAAACAGAAAATTTAATCTTTATTTTTAAACAATTTTCTAATTTTTATCAAAATTATGAAATTTTAGAAATTTTAGGAAAATAAACATTAGAAATTATAACTTTTTATAAAAACTTTTTTCAGAAAACAGATTTAATTAGAAATCGCCTTTTTAGACAAAAAGGTGTAGAAATTACTTTTTTTTAAAATAGTGTTCGCCTACCCTAATAATTGTTAGTATTCAGCTAAAAAATATATTGAATACATTGAAATGTTGATAATTGAAGGAAAGAAATGTTTAATAGAATTTATAAGTATTATTTTTTCTGAAATAAATAAAGTACCCGATTCTGCGTAACCGGAATGGCAAGAGTATCAAAAAATGTAAAAAATGCGGAATTTTTTTTTAAATTTATTGAATTATCATTTTTTAGGAGACTGAATTTACCAAAAGAAATAAAAATTCTAAAGATTTAATTGAAAAACACTATTTTAATCTAAAAAACATACTAAATATTTAAACTTCAAAATTTAAGTGTCTTTAATCAATTTATTTTTGTCAAACAAAAGTGGCAAATAAAATTCAGTTCACTAATTGAATAATATTGTAAAAAAAATTGTTCGATGTTAGAATTTTAACTTTTTATCAATACCAAGTTTGAGAATTTCATTAAATTTATAAGAATTAACAAAATAATAGAGAATTTTTGAAAAAATTACATGTATTTAGTATTTACCATTTTTAACATCAGTTGAATAGAGGCATGTCTTGATCATTTTTCTTTTATTTGTAAAAAAATTTCTTTGCATCAAGTGGTTATCACACATATGGGAATACTCATAACCAAAATTTCTATCAAAACATTAATTACTATAGAAAAACAAAAGACGACACTTTCTGTTATATATATATATATATATATATATATATATATATATATATTATTTTATAAAATTTTAATAAAATTCTTCACAAGAATTCAATTGTTTTCCTAAATAATAAAATTCTTTACAAGAATTTAATAATTTTTAAAAATTGTAATAAAATTCTTCTCAAAAATTCAATAATTTTTAAAAATTCTAATAAAATTCCTCGTAAAAATTCAATTATTTTCAAAAATATTGACAAAATTCGTTATAAAAATCAACTATATTCATAAATAATAAAAATCTTCACAGAGAAAAATGTTTAATAGGTACAATTCTTCCCAAGGGATTCAATTACTTATTCAGAAACAACAAAATTCTTTACAAAAATTCAATAATTTTTTAAAATTCTAATAAAATTTTTCGCAAAAATTCTATAATTTAAAAAAATTATAATAAAATTCATCGTAAAAATTCAAATATTTTTAAGAATATTGACAAAATTCGTTATAACAATTCAATTATATTCATAAATAACAAAAATCTTCATAGAAAAAAATTTTTAATAAAATTTTTCCCAAGGAATTCAACTATCTTCATAAATTTATCTTCGCTAAAATTCAATTATTTTCATAAATAATAAAATTGTCCGCAGAAATTCAATTTTATTTTCCATACAATTTTAATAAAATTTCACGAAAGGATTTAATTAATTTTTTAAAATCTTTGTGAAATTTATGAAAAAAAGTTAGTTATTTTCAAAAATTATAACAAAATTCTGAGAAGAATGTAATTTAACCAAAAAATTTAACAAAATTCAATAGTAAAAATTTTGATTACAATTATTAGCAAACACGATTACTTTAGAAAATTGAAAGAAATTCTTTGGAAAATTCAATTACTTTCAAATTTTTCAATTAAAATTATAAAAAAACTCCATTGTTTTCACAAAATTCAAGAAAATTCAATTATTTTTAAATTTTAATAAAATTCTTCGCAAGAATTCAATTATTTTTAATTATATTATTAAAAATCTGTATAAAATTCTTCGAAGGAATTCAATTATTTTCGAATTTTTTTTTTATAAAAAAAAATTAGAATTTTGTAACAAAAATTGTTATTGACAAATTGAAATCATCCAAATTTTTTTCACTTTTATTCTATAAAAAACTTTATTTGACAAATCGAAATTGTACAGGTTTTTTCTTCTTTATTCATAAAAAAATATTAGATAATTGTTAAAAAAATTATTATTAAAAAATGAAAAATATTTTACATATTTTTTGTTTCTCAATAAAAATTAAATTTTTAATTGTAAATAAAATTGAGAATTTTAAAAGATTTTTATCAAATTTGCACCATTTCTATTTCTCAATTAAAATTTCTTTAAAAAATTCAGTTTTCTTTTAGAAATGAAGAAAAAAATTTCTATAAATTTTGTTTGCCAATTACAAGTTTTAATTGAAAATAAAACTAAGAATTTCTAAAGATTTTTATAAAATAAAGGGAAAAAATTCGATTTGTCAACATTTTTTTAAAAAAAAATTTGCATAATTTCTACTTACCAAATTACTTCTTAATAATTTTCATTTATTAATTTCTTTCAAGTGTAATTTTTATCTGTTAAATAATTATAAAAATAATTCATCAAGTAAACAAAATGAATATTTGTTTTCACTATTTTTTTTCTCTTTACCTTGAGAAGTTCCGAGGCTGATGAGCGTCTTTCCACTTCAACTTCCAAACATTGGTCTAAAAAGTCTTGGAAAATGCCGGACAGCTTCTCCTTCTCCTTAATTTCTGGTTTGCCGTTTGTCGCGATTAAATAAAGTGCTTTTAAAGGATTTTCATTTAAATACGGCGGCTCTCCTTCTATCATTTCGATAGCCATTATCCCCAAGGACCATATGTCGACCTTCGGATCAATAAGTTTGCAATGATTAAAAATAGTTTTATCGATAGAATCGTCGAATGATGTAATTGTAAATAAAAAAAAATGAGAAGAGAAAAAGGCATTTCTTTCTCTCTATAGAAAAATAAAATTCAATTCAACAATTTTTTGAAATTTACTTTTCTGTAAAATGTTTACTGAGATATGTTTGTGTTTTATTATAAATAAAAGAAATGAGAAGAGAAAAAGATATTTCTTTTTCTCTATAGAAAAATAAATTTCATTAAACAATTTTTATATAATGAAATTTAATTTTCAGTAAAACGTTTAAATATTCTGTCATCTTTTTGTATTTATAGCCTTTTTTTTAATTTGAATGGAAAATAAATTTTACATTATTACTGCAAAAATTTGCAAATATTTTAATTTAATTTAATTAAAATTTTTTTTTAACTTTCAAGCGCTTCAGAAATTTTGATGTTAATTAAAAATGTTTATTAATATGTAATTAGAATTTACATAGCTTAAAATATATTTTTATTTATACATTATAATTTTAATTATTAAATCATTTGCGAATTTTGTTGATAAATTTTAGTGGTAAAAATTTTAATCTAATTAAATCGAAATATTAATTAATTTAAATTTATTATATACAGTCAGCTCGATAGAGATGAATTTACCCAAAATTTAATTGTATTTTCATATTCAATAATAATAATTATATTGTATTTAATAATTCATTGTCTTTATTAAAACAACCGAGTAATAAAATCATTATTTATCTTGAAAATAAAATTAAATAAAAAGCATTTGAATAATTTTAATAATTGAGGCTCCGGATCTTAAAAGGGCACTTTCAGCATTGATTTTAAATGGTAAAAGTGCCCTTTTAAGATCCGGAGCCTCAATTTCTGAGCATAGTTTCCCTGATTTCCAGAAATATTTTTAACTTTTTCCTTCATTCCAATAATAACTTCCATTAAAATTTTTTAGAAAATTCAAATACATTAATATATTTTTTGAAAACTTTAAAACAATAAGTTAAACAATTCAATTATTTTCTAGAATTATTCTAGAATAATTTAAAAAAAAAACTAATTCATTTTTTGCAGAATTTTCATTAAAAATAATTCGAAAATGCTATAAATAAATAATAATAATATTTCTCGAAAGAATACAATTATTTTTAAAAATATTAATTAAATTTGATTATTTTCAAGAATTTTGTAAAGAATGAATTATTTTCGACAATTTTGATGAAATTCTTTTTAAAAAAATCATTATTTTCAAAATTTTTAATAAAAATTCCTTCAAAAAATTCAATTATTTTAAAAAATTTAGATAAAATTCTTCGAAACAATTTAATTATTTTTATGAATTGTAAAATCCTCCGCAAGAATTCAATTATTTTCATAAATAAGAAAATTCTTCGCAAGATTAAAATATTTTCATAAATAATAAAATTCTTCTAAGGAATTCAATTATTTTCATAAATAATAAAACGTTTTGGAGGAATTCAATTATTTACAATACAATTTTAATAAAATTTCTCAAAAAAATACAATTATTTTTAAAAATAGGATTATTTAAATTCAATTATTTTAAGGAGTTTTTAATAAAACTTCAATTATTTTCAACAATTCTAATAAACTTCTTCGAAACAATTCAATTATCTTTATAAATTGTAAAATTCTTGGCAAGAATTCAATTATTTTTGTAAATAATAAAATTCTTCTGAGAAATTCATTTATTTTCAATACAATTTTAATAAAATTTCTAGGAAAAAATTCAATTATAATTCAATTATATTTAATATAATTTTAATAAAATTTCTCTAACCGGTTCAATTATTTTTAAAAATTGTAGTAAAATTTTTCTAAACAATTCAATTGTTCTTAAAAGTTTTTAATAAAATTTTTTGTAAATTTCAATTATTTTCAAAATTTTAAATTGAAATTGTTTTAAAAAGTTACGTTATTTTAACGAAATTTAATGAAATTCTTTTAAAAAAAGTAATTATTTACAAAAACTAATAAAATTGTTTAAAAGAATTTTAATTACATTTTCTCTAAAGAATTCAATTATTGAAAAAAATGTTGATAAAATTCTTGAAATGAATTCAATTATTTTCAAATTTTTTTATAAATACTTTGCAAGAATTTAATGATTTTCAGTACATTAATTTAAAAATTTAAAACATACATTTAAAAAGGAAAATCATTTCAAAAGTTAGGAAACAAAAAAGCGAACAGCAACTAACTTCATACTGCAAACATATTACCGGAATACAACGATTATTAATATACCTAAAAGATTATTTTTATAGCCTAATTTTCATTAATTTTCATTATTATTAAATTTACACTTGAAGAGTTTTCATTAAAATTTTTGAGAATTCAATTATTTACAAAATTTTCAATTAAAATTCTTTAAAAGTTAATTTTCAAAAAGTTATAATAAAATACCTACTTGAAAAAAATTATTTATTTTCAATTAAATTTTACAAAATTTCAATTATTCAAAATCTTTTAAATTGTATATTTCAAAAATCTAATTAGAAAAATTATTCAAAAATAACTTTTTAAAGATTTGTCTATAATTATACTTTTCACACTATAAAAATCGAAATAAGTTGCATTTTATACTAGAAATATGGAAATTTGAAATACTAGAAATTTGAAAGAAAAGTCGAAAAAATCGCATTTTATAAAAATTAGTCGAAAAAAGTCTCAGTTTTTAAAAAACGAAAAAATGAAAATTCGAGATCTGTTGAATAAAATAAATGATATTTTGTTGTAATTACCTTGGGACCGTATTGCTTTCGGGTGACCACTTCCGGTGCCATCCAATATGGCGTGCCCACCATTGTCGTTCTTTTACTCTGTTCAGGCGAGATCTGTGCGCAAAAGCCAAAATCCGTTAATTTAACACCGCCATCCAAACCAAGAAGAATATTATCCGATTTAATGTCCCTGTGAATAACTTGATTGCAATGAAGAAATTCCAATGCTTGCAATACTTCACGACAAACAGCGGCAATTTGTCCCTCGTCCATGCATGTCTCAGTGACAACGTCAGTTAAACTACCGCCAGGTAAATATTCCATGACAACCCACAATTCCTCACCAACAAGATAGCTGTCCAAATAATTCACAACATTTGGATGTTTATTCTCCCGCATCACTAATATTTCATTAATAATAAGCTCCTTCTTTGGCTGCTGCGAAAGATTCATTTGCTTAATTGCCACTTCCATTCCGGTCGATGTTTCAATTGCCGTGTAAACAGTGCCCGATGCGCCCTGACCGATCTTCTCCATTTTCGTATATTTCTTTATTGGATCACCAACACTTACAATTGTTCGCAATTTCTCCAGTGTCTCATCGTCTGACATTTTCTTTTTACGCGCCTTTTCACTTTGAGTTGGTCGCGACTGATCAATTGGCGTTGCTTGATTTTTATTTTTATCGAGTTGAGCCGAATTTTGCTGTTGTTGTTGCTGCTGCTGTTGTTGTTGCTGTTGCTGCTGCTGCTGTGTTGGTTGTTGCTGCGGAGTTCCATTTCTTTGAGGTGATCCAAGCGACGTTGGAAGTGGCGGAAGTGGTTCTTCCTCGATTGGTTTTGTATACTGTCAAACAATAATAATTCTTTAATATTCTCTGATATGTATATTACCAAAAGAAAACAAAAATTATGAAATTATCAGGGTTCATAATAAATATTAAATATTCAGAAAATAAATATTAAATTTTATAAAACTATTTTACAATATATTGATAAAGTGATCAGGGCTCGAACCAGTGAAATTATTTCAAAATACGGACTTTACTGACCAAAAATGAAAAATTACGGACCAATTACTGACAAAAATATAACCAATCCGAGTCAAATAAGAGAACATTTTACTTAAAACTATAAATTCAATTTTTCAAAACTATAAAAGCTATAAAACATGAAGATATCGATAACTCCGAGTCAAAGACTCGGAGTAATCGATTTCTCCATGTTTTATAATAATATTAAAAGTAACTTTTAAAAGTAATTAAATTAATAACTAAATTCAATATTGTTTACAATATTCAATTTTACGAAATTTCAATTATTAGTAAATTCTTCAATTAAATAAATAACTATATATATATTAGAAAATATAAACTTCATATAATATAAAAATAATTCAATTCAAAAAAATTAATTTCAAAATTAAATTATTTCTAAAAATTCAGGCTATATTGCTTTTAATATTCATTTTTAAATCAATTTTTATTTGAAAATTCTACTAGAATTCAATTATTTAAATACAAAATAAATAATTTATATAGAATTTTTGTTTCTTAAAATTCAATTCACATAAAGAATATCTTCAACAAATTTTTAAGTAATTAAATTCTGTGGACGAATTTGAATAAAATTTTTAATAATAATTACATTTTTCGAGGGATTCGATTAAAATTGTATTAAAAATAATTGAAATTCTACAATGAGTTTTATTATTTATGAAAATAATTGAATCCCTAAGAAGAATTTTACTATTTATGAAAATAATTTCTGCAGTAATTTGTAACTTCTTCAAAATTAAATTTTCTTTTTGGTTTTTTAAAAACTCTGCAATTAAACTTTTTCAAAAAAATTAATTCCACAGAATTGTTAGTTTAAAATATGAAAAATTCCGATTTTCAAAGATTTTAATTTGAAACCATTTCAAAATTCAATTATTTCTAAAAATTTGCGCTGTAATTCTTTTAATATACAATAATAATATAAAATTTTAACTAAAATTCATTTTTAAATCAATTTTTATTAGAAAATTCTACGAGAATCCAATGAATTAAATACAAAAATAAATAATTTTTTGAATAATTGAATGTTTCTTAAAATTCAATTCTACTAAAAAATGTTATCATCAAATTAAATAATTGAATTTTTTGGACGAATTTTAATAAAATTTTTAAGAATAATTACATTTTTTGAGGAATTTGATTAAAATTGTATTAAAAATAATTGAAATTCTGCAATGAGTTTTATCATTTATGAAAATAATTGAATTCTTAAAAAGAATTTTATTGTTTACGAAAATAATTGAATCCCTGTAATTTATGAAAATAATTGATTTATTGCGAAGATAAAAAATGTTGGAAAATTTTATTAAAATAGTACATACATATTGAAAATCATTAAATTGAAGAAAATTTTGACAAGAATTTTATTAAAATTTTTGAAAATAATTGAATTTTGGAGAAGAATTTTATTATATTTATAAAAATAATTGAAATTTTGACGAGAATTTAAAAAAAAAATTTAAATTTAAACATAATTGAATTTTGCGAAGAATTTTATTACTTTTGAAAATAATTGAATTTCTGAAATCATTTGTAATTTCTCTAAAATTCCCCAAATTATATCGTACAATTTTCAAGCTTTTTGTCTTTTTTCAATTAAATTACGGACTTTATGGACCTTTTTTAAAAAAAACTGACTTTTACGGATTTAAAGCAAATTTACAGACCTTTACGGGATTTACGGACCTAGTTCGAGTGATTGATTATTTCCAAAATCTAAGTTTCTCAAAAATTTAAAATAAACGCATTTAAAACTTAAATAATTTTTTAAATAAATATTTAATTAGTATTATTTTCTTCGGAACATTTGAGATTTTCAAAAATTTTAGTTTAAAACCTTTTGAAATTCAATTATTTCTGAAAATTGCTACTGCTTTTAACTAAGATCGTTTCCAAGTTAAGTAGGTATAATTAATGCAATTAAGAAAGTTATTTTGGAATTTAATTATTTTCAAAAATGAAAAATCAAGTGGAAAAAATTCAAGGAGGATTGAAGAAGAAAATACTTTTGGATACAAAAAAACAGAATTTTTTATTATGAATATGATTTTATATTATACTAGGGTTGCCACAAAACATCGATTTTAAAATTACATGACTTTTTCAGTTTTCCAGACCATTTTTTAAAAAATTCCACACCCAAAAATAAAAATGTTTTGGTATGTCTTTAGCTAATTACAACAAAAAATATAAAATCCTTCAAGTTTTTTGCTAATTGTGTATTTTAATGTTAAAAGCCCTTTAAAAAATTACAAAAGATCCAAGTCGGGGAAATCAGTAACTTTGATTTTTTACACGGATTTTTTAAAAGTCCAGGTATTTGAACAACATTATTATTTCTTCGCCTCATAAGCAATTTTTTTCTTTTACTAATTATTTATTTTAATGTTAGAAGTCATTTAAAAAAATTGTAAGAGGATCAGTGATTTTTAATTTTTTTTTGTCGTGAATTTTCCAAATATCCCGAAATTTCAACTAAATTATTATTTCCTGGCTTCGAAAGCAATTTTTTTCTTTTGCTAATTGTTTATTTCTTAATACATTTAAATGTATTAATTTTAAAATTATGCAAAGGAAGAAGAATTTTTTCGATAACAAATCTTTTCAAAGTTAAGTAAAACAGTGATGTAAAATTTGAAGGTAGGATAAGAGATTTTCTACTGGGTCCACGTGGAAATTTGGTTTGATCCCCCCGCCCCCCATTGTCGACAATCGTGGATTTTTTACGACCCCAAAAATTGTCCACGTGGTATATAAACGATCCCATTATATTATAATGATTTATATTTATAATATTATAAATTCATAACCAAAGATTCGAGTGTAGAATATTTAATATTTAATATTTTTTTTAGAATATTTTGAATGAAATGATAATTTTTGAGACTTACGATTGATTTCGTGCGTTCAGGTCGGGCGGAAATTGGCGGCGGTGGTGGTTCGTCTTCCTGTTCAGAACTTGTGGCACAAGCATCTGTTGGCGTACTACTCGGACTACTACTGCTTACTCTGTAATGTTTATTTTATCTCAAAAAACACAAACAAACTTTGACATTGATATTAAATGGACAAAATTGTAATCAACTCACCTGCTGAGTGAATGTTGTGAATGTGAACTTCCGGAAGCCTGTGACATCGCTTGTCCACGCATGTTTCCTATTCCAACTCCAATGCTTACACCAATATTCCGAGGACTGCTGGCTCTTTCTATAGGCGCTTAGAAAAATATTACTGAACTTAAAAACCCAAATTTTTCTCTTTTTTTAAAATTTTTTTTGCAAAATAATCTTATTTTTCTCGTCGCTCTGGTGCTCATTTTATTTTATTCCATCATTCTACCGCGACGACGAGAAAATTGTAAAATTTGTTTATAAAATGTTTGCAAAACGTTTATGTAAATAAAAAACTAATTTAATAATCAAATAATTAAATGTTTTCCTTTCTTCTATTTTCAGAGAAAACAAATTCAATTTTCCCTTTTTTATTTCGGCCTCTTATAAATTAAATTTATTAAATTCTTTATTCAGGATCATTTATCATGATTTATATTTTATTATATTTATATTTTACAAAATTAAATAATTAGTCATTATAATTTTTCCATAAAAATTTTGAAATTAAACTTATAAAAAATTGTTATAAAACATGAAGAAATCGATCGCTCAGATTCTTCAACTCGGAGCAATCGATATCTTCATGTTTTATACTGTAACTTATTCAAAATTACTTTCATCACTTCAATTAAATTATTGTTTTCCAGAATTTTTAACTAAAATTCTTCTTTAAATTAATTATTTTTAATAATTTTTTAATCTTTGAAAATTTTCAAATCCTTTTGTTTACAATTCAATTGTACGAAATTTCATCGATTATTCGGAAATTCTTCATCAAATATATATATTAGAAAATAAAAACTTCAAATAACTTAAAAAAATCCGCAATTAAACTTTTTCAAAAAAATTAAATCTACACAATTTTTAGTTAAAAGCATGAAAAATTCAAACATTCAAAGATTATAATAAATTTGAAACCTTTTCAAAATTCAATTATTTCTAAAAATTCACGCTATAATACTTTCTCTCTAAATTTGAATTAGTAACAATGTTTACTAATTGGAATTAGTGACTGACTTTTTGCTTTTGAATTAATAAATTTTACTATTAAATAAGTAGAAACTGACTATTAGTAAAATCTGATAATTCAAAAGCAAAAAGTCAGTCAATATAATTAAAATTAGAAAACATTTTTACTAATTCAAATTTAGAGAGTTTAATATTCAATTATTATCTAAAATTTTTATCTGAAATTCATTTGAAAATCAATTTTTATTCAAAAATTTTACGAGAATTCAATTATTTAAATACAAAAATAAATAATTTAGGTATTGAAGAATTGAATGTTTTTTAAAATTAAACTCTCTTAAAGAATTTTATCAACAAATTTTTAAATAGGTAATTAAAATTCTTTTATCAAATTTCAATAAAATTTTTAAAAGTAATTTCATTTTTCGAGAAATTAGATTAAAATTGTATTAAAAATAATTGAATCTCTGTAAAAAATTTTATTGAATTGAGAAAAGTTTTTGAAAATAATTAAAATTTTGCCAAGAATTTTATTAAAATTTTTGAAAATAATTGAATTTTGCAGAAAAATTGTATTATTTATAAAGATAATTGAAATTTTGAAGAGAATTTTTTTAAAACTTTTGACCATAATTGAATTTCTGCGAAGAATTTTATTACATTTGAAAAAATTGAATTCTTATTGAGACGAATTTTAATATTTCTTTTTAAATAATTGAATTCTTTTGTGAAATTTTATTCAAATAGTAGATATTTAAAATAATTGAATTTTGATAATTGTTGAAATTAATTAAATTTCTATTTAGAATTTTATTAAAATTATTTTGAAAAAAAATTGAATTGTTAAAAAGAATTTCATTAAAATATTTCAAAATAATTTATTTCTTTCAAGAAATTTAATTTCTTTGATGAATTTTAATAAAATTTTTAAGAATAATTACATTTTTCGAGAAATTGGTTTACAATTGTATTAAAAATAATTGAAATTCTGCGAGTTTTATTATTTATGAAAAAAATTGAATCTCTTTAAAAAATTTGATTATTTATGAAAATATATGAATTTGTAAATAATAGAATTCCTGTGAAATTTTTATTATTTAATTAATTCATTCAAAATTGAAATTTTACAAAATTTTTAAATTACATACAACCTTTTGAAGTTTATCCATTTATGAAAATTGTAAACGCAACTCTTTTAAAATTGTATTAATTTTGAAGTCTTTTGCAATTTTCTCTAAAAATATTGAAATAGAACAAATCTTTTTATAAAAGACAATAGAAAATTTCCCTCGAAATAAAAAATTGGAAAAATGAATTTATTTTCAGAAAAGAATTGATGATCATTATTTTTTTTTTGTATAAATCGCGGATCGCTTACCAACAACTCCAACCATTTTCGTCGTTGTCATGAATTTAGAGCCTTTCGCTTCTTTACTGCTGTTGTCATACCAATTGAGAACATCGAGAACAGCTTGAGGATTTTTCTTTTGCTCTTGCTTGCTGATGTTGCTGGACATCAGCAGCCTTGCCCATGCTTCCGGCATCCCCTGAGACAGAAGAAATTACTTTAGATTCTTGGACAATGAAAAAAAATTATTTATAGGGGAATAAAAAAGGAGCGAACAATAAAAAAGAACAATAGATTTAAAAAAGTTTTGCACCCAAAGTTCATCGACAGGTGTTTATTGTAGAATTTATTTCAATTTATTATCTACACTCTGCAAAAACTCCCTGTCTCTCTCATTTTAAAAAATTTGAATTACATCAGTAACAAAAATGAGAAATACAGGCCTCGGATTTACTTTCAGCTGAGTAAAAAATTAATTTATTCAGACTTGTCACAATTTGGTTTTTTGATTTTTTGATTTTCTATTTTTCTGGATTTTTCCTGATTTCTAGAAATTTTTTTTAACTTTTCTCCTTATTCCAATAACTTCTATTCACAGTTTTTTTCAAATTTAATTATTTTCAAATAAGTTTTTGATATTTTTGTAACACTTTTCTTCAAAAAAACATGATTACATTTTCAAATCGTAATAAAATTTTATAAAAAATAAAATTTCATTATTTCAACAAAAAACAACTGTAATTCTTTTAAAATTCAGTAGTTAATTTATTGAGTTTTTCAATAAATTTATTCAAAAGTTTAGTAATTTAAAAAAAAGTATTTTCCAAACATTCATTAAACTCTTCTAAAATTCAATTATTTTCTTGAATTTGTGTTCAAAATTTTTCTCTAAATCAGTTATTTTTAAAAATTTTGAGAAACTTTAATGTTAAACAAAATTCATTTATTTATTATTTAGAAACACTCTGAGGTCTTTTAATTAAAATAATCGTTTGACTAAAGCAAAAAAAAATTAAAATTAAATTTTTAAAATTAATTAATTAATTAATTAATTTTTTTTTTTTTTTTAATTAATTAAATTAAAATTAACAAAATTAATAATTTTTTATTATTTTCTTTAAATTATTACTACAATCAAAGAAAGAAAAAATAAATTTTTTCCACTAATTTCTATTTCTAATGAAAGTTAGGTCAAAATTCTAATTTTCAAAAAATGTTAATTGATATCTTTCACAATTTTAATATTGTTATAAACTGCTACGAAGATGTTCCAAAATTCAATTATTTTCTAGAATTTTCCCACAAAAATTCTTCTCTAAATCATAATTATTTTATTCAATAATTTTCAGAAACTTATTTGAGAATTCAATTACTTAATTAAAATGTAAAAATTCAATTTTTTAATTAAAATTTGAAACTGTAACCCACGATAATTTTCTTTAAAGTTCTTAAGGTTAAAAATGAAATTCTAAAACAGGTTTTCACTATTTTTAAAGGACGCTAAAAAATCAGATTTTTTGTAGCATCTCTAGAAATTTGATATTTATTCGAGTAGTACTTTGGATAAAATTCCCTAACGTCTTTGTGACAGTCCTACTATCCGAGGCCTCAAAATAGAAAACAAAGAAAATAATAAAAATTTTAAATTAAAACTTTTACACTTTTTAATATTTTACAACATTATTATTAATATTATTATTAATTAAATAATTATTAAAATTATTAATTATGATAAAAATTATTATTATAAAAATAATAATAATAATAATAATAATAATAGTTATAATAATAATAATAAATATAAAAATAAAAAAAATATTTTATTTTCATATTTATAACATTGAATTGTGTTATTCAAAAAATTTAAAAAAGACAGAAAGTATTTACAGAATTTATTAAAAGAAGTAAAATTTAAGGGGACAAAATTGAAACTAATTTATTATAAAAAATTGATTTAAAGATTAAAAGACAAGATGAGAAGAGATTTCGAACGTTTCATTTTTGTATACGAAGAGAGAAAAAAAAGGGAATTTAAAATGTTTATCAACCTCGAAGAAAAAAGTTTTAATACAAATTAAAGTTTCTTGAGAACAAAAATCTTAGCTCTGTAAAAATAAAGAAAATAAAAAAAAATCGTAAAATTTCCAATGTGTCAAAAGTAATTCTAACTAATAGAAGATAGTAAATACACTCAATGTCAAGAGATATTTTTCCAATTCTAATATATAGAGGGAAAATTCAATTACATTTTCTTCAGTTTAAAATCTAAGGGGAAAATATCATAGCGAGATATTTTCAAACTCTAAGAGCAAAAAAAAACAAACAATTTAATTAAAAAATATACATTTTGTTTCATTTCTAATCGAAACAATAAAATTCTAATTGGATGAAAAATCAATTACTCGGAATTCAATTTGAGATTAATATGAAAAAATTTCTGTTTGTTTAAAAATATTCATAAAAATGAAATATTTTATTCTAAATAGAAACAAATTCGTTAAAATTGAATTAGACTGTATGAATATTATTCGAATAGAAAAATTTGGAATAAAATATTAAATTTTATTTTTTATTCAGCATTTTGTTATTTTTCGGTTCGATAATTAAATTTTTACGCTAATTTTTCAGTTCAAATCGTTCAAATAAATGAGACATTTATTTTTTCATCTAATAATTGAACTGATATTAAGTATTCATTCTTATGTTAAAACAATTTTTTTTTTTTTTGGTTTAAAAATTGTACAAAAACTATGCTTTTGAAATAATTCTATTTACTCTAATTTATTAATTTTGTAACATTTGAGAGAAAATTTATAATAAAATAGATTTCTTTTCAATTTTTACAATTACGTGAAAATATTGTCAAAGTTTTTAAAAAGAAAAATTGGCAGTTAAATTTTGTATTAAATTATTATAAGCAACAAAATTACAAATATATAGGTAAATACTGTCTCAAATAGAATTTCCAGTTAAATGAATTTGAATTTAATTATAGCTTAGGTATAATCAATCTAATTTCTATATCTATTAAAATGTCCATTCAACGCAATTTATATTTAACCAAAATTTAATTCAACGAATTTCTATTTACCAGCATTTTTCATTCAGGAATTTATATTTAGCGAAAAACAAGAAAATTTCTTTCCAATCAAATTTCTCACATTTAACAACTTTTCTGAACAAAAATTCCTTTTACTAAATTTTGTCAAAAAAAATATTCTGCTAAATATTAAATCTAACTCAAAAAAATTCTTTTCGACTAAATTTGTCAAATTTAACAATTTTTCTAATCAAAAATCCCTTGTACTAAATTTTGAATGGAAAAGATATTCTACTAAATATTAATTCTAACTGGAAAAAATTCTTTCCAACCTTTGTCACATACATTTAACAATTTTTCTGATAAAAAATCCCTTTTACTAAATTTTGCCAAAAAAACTATTCTGATAAATATTAATTTTAACTGCAAAAAGTTTAAAAATTTAATTGAAAAAAAATTATTTTGAACAGTAATTCAATTACAATTAAAATTAAAGAGTCAGTTATAATGTAAAATAAGAAAATCAATTTTATTTTTTTGCATTATTATTTCGTTTTTCAATAAAAATTTCTCGATTAAAAATAAAATAAAATCTGACTAAATAAATGTAGTCTGATAAAAATTCAATCTCCTGGAAAATTAAAAAGAATAATACATTATATATTTTTATAAATATTCATGCGTCTCGATCGAAGTGTCATTTTTTGGTTTTATTATTTTTTCCATTTTCTTATTTTTTTTGTAAATTGAAGCGATTTTACAATAATGTGTCTTGTTTTAATTTTTGCAAGAAAGCGAGAATCTATAAGCAACGTTGACTTGAAGCTTTTTTTGGATACTTGTCTACTTTACAAAAGACAAAAGAGTGTAAATAGAGGACAGAGGAGAGAAATAGAGAGAAAGAGAGAAAATTGACACTAAATTTTAAACCCGCAACAGAAACAAACGTTAAAAATATCAAGTGTTTTTATAAATAGTAAAAATGCAACCAAACTAACTCTTGGGTCATTTTAATTTACTTACTTTTAACGGCAGCTTGAAAAAAATACGTGTCGAGTTAGTTTTCCCTTTGTGGTTAAAATAATAGACATAAGAAGCATCAGACAAAGTATCTCGACTTTTAATGTATTTTTTGTCAAATTATTTTTTTTAAAATCATTTTATCTGGCGATGATTTTTTTCAAATTATATTATTTGTTGTTTTTTTTCCTTTTTGTTATACTATGGTACGGAAAATTCGATATGTTATTTTATTTTGCTAATTTATTAAAAATTTTAAATTAAAAATGATTTTTTCAAAATTTAAAAGAAAACAAATTAAACTTTCTTTTTTCCTTTTCTTGATAATTTCCAAAAAACGAAATATTAAAATTACTTCTTTGGGAAAAATTAAATTTTAATTATTTTTTTCCTTTCTTGTCAATTTTCAAAAAGCAAAAAAAAATGTTTTTCTCTTGCTATTTTAAAAAAGAAACACATTTGGCTTATCTTGACAATAAATAAACATCATCAAATAATTAAAATTGTATTTTTATATATTCAACTTTTAAAAAAAATTTTCCCCTTTAAAAAATAGTCGAATTGGTTTTTTCTCTTTTTTTGCAATTTTCTCTAAAATAAACACATTTTACTTCTTTAACATTTTTTGCTAATTAAAATAAATCAAATTCTGCTTTTCTTCCTCTTTCTTATTTTTTAGAAAATGAAAAATGCAAATAATTTTTTCAATTTTTGAGAATTTTAAAAATTTGAAATTAAAATTTTTTTTTCTTTCCTACTGTTGTTTAAAAAAAACATTCAAATCTTGTTTTACATTCCTTTTGCTAATTTTCAAAAACACAAAAAATTTTAATATTTAAAACAAATTTTTCCCTTACAAAAAAATGTTGTTTTCCTCTTGTTAATTTTTAAAGAAACACATTTTACTTTTATAAATTTTCTTCTTTTTCCCAAAAAAATTCAAATTTTGCTTTCTTTTTTCTAATTTCCAAAAAATAAAAAATTCAAGTTTCTTTTTTCTAATTTCCAAAAAATAAAAAATTCAAGTTTCCTTTTTCTAATGATTACGAAAAAATTTGACATTAAAATTATATTTTCCATTTTTTTTTGCTAATTTCCAACATTAAACTTTCTGGAAAAATTTTTCCTTTTAAAAAAAAGGAAAAAAATGATTTTTTCCTTCTTTTTTTGCTATTTCTAAAAAAACAAATTTCAGCTTCGATTTTTTTAATTTTCCAAAAAATATTAAAATGTGGTTTTCCTTTCATTTCCTAATTTTTAGAAAATGAAAAATTCAACTTGATTTTTTTATGATTTTGAAAATTTTGAAAAAATTTTGAAATTCAAATTATTTTTTCTTTCTTTTTTCTAATTTCCAATAAGATCAAATTCTTGAAAAAATTTTTCCCTTTAAAAAAAATCGAATTAGTTTTTTTCTTTTTTTTGGCTATTTAAAAAAAATTCAAATTTTGTTTTCCTTTCTGTTACCAATTTTTAGGAAATTAATAATGCAGATGTAGTTTTCTATTTTTTGAGAGTTATAAAAAGATTCGAGATTCAAATTCTTTTTTCTTTACTTTCTCTAATTTCCCATAATACCAAAAAAATTTCCTTTAAAAAAAATTGAAATAAATTTTTTCTCTTCTTTTGCTGTTTTCAAAAACAATTGTATCTCTCAGATTTTTAATTTTTTACTATTTTAATAAATAAATTCTTCATTTTTTTAAATTTCTAATGCAAAAAATTTTTATTTTATTTCTTTTTTTGTATTTTTTAAAGAAATATTAATTCTTCTGTTAAATTTCAAAAATTCTAAAATTTAAACCGATTTTTTTGCTATTTCCTAAATGGTATTTTCATTAATATTTAATAAACACAAAATTTAAATTGGTTTTGAATGTTTTTTTCTTTTTAAAAAAATCAAATTGTTTGCACTTTTCAAAAATATTTAATAAATCCAAAATTTAAATTGCTTTTTAATGTTGTTGTCTTTCCAAAAAAAATCAAATTTTTCTTTCTTTTTTTCCAGTTTAAAAAAAAAATTAAGTCAATTATTTCCATCCCACTTTTTCATCGGTCTACATATTTTTTCTTTCTTAAAATTAATTAAAAATAATGTCTATTGTTTCGTATGAAAAATAAAAATATACTGAAATACTCCGTACCATAATATACAATAGCAAAGCAGCAAGCAAAATGCATTTTGAAACTAAAGTGATGAAAGAATATTGGTATTATTTTGTTGTTGGTTTTTTTTCGAAATTTTTTTTTGTTTTGTTTTCATGAAAAATAAAAAAAATGGGATATATATAACATACCGTAAATTCACCGGTCACTGCGTCAAATCCAACATGAACTGTGTGCTCGAAATTAGTTGGATAACTAATGTTAGGCTTATTCTCCTTCACCTTCATCTTGCTTTTCAAAGTCTTTTTCTTGCGTTCCTCTGAATCAGGTTCTTTTGGCAATGGTCGCATGTCCACTGGTAAATTAGGCGTGGACTCACCTCTAAAAACATAAAAAGAGAAAAATAAATAAATTTCAAAACAAAGGACAAAAAGAGTCCATTAAAGACATTTTCTTTTACATTGCACAAATAGCAGCGAGAAAAAATAAAATTCACGGACAAAAATAAAATTGATTACATCTTCGACTCACGTGCAAAAAAAATCTCAATTCTAATTTAAAAAAAATGTTATTGTCTCAATCTTCGAATACGAAATTCAATTCTTTTATTTGCAAATAAAATATTTATAAATATAAAAAATTGTAGAGCCAACATAAGTACATTTTTGACTCACGTGCGAAAAAAAATTTCAATTCTAATACAAAATTTTTTTTTTCAATTTTCGAATATAAAAAATTAAATTCTTTTACTTGCAAATAAAATAAATATAAAAAATTATACAGTGAACTTAACCACATTTTCGACTCACGTGCGAAAAATATTTCAAAATTTTTTCTTTTTCTCAATTTTCGAATAAGAAATTCATTTCTTTTATTTTGGAATAAAATATTAAAAATTTTAAAAATTATACAGCGAACTTAAAAAATTATTTCTTATGTACTTAAATTCTATTTTAAATAATAAATAATTATTTTTTTTTGTAAAGAAAGGTATTTTTTGTACAACAATAATAATGTACGTACAAATAAATAATAATTTTTATGTAAAAACATTTTTATATAGATATTTTTTTGGACATAAATGAAATAAATTATAAACTTATTTTTATATCGGAAAAAAATGTTATTGCAAAGATTATATGAAATTTCGCATTTTTTTAATAAAATTAAAACTGAAATAAAACTTCATTTCTAAATCAATTATTTTTAATAATTTTCCAAAAGTTCTTCGAGAATTCAGTTATTTAAATAAAAAATTCAAATTTTTTATAATAAATGTAACAGTAACTGTCCATTTTTTTTTAAATATATTAAGGTATAATATTTCCAAAAAATTATAATAAAGTTCTTAAAATTAAGTTTTTAAAAATATTTTTAAACAATTTTTGAAAGATAATAGTTTTTTAATTATAGGTATACTATTGAAAAATTTCCAGACAATTGAAATTCGGTAAAATGTTTTTAAAATAATTGATATTTGATAAAAATTTTTAAAAATTCTTAAAAGCATTTTTGCATCATAATTTAAAAAAACGAATTAATTTTTTTAAAAATTTTAACTAAAATTTTAAACATGATTGTTTGCTCCAAAATGTTAAAAAAGATACTAAAGATTTAAATGTTATTATTTTTTGTAGGTACTTATTGAAATTTTTGGAAATATGTAATTGAAAATATCGAAAATAATTGAATTTTAAAAAATTAGAATGAAAGAATTCTAAGAATTACTTTTTTCAAAAATATTGTAATATAATTTTTAAAAAAGCACTAATTTTTATTTTAAAATGTACATTTGAATATTTTTCATTAAAATTTTTGAGAATACAATTATTTTCAATTAAATTTTACAAAATTTCAATTATTCAAAATTTGTTTTATTGTTATTTCGAAAATTTAATTAGAAAAATGATTCAAAAATAATTTTTGAAAGATTTGTCAATATTTTTCACACTATGAAAGTCGAAATAAGTTGCATTTTATACTAAAAATGTGCTATTTTGCTACAATATTTAGAAAAATGTAGAAAAAGTCGTAATTTTCGAAAATAAGTCAAAAAGAATCGCATTTTTTGAAAATAATCGAAAAAAGTTGAAAAAGTCTGGAATTTCTATTTATTCTTTTTTGCGAATATTATTTTGAATAGTGCAATCTTTGAAAATTTCTGATTTATGGTACTTGGTGAATGATAGGATGCAACTGAATTCGAACACAGGAAAATGTCTATATAAATAATTCAGTTATTGTAATCGATTGTCTTGTCTGCATTATAATAAAATTCTATTGGTAGCCAATGAACGTATAACTTTTTCATTAGTCTGATATCGTTTTAAAATAAATCAATTGCTTATAAAAATATCTCCTTAGAATCATTGATTTTACTCCCACAGGATTTCAATTTTTTTCCCTCTTTAAATTATTTAATCTCAATAAACGGAAGTGTTATAATTTTATCATTCAATTATAAATTCAGCAAACAACTTTTATTTACCTAACAGCATTTTTCCCTAAATATAGATATTTTTAAATTACATTTTTATTTCTTCATTTCTTTTTTTATTTATTATTTTATTCTCAATTTTTTCGACAAAAATTAATTTGATTAATAAGAAATAAAAACTAATTTAATATTTTTTACTGAACTTATTTTGAATATGAAAATTATTTATAATAAATGACGGAAAAATTTCGAAACTCTTCTTTCGGAAATTAAGTTTCCTCGACTCTATTTTCTTTTTTATCGATGAGAGGTGTGTATTGTTCCAATTTGAAAATTGTTTATTTAACGAAGAGTCTTATAGTGTAAACTTCTTTTAAATTTTGAAGCATCCAAGTTTTTATGGACAGTCGGCGCTTGTGAATATCATAGAGTGTGATGTCTGAACTGGTGGGATTTTATTTTTAGCAACCTCTAAATTAGTGGCTGTTCCTCTATTTTCGGGAGAGTCGTTTGGGACTCCCGACTATATACACTCCCCATATTAATACAAAGAAAATAATGCCAAACATGCCTTTTTCATTAAAAAAAAAAAAAATTTTACATCATGTGTTTGAAAAAAAATTTAATTCTCGATTGAGGATAAAAAAAATTCTCCTACAAAAAGAGAGTGAGAACATAAATCTCTTCCAAGTATGTCGTCAGTAGCTTAAAATTTTTTGCCAATCAATAAAATTCAAAGATACTTAACCAATTCAAATGCAAATGCACATTTAAATTAAAATGTCGAGCTAATGAACTGATTAATCAATTAAGAGCCACTTAATTTAATACGAGGAAAGGAGAAGTAATTTTCTTAAAGAAAGAGAAATAGACTATCACAAAAGGAATGAAATTAACCAATATAAACGCGAAATAAACGAAAATAGCAAACTTTTTTAATATAAAAATAGAGCAAAAATAAAATAAATTTTCCCAAATTATTATTTCAAACAAATTTATATCTACATAAATAGAATATCAAAGAAAAGCAATAATAAAAAAACAATTGAAAAAAGAAACAGTCAAAAAGTAATAAATGACTAAAATACAAAAATTTGTATATAATTTATAAAAATACAGAAATAAAAAATATAAAAAAAGTACAAATAAAATATTGAATAAGAAAAGAAAAATTCAGGAATAAAATAAGTAACAAAAATTAAATGTATAAGTAAACAAATAAAATTTTTTAAAAATAATAATTAATCGTTGTGACAAAAATAAAAAAATTTATAATTTATACAAATAAAGAAATAAAAAGTATGAAAAAAACAAAAATTAAATATTGAATACAGAAATGAAAATAGAAAAAATAAATAATTAAATGTGTAAACAAAAAAAATTAAAAAATTAAAAGAAAATTAAATACAGAAACAAAATAAAAGACAAAAATTAAATATATAAATAAAACAACGAAATGAAAAGAAAATTAAATACAGAAACAAAAAATGAATAACAAAAATTAGGTGTACAAGTAAAAAAAAACCAAACGAAAAGAAAATTAAATACAGAAACAAAGTAAATAACAAAAACTAAATGTACAAATAACAAAAATTAAGAGAAAATTAAATACAGAAACAAAATAAATGTGCAAATAAAAAACACAAAATGAAAATAAAATAAAATACAGAAACAAAATAAATAACAATACATAACAAAAATTAAATGTAAAAGTAAAAAAGCAAAACGAAGAGAAAATGAAATACAGAAACAAAGTAAATAACAAAAACAAAATTTAAAAAAAGATTAAAAGAAAATTATATAAAGGAATAAAAAAAATATATTGTGTAGATTTATAAAAAATTAAATTTCAATTTTCGAAAGAAGAGAAACTCAACTATTAGTTCGGATTGGAAATTTTTTTTTATCATCTATATTTATCTATCACTAGTATCTTCTGATATATATTATACTTTTCTTTTCTCCGAGATTTCAGAAACTTTATGTGATAAGATTGAAATTGAATATGACAAATAATTTGTTTTATTTTCTCCTTAAATAAAAAAATTTTTTTTAGAAACGTGACATCACGCCTTTGCTATAACTTTTGATTAATTCAAGGCTCTTATGTGAATAACAAAATGTCAATTTGAAAAAATCTTCAAAACTAATCAGAGAATTCTTATTGAGTTTCAAGGAATTGAGAGCAAATATTTTTTTACGAACTTTTTTTTTTGTTAAAAATATAATAATTCCTGCAATATTTCCTCAAAAAATTGAAATAACTAAATAAGCTAAATAATAAATTGTCCTTGACAATATATAATTATGTAAAATAATTGAAAAATAAACCTAAAACGAAAAAATTAAAAATATCCATCAAATTTAAATAAAATACAATATTTAAAGAATCTGAATCTAAATTTAATTCAGTCAAATAGAAAAATGTCGAAATAATTGTAGAAATGTGAAATAAATTTAAATTTAAGTATCTGGAAATTATGAAACAAGTATTGCATAAAAAATGTAATGAATGACATTAGGACAATTAATTTTACATTAAAATAGAATAATAAAAAAAATAATGTCCCTCAGCTTTATTTTTTTAATATATACATGTATAATAAATGAATTCTTTTTTTTCTAAATAAGTAAATACATAAAAATTAAAAAAATTAAAGACCTTGAGCCTATTTATTTCCCAAATAAATAAATTAAAAAAAAGCTCCGATAGAAATGAAATTAGAATGAACATTGGCATTCGAAATGGAAAAATATACAGAAATTTTAAATTCGAATTTAAAAGAACATCTATTTGAAAGCGCGCCAAGATTTTGGAATTTCAAATCCAGAAAATAGAAAAGAATGGCAATTTCTTATTTTTCTCTTGAGAAAAAAATCTCATTTTTTTATGAGAATGTTAGAAGAATAGATAGATTACAGAAAGGTAATTCTTATTTTAAATTAACACAAATTCTTATTTGTGGCTTGTGCGTTTTTGAGATGAAAAGCCCCAACAAAAGCTTATTCTCTTTCAAACATCCTGCCCAAGAGTTCCTCTTTTATTATTAAACTGACTCCTGATAATAATTCTTGTTTTGATTTAGAATTGACAACTTCATAAAAATCAATAAGCCCCGTTCCATTTATTACAATAGTTTCAGATTTTCACACAAAACTTGAATGCAATCTACTCCAAAAATCTTTATCGAATCAAGAGTCGTGGATTGTTTCTTCATTTCTTTTTTTTTTTTTTGTTTTCAACAATCAATATTATTGTCAATACCTAAAAAATAAACAAAATATCTAAATTTGATAATTAATATAAAGTTGAAAATAAATTATAAGAACTTAATAAAAAACCAGGGATCACATCAAATCACAATTTTTAATTTATCAATTTCCCTGACAATTTACTGACATTAAAATTATTTTCCCTGGACAAAATAATTCTTTTTACAGGAAAATATAAAAGTTTACGGAAAATGAGTAAAATTTATGAATTTTAATAATTTCTGAAAATTACAATTATAACCCTTCCTGAATTCAATTATTTTCTACAATTTACAACTAAACTTCATCTCTAAATCAATTATTTTAATAGTTTTCCGAAAGTTTTTCCAGAATTCAATTATTTAAATACAAAAATTTAATTTTTCATAATAATTGTAACTGTCTTTGTTTTTTTGTTAAGTTTATTAAGGTATAATATTTTCAAAAAAATTATAAAGAAAATCTTACAATTGATTTTTTAAAAATGTTTTTAAATAATTTTTGAAAGACAGTAGTTTTTTAATTATATACAATTGAAAAATTTCCAAACAATTGAAATTTGGTAAAATCTTTTAAAAATAATTGAAGTTTTGAAAAATATAAATAAAGATAATTAAATTTTTAAAGAATTTTAATTATAAATATGACCATGATTTCTCCGAAATTTTAATAAGTCTAAAAAAGTAAATTTTTATAATTTTTTATTTACTTTGTTCGAAAATAATTGAATTTCTTAAAATAATTTTTGTATAATTTAAAAAAACTAATTAATTTCTTGAGGAATTTTAATTAAAAGAACATAATTTTTTTTCTCCAAAATATTATTATTTTTTGTATGTATTTGAATATGGAGAAATATATAGTTGAAAATTTAGAATTTTAAAAATTAGAAGCTAATTTTCATTAATTTTCATTTTTAAATTTTTTACAATTAAAAATTTTTCATTAATATTCTTGATAATTCAATTATTTTCAAAATTTGCAATGAAAATTCTTCAAAAGTTGATTTTCAAACATTGTAATAAAATACTTGAAACCAATGAATTTGGTAAATTTGGTAATTTTTAATTATTCAAAAAGATTTTTATTATATAGGTATATTTGAAAAATTTAATTATCTTAAAAAATGATTCAAAAACAATTTTTGAAAGATTCGTTTATAGTTATTTTTCGCACTATAAAAATCGAATTGTTGCAATATTTGGAAGAAAAGTCGAAAAAGTAGCAATTTTTTAAAATAAATCGAAAAAAGTTTCAATTTTCTTAATTTTCCTGAGAAAAATTTTTTTTTCCTGTCATTTCTCTGACTTTACTGCCAAAAATTTTGTTTTCCTGACTTTACTGAGTACTGACATGTGGCCACCCTGAAAACTAAAAAAAAAAACTGAATCATTTTTTCAAAAGTGACAATATTAATATAATAGAATTTGAAAGAATTATAAAATAAAATTACGTTACTTTAAGCGATCAGACCTTTAAGGAATAATTGAAAATTTGAACATTTTTTAATTTGATAAATAAAAAAATAGGAATTTAAGTGGATATGTTAACAAAGAAGGAAAATTTCAATACAAGTTTCGAGTCTTTAAATTCGTAAAAATAAAGAGAAGAAAATTTTAAACTACTGACTGACATTTTAAAGAGGGGGGGGGGGGAGGGGAATCGAAAGGGTTTTATCTGCATGACAATTAAATGAAAAAAGAAAAGAAGAATAAATTACCTGTTTGAGGTGAGTCGCACTGGAGGTGCAGGGGGTTTGTCTTCGTCGTCGGACATGACGCCGCTCCTGATCCCGTACCCGGGTTGCTGATCTGCCCTCCGTCGCTGCGTTGCTACTGATTTACTTAGGCACTCGTTTACTTCCAACGCTTTAACAGCGTGAATGAATATCTAAATTCTACAAAGTAAATCTTCCACTATTTTCCCTCGGAACTCGTGAGAACAAAATTTTACTCTCACGTGTTTTTCGGCAAAAAAAAAGAGAAAAAGAAAACCCGAATTTCAACAATAACAATCTGATGATCTTCTCATTATATCAAATAGTACTAAAAAAAACACACTCACAAAAAACAATATATTAAAAACTTGAATCACAACTTGGTTGGAAATCACAGCCCGTCGCTTTTTTTTTCCCTTTTGAAGCTCTTGTGCCTCGGACGTCGTGTGTATATGTATATAATATGTCAAAAGGTAATATTATTATTATCGAACTCAAATTTCACCAGGTACTTCTTCTTTCCGCGAAGCCTGAAATTCATTCAAACACCTGGTGATGATGTGCAATGGGACACGGAAGTGAGACCTTTGGCAATTGACAGAAGACATGAGAAGAAGGTGGAGGGGGGAGGGGAACGATGAAAATTAATCACACTGCTCCTCCAGTAAATCTTTTTCTCTCTCTCTTTCAAATGACTGAAGCAGGCACAGGTCAATGTCGTAGCCGGGCCGCTTCAGACACGCACAAAAGGAGAAATAAAAAATCAAAAAGAAAAATACACGGGACGCAAAACACAAAAACTGCACGCGGCACTTTCTTTTTATTCTCGTTGGTTAAACTCCTTATTTTTTCTTCTCACTCTATTATTACCCGAGCCGACGAATATTTCGATTTTAATCGTTTATTTAACGACAAATCATCATCACCGTGCGGCAATCCCTGGGAAAATCTCGTCCTGGACAAGATCCTGATCTGAATCACCAACACCACCCGTCATCCACCGCTGTTCCGTTCTTCAACGAATACAGAAGCGCCTCCACACTACACTCGCCCCCTCTCTTTCTTTTTCTGTATATTTTACCTTTTTCTTTTTTTTATTTCCGCACACACAACTTGTTCTCTTTCACTCACGCCCACACACGGTAGAGAGAATACACTCCATTTTCCAACACCAAGAAAGAGAGACAATTAATTGACACCTCCAATTTTCGCCGACATTTTTTTTCCTCTCGTTTTTTCCTTCACTGCGGCAAAACATAACCTAAAACTACTTCGTGGTGACAACAATCAAAAAGAAATAATTTAAAGTTGGTTTCAAGTAATTTCGAAAAGAATTCCACCAAGTTCGTAGAAAAGTTTCAAAATCAGTCGATATTTTAATGATAGAAATGAAACATATTTATTTAAATGATATTTTTGAATTTTGTTTCAATTCAACCGCCTTTTTCCGAATTATATTGATTCGTGTTACGGGAAAACGTCCACCAATCAGGGGACGGATATTTCTTGGCAAAAATTATTTGGAAAAAAACAATTGCTTTCTACAATTATTAACTGGTTAATTATTAGGATCATTAGGATATTTATTTATTATCGAAATTAAATAATGCTTATAATAAATACTTTCAATTGGAGATATTCAAATTTCCCGGAAAAATCATTGTCTGTCAGATCTGTCACGTGATTCGTCATTCTGGAAAAGTTTATTAAAAAGATTAAAAATAACGTATAATTTAGTAAAAATTGATTAATTAATTTAGAAATTGAATAAACTTGGGTCCTTCTATTTTTATATTTTCTTTTTCTAATAAATACAAAAAATCTTGTCCGCCTTGTCCTTGTCTTTTCCCTTTCTAACCTCAAAGTTTTCTCATCAGCTGTCACAATAATTGGTCATTTCTTTTAGACACAAAATATATTGAAAGGGATTGTAAAATATATGAAAAAAATAATAAAAAAAAATACTGTCAAATGCAGTGAAACCTTGGGGATACATATATGTCAAAAGATGGAATTTGAATAACATTTAAAGTGACGCGCATATGTGATAGTGAGTTAAGAGAAAAAAAAATTTGTCACATTTTTTTTAGGTGAATTTTTTTCACCGTAAAAACAATCTGTCAAAAATGAAGAAAAAGGTATGTATTTTATTATATTGAGTAAATAGAAATTAATATTAAAAATGTATTTGAAGAAGTAAACAATGTATTTAATTGTTGTAAAAACGCCTTCTTCTTTGTTTTGATTGACATTTGTTTTAATTGTCAGGTGCTTTTGATGGGAAAAAGCGGCTCGGGGAAGACGAGCATGAGGAGTATTATATTCGCTAATTATATTGCGAGAGACACTCGTCGTCTTGGTGCCACTAGTGAGATTATTTTCATTTTTCTATACTAAATTTTACATTTTATTACAAGAGTATATCTTCTTATCAGAGAGAGAAATTTTTCCTCTTTTATCTTTAAATTATTCAATTACGCACATCCGAACAGTCTCCGACTTGAAATCAAAATTAATTCAAAAATAAATTGAAAATGAATTAAAAAACAATTCTAATTTTATAAATATAAAAAAACTTTTATTTTATCCTTACGATTTAAAAAAATGTTTTATATGAAATTATTTTTTGTCTATTTTCTAAATTAATGATACTTTTTTCTCACTAATTATTAATTAATAAAAATTTTTCAATTTCAACAGTCGACGTTGAGCACAGTCATGTGCGTTTCCTTGGGAATTTGGTATTAAATCTTTGGGATTGCGGCGGACAGGAGGCATTTATGGAAAATTATTTTGCATCCCAACGTGACAATATTTTCAGGAATGTGGAAGTTTTAATTTATGTTTTTGACGTTGAATCGAGAGAATTGGATAAGGATATGCATTATTATCAGAGTTGTTTGGAAGCCATTTTACAAAATAGTCCTGAGGCGAAGATATTTTGTTTAGTACACAAAATGGATTTAATTCAAGACGATCAACGAGATTTAATTTTTAAAGAGCGTGAGGAGGATTTAAGGAGATTGAGCTTACCTTTAGAATGTACTTGTTTTAGAACTAGCATATGGGACGAGACACTTTATAGGTGAACGAAATCATATTTCAGTTTTTCATTTTCTCAATTTTTAACAATCTAATAATATCGAAATTTATCTGATAATATCAAATTAATTTCTACGTATCTGAATTTTCCATGTTCTTAAATTTTTCAACGTTTAAATTTAACGTTTTTTTAACATTTTAAATTTATTTTGTTTTCAAATTTTAATTTTATTTTGAGAATACTGTGTCACATATATATTTAAAAATAATTGCATTTTCAATTTTCATAAATAGATCAACTTCAAAAGGTTTTCATTTAAAATTTTGAATTTCATTAAAACTTTTAAAGAACTTAGATTTTTGAAAAATTTTAATAATTCAAATTCTTCTGAAATTAGTTAAACTTTTAATATATATGTATTCAACTAATTATTAAAAATAATTGATTTATAGAAGAATAATTCAATTATTTTCAAAAATTTTCCTTAATTCAATGATTTTCAATATTTACTATTTTAATAAAATTTTCCAAATGAATTCAATTATTTAAAAAAATATCATAAAATTCTACGTAAGCATTTAATTATTTTCATAAATAATAAAACTCATCGCAGAATTTCAATTATTTTTAATACAATTTTAATCGAATTTCTCGAAAAATGTAATTATTCTTAAAAATTATACATATTAAAATTCGTCCAAAAAATTCAATTATTTAATTTGATGATAAAATTTTTTAATAGAATTGAATTTTAAGAAACATTCAATTATTCAAAAAATTATTTATTTTTGTATTTAATTCATTGGATTCTCGTAGAATTTTCTAATAGAAATTGATTTAAAAATTAATTTTAGATAATAATTGAATATTAAAAGCATTATAGAGTAAATTTTTAGAAATAATTGAATTCTGAAAAGATTTCAAATTCAAATCTTTGAAAATTTGAAATTTTCATACTTTCATCTAACAATTTTGTAGAATTAATTTTTTAAAAAAAGTTTAATTGAATTTTGTTTTAATTATTTAAAGTTTTTGTTTTCTAATATATATTTTTAGTTTCCAATAATCCAAATTTCGTAAAAATTAAATTGTAAACAAATGGATTTAAAAATTCTCAAAGAAATTTTTCAAAAATTATTTAAAATAATTGAATTCTCGTAGAATTTTCTAATAAAAATTGATTTAAAAATTAATTCTAGTTAAAATTTTAGATAAATAATTAAATATTAAAAACATTATAACATGAATTTTTTCAAATAATTGAATTTTAAAAAGGTTTTAAATTAAAATTTTTGAAACATAATTTTGAAGAATTTAGAGTGACAATATTCTTATAATATAAAATAATGATTTTATCACTCGGTCATCTTTAAGTATTATAAAGTATAATTAAATTATCACTCGGTCATCTTTAAGTATTATAAAGTATAATTAAATATTTGTGGCAACCCTGAATATGTTTCAAAATATTTTTTTTAATTTAAAACGTTTTATTGAATTATTTATTTATTTTAATTATTATTTATTTTTCAATGTGTATTACATTTTTTAAAGTATTTATATTGAAAAAATACTTCCTTTATTTGAGCAATATAAACTAAAAGTACAAATGGAAGATTTTAAAACTTTAATTATTATTTTTTAATACGTGAGGCAATATATTTCGATAAAAATTTAATTTGGAAAAGAAATAAGTAAATTTTCTTCATTTGAGCGTTTGGAACTTCAGAGAAATAAGTTAATAAATCATTGCTTTTATTTTTTGTATTTTAAGAAAATTACTTTTATTTTTAATATTCTTGTTGAAAAACAAATTTAAAAAATTTTCTTTATTAATTTTTTCTCAACTTTATTTATTTTATTTTTTTTTTTCATTTGATTTATTTATTTTAACAACCATTTCAAATTTTTGTAAGCCCGTTTACTATGTAAATGTATAAAAAAATATTTTTTTTCTTTTTTTTTCTTTTGCAGGATTTAAAAGTTTTAATATATTTTTTTTTATTTCCAATTTTTAGAGCCTGGTCCTCGATTGTTTACATGTTGATACCAAATGTCAAAGAATTGGAGCAAAGTCTTAACCAATTTGCAAATATTATCGATGCAGATGAAGTTTTACTTTTTGAACGAGCCACTTTTCTGGTAATAAGTCACTGTCAGCGACGATTTCATCGAGACGTGCATCGTTTTGAGAAAGTTTCTAATATAATAAAGCAGTTCAAATTAAGTTGCAGGTATTTATTAAATAAAAAAGAAGAATTTAAATTCAAATTTAAAAATACTTTGTTTTATAAAAGGATTATTTTTTTTTATAAAAGGATAATTCAATTTTCCAATTATTTTATTATATATCCACTAGCAAATGATACGCGCGGAACGTGAAATTCAATTTATTATTGTTATGCAAATTAAAAAATTTTTTATTTCCAAATAAAAAGATTTAAATAATTTTATAATTAAAATTTAAAAAATTCACTTATTAAGCACAAAATTAATTATTATCATTTATATTTTTAGAAATTTTAATATAAATAATTCTTCGCAAGAATTCAATTATTTTTATATAGGTAAATAATAACATTCTTCGGAAGAATTAGATTATTTTTATAAATAGTAAAATTTTTTGCAAAACTTCGATTATTTTTAACAAAAATTTTATTAAAATTTCACAAAAAAATTCAATTATTTTCTAAAATTTTAATAAATCCTTCTAAACAATTTAATTATTCTTTAAATTAAAATTTTTGAAAAAATTCAATTATTTTCAATAAAATTTTCTGAAAGAATTTAATTTTTTTCTTAATTCGTTGTAAAATTTTTCAGAAGAATTCAATTATTTTCTAAAATCTTAATAAATCCTTCGAAACAATTCAACAATCTTTATAAATACCAAAATTCTTTGCAGGAATTAAATTATTTTTAATCCAATTTAAATAAAATTACACGAAAGAATTAAATTATTTTCAAAAATTTCCATAAAATTAACAAGAATTTAAAATTCTACAAAAATAATAAGTACAATATTTTAATAAAATTCTTTTTCAAAACATTCAATTGTTTTCAAAATTTTCAATTAAAATTATGAAACAAACTCTATTATTTTAAAAAAATCAAAGAAATTCTTTAAAAGAATTTAATTAGAATTTTTAAAAATTTTAATAAAATTGATCGCGAGAATTTGATTATTTTTATAAATAAAAAAATTCTTCGAATGAATTCAATTATTCTCTTCAAATTTTTTTGATAAGATTCTTTGCAAGAATTCAATGATTTTGAATACATTATTAATTTTAAAATTGAAAATATTTAAAAATAAAAATTTGAAAAAAAGTTAGGAAACAAAAAAGCAAATAACAATTTTTTCAAAAACTATAAAGTGACATAAATATTTATTGAAAAATTCAATTTGCAGCAAATTAGCGGCGCAATTTCAAAGTATGGAAGTGAGAAATACGAATTTTGCAGCTTTCATTGACGTTTTCACATCGAATACTTACGTTATGGTCGTAATGTCAGATCCAGCGATTCGTGAGTATAATTCAGTGATCAATTTATTTTCCCTTTTGTTTAATTTTAAAGTATAATTTTTTGTTTACAAAAAAATTTGTTTCAAATTATTTTGTAACGCATTATGTATAACTACTTTATTAAATTATTTCATTTATTGTAGTTTTTCATTATTAAAAAATATTTTAAAAATTAATCATCTATGAAATGAATTAGCATAGTTGGTTACAATTTAAGAAAATTAAAATTAGGTAAGTAATTCAGTAAATTTAACTAAGTTAATTTTTATTAACTCATTTATTAAAAATTGGAAATATAATAATTTTAAATTTATTATTTAATGACGTAAATTTATTATCCTAATTAAATTTCGAAATTAAGGATAAATAAAAAACAAAATGATGTTTATAAAAATATTTTTTTTGTTAATTGAATATTAAATATTTTCTTGGACGTTTTGCAGCCTCTGCAGCGACACTGATAAATATAAGAAATGCAAGGAAACATTTTGAGAAGTTGGAACGCGCGAGTCAAAGTTCAGTCTTAAGTAGATAGAAGTCAGTTCGACCCAGGCGCGTCGTCACCCGGGTCTCGACAATAAATCGACATTAATTTTCAAGAACAAATGACTGAGAAATATATTATCGCCAAGATTAATCCACAATCTCTCTCTTCTCTCTCTATTTCTCCTCATTCTTTCTATTTCATTTCTCCGCTTTTAAGGAAAAAGAAAAATCTTTAAAAAAAAATCATAATTGCCAAAAGAAACCGGACATGTGGAGTTTTGCGTCAAATGCAAAAAAAAGTAACTATCTAACTAAAACCATAGACGAAAAAAATTGAAAAAGTGATTGAAAATGTTAGAATACGCGATGCTCCACTAGTTTTAGATTTTAAGATTGAGCATTCGTGACAATTAGAAATTTGTAAGTCGTACTAGAAGTTAGAAAAAATGTTACAGTAATTTTTCAGTAAATTGATTGACAGTAAACAATTTTTTTTTGCTATAATTTCTGGTAAATTATAGTAAACATGAATTTAATTTTTCAATAAATTGATTTACAATAATTATCAGTAATTCGTGGTTAAAAACCGAATTTGCTGAATTTCAGTAAATTCAGTAAATAAAAGTAACTTAAATTTATTTATTAAAATAATAAATAAATTTATAACAATTAATAATAAATAAAATGAACTAAATTCGAGTAAATTGACTAATCAACAGAGTTGGTGGACTTTTTTTTCAATTCAGAGGTTCTAGTCTTTGGCTACTGCCCTTTCAAGTGCGAATTCATTTTTATGAATGATTATTTTATACGTTTAAATAAACACAGACTTTCCATAAAATGTATATGTAGAAAAAAATTGGAAATTTATTTTTTAGTTTTCCTTTTCTTTTCTGATAGTTGAATATTTAGTAATAAAAAAAGGAATTGTATCATTTTGAATGAAGTATTTTTTAAAAATCCTACATTTGGCGTATCATTCTTTCTCCAGTTAATTAATTTTTGCCTTTTTGCTCATGTCAAATTATGTACGAAAGAATTATGCGCTAAAATTATTATTATGAATGGCTGATAAGAAAAAAAATAGAATTTGATGGTTTGTAAGAATTTTTGGATACTTTTGTCACACGTGATCGTTGGGAGATAATAATGTATTTTTTAAATGTAAAACTAATAAACTGATTCCCCGAGAATAAATTTATTTCTGTTTTTCAATTTGAATTCAATTATAAAATAAATTAAATATTTTAATGAATTTTATTTGTTTACTTTTAAAAATTATTTTTAATTATAATCGTATTTTTGAAGAATTCCAACTAAAAATTTGGAAAATATTTGAATTTTAAAAAAACTTTAGAAATTAAATAAATAGTTTAAAAAAATTTTTTAAATAATCAAAAATTATAAAAAAATATTTTAAAATTAAAATATCAAATTATTTAATTTGATATTGCATTTTAATAATTTAAAAAGTTAAAATACATTTTGAATTTCCCGCCTATAAAGTGTGAGGAAAATGGCGGTTTCCGTTTGGAAATTCATGCTTCAGTATTTCTTATGACTAGCGTAGTCTTGGATTTGCATATAAGTCAGATTCGCTTCCAATTCTTCTTTTATTGTTGTTTTAATTAATCAGGACGTTATAAATGTTATTTTAATTGTGAAAATTTCACAGAGAAACCAGAAACAATGAGTTTCTCAAGTGACGAAGTGAATTTTTTGGTCTATCGATACCTACAAGAATCTGGTAAATTATTTTCCGATTCAGAAATAACCTCAAAGCTTCATTTTCTTTTTCCATTAAAAAAAGTGCTGTTTTCCTTATAGTTTCCCTATTGTATTTTCAACTCTATTTTCCGTTTTGAAATAGTTTACTTATTGTTTTTCTAATTTTTTATTTGCTTCCTATTTTTTTTAATAGAAATTACAAATTTTATCGTAATCTTTCTTAAAACAAATATTTCAAATTGAACGCTTCATATTTGTGAACCGTTATTTTTCAGAAGATATTTTTATTATTTATACGATTGTTTTTATAATAAATTTTAATGTTTATTTAACTTTAGCTTTTTATGGACATTTTTCAATTTTATGGATTTTATATTTTTATGGGATTCATTATAAACAAATGTGTAGAAAAGTTGATCTTTTTTTGGTTAGAAATTGGACGCTTCTTTAGAACGAAAATAATTATTTTTCATATGTAGAGGGTATTTAATAAAATTACTCTTTATTGGATTTTAAATTCTGATCGAAATATCATATTACGTTTATTTTTACACATTTAAATCAGTTCATTGAGAATGATTGTGATGATTCTGACATAATTGACCAATATAACCTCAATTGGGAAAAACTAAGACGTCTTTTCTATAAAAAAATAAAAATATTAAATATTTAGAATATGAATTAATTTAGTCAATTTTTTTTAATTTCAAAAAAATATCAAATATTTAAAATATGAATTAATTTAGTTAATTTTTTTTCTTATTTATAAATTTTATTATTTACATATATTTACATACATTATTATTTTAAAATATTTACTAATTTACCACACAAAAATAATTATTTGTAATAAATATTTTACATTTTTAATTTTTCCTGGACGTAGAATAAAATATTTTAATGTTTTTAAGTTTTTCAAAGCAAAAGACAATTTTTAGTAATTTTAGAGAAATTTTTAAAAAATTGACGTCATAAAATAATTTAAAAATATTAACAATAAAAATTTTCTATTTTATTAAGTACCCAACAATTTTAACATTTAATTTTCATCTATTTTAAAATTATAAAAATAAAAAATTTTCTTTTGTCTCTATTTACTTTCGGTTGTAAAGAATTTTTATCTTAACACCTATTTTGAAGGTTCTTTTAATTCATTAACATAGTAAACAAACAGTCTTAATAATATGTTTGAATTTAATATATTAGGTAATTAATTATTAATTTATTTTGAGTAAATTATTTTCAAAGTTTAAAATTTGTTTTTTAAATTCATGTATTCATTTTCATTTGATAAACAAAAATTAAGAAATAAAAAAATATGAAAAAGTTTTTTTAAAAAATAATTTTAATTTCTGCTTTGAAATAACAAATTTAAGTAAATGTACAGAAAGTATTGTACAGGCATCACAAGTATTGTATTTACTGGCATCACAGTTGGTCCCCTTTTCCCCTTTTGTCTCCTTATTTCAATTTTAATGAATAATTTTATATTCATTTCAAAAATTAATTGAATTTTAAAATAGTCGCGTTTACAATTTTCATAGATAGATGAACTTCAAAACATTTCAATTTCAAATTTTATAAAATTTCAATTTTGAATGAATTTTAGTTGAAAACACTAAAAAAATTCGAATTTCGAAGAAGTTTCAAATGATTGCAAAAATAAAATAATTATTATCAAAAGTAATAAAATTCTTCCCAGAAATTCAATTATATTTAAAAATTTAAATAAATTCTTGTCAAAATTTCAACTCTCTTTATAAATAATAAAATTCTTCTTCAATTATTTTTAAAAATTTTAATATAATTCTTGGCAAAATTTCAATTATTTGCAAAAATTTTCCTAAATTCAATGATATTCAATATCTACTATTTTAATAAAATTTTCCAAAAGAATTCAATAATTATTTTAAAAAAATGTTATTAAAATTCTACGCAAACGTTTAATTATTTTCATAAATAATAAAATAATTTCACAGGAATTCTATTATTTACAAATTTTTTATAAATTTCTTAGCAAAAATTCCATTATTTGCATAAATAATCAAATTCATTGCAGAATTTCAATTTTTTTACTACAATTTTAATCGAATACCACGATGAAAGTAATTATTTTCCAAAATTTGATTTAAATTCGTAGAAAGAATTTGATTATTTAAAAATTTGTTGATAACATTCTTTACGAGAATTTAATACCTACTAAAAACATTCAATTATTCAATATAAATTATTTATTTTTGTATTTAAACAATTGAATTCTCGTAGAATTTTCTAATAAAAATTGATTTAAAAATGAATTTCAGTTAAAACTTTACATAATAAATAAATTATTTTCAAAAAGTTTAATTGAAATATTGAATTGAAATGATGAAAATAATTTTGAAGAAGTTTTGAAAATATGGAAAAATAATAATGATTAATATTTTTTTAAAAAAGAATATTCTTTAGGGAAAAAGTCAAAATTTTGTCTGGAAATCAGGGAAAAACAAAATTAAATTTTTGTGGCAACTCTGATTAAAATCGAATCATTTTTAAACATTTTTATAGAAGCTATATGATAAAAAAATTTGAATTATATATGCAGGTTGTATCAACAAATAAATTTTTGTCCTCTTTTTGAGGAAAAAAATTCCCCTTTTCACCTTTTTTGACAAAAAAAGGTACTGTGGTGCCTGTATTTATAAAAGAATTTAAGAAAATGATTATAAATTATATTATTGTGTTATGCGTATATTTTTTTTTGCTTCATCATATAGAAAAAAGGTATTTTTTTAAATATTACATAATTTTTTTTTCTCATAATTTTTTAATGAATTTGAAATAAAATTTTTGATTGCAATTTCAGGATTTCAACATTCAGCGTGGGTGTTTGGTATCGAGTCTCACATATCACAAAGCAATATAAATGGAGCTCTTGTGCCACCAGCTGCTTTGTTATCCATTATTCAAAAAGGGTTACAATACACCGAGGCTGAAATATCAATCAGTGAAGATGGCACAGTTCAAAGAATGGTCGAATCTTTATCGCTCATTGATGCCGTGATGCCGGATGTCGTTGCCACACGGCAAAATCAACAAAATCAACAGAAGCAACAAGTTAAAACGGAAGTACAAGACACAAATGGAGAGGAAGGTACTGCCGATAATAAATTCAAGAAAATTAATGATAAAAATAGATATAAATATACATTCACGCAATTTATTACACTACGTAATACATTTTTATTTAAATTTTGTTTATTCATTTATTTCAATATAAAATTCAATTCTCTTTTTATTTTATTATTTTATTACACTGTAAAAAAAATTTTTTCGGTAGATTCTGAATAAGTTAGTTTTTTGAAACATTTTTTTAAAATTAGTTATATTTTTAAATATATATTTAAATGGAAAATTTTCATATTATTACAAATTTTATGAAATTGTCTTGTAAACAAGTGGATTTTAGAAATATTTTAGTTTTAGGTGAACTTTTTCAACAAATATTAAAAATTATTGAATTAGAGAAGAATTTTAGAATAAATCTACAGAAATTTTTTTTACAATGTATGTATTTACTTAGATTCATTTTATTTTTCTATTCAAAAAAATTAGAAAATTTTATTTAAATGTAAATTATATTCCTAAAGTTTATAACGGTTAAAGTTTAAATGAATGAGGATTTTTTTTATCAATTTTATTTAGATTTTATTTGAAAATTATTTAGGATATTAAAAAAATTAATTCTTAACTGGACAAAAATATTTTATATACATTATTTTCCATTTAATTCATTAAATTTAAAGAAAAATATAGTTGAACGAAAAAAATGTCGTTGATTTGAACTTTTAAATCTTGAGGGAAAATTTGTAAATTAAATTTTCCTTTTGTTTATTATTTTTTGTAGATGTGAAGTATTATTGTTTTAAAAAATAATTTTAATTTAATTAAACATAAATTAAATTTTTCTTTTCTTTGTTATTTTTTGAAATTGCGAGTTATACTTTTTAAAAATAATTAAAATAGGTATTTAGTTTAATGTTTTGAAAAAAAGAAATTGATCGTAAATTTTTCATTACTCCTGGAACACCCTGGTTCGGGAATTATCACTTTTCTCGGACCTCCTAATCCAACCAGGAATATTAACAGGCGACTATTGTCTCTAGACTTTTTCGCTTTTCAAAACTCTTGCTCGTTTCATGAAAAATTTGCATTTGTACTTTTCTCAAAATAAGAAGTTTACATTTTTATACATGAAAATAGTGGGGGTTTTGAATTTCTTTTCGAAAAATGTCTATTGAACTGGAGCAAACAAACTTTATTAATTATTAAATATTTCTTTTTTTCTCATTTTTACTTAAAAAAATGTAACGTAAAAGCTTAAAAAAATGTTTTTCAAATATTATAATCTATATTAATAATAATCGTTGTATTCCGGTAATCTGTTCGCAGTTTGAATTTAGTTGTTGTTTGCTTTTTTGTTTCCTAACTTTTTAAATCATTTTTTTTTTAATATTTTCAATTTTAAAATAAATGTATTAAAAATCATTCTTGCTAAGAATTTTATTAAAAAATTTGAAGATGATTGAATTCATTTCTAGAAGTTTGTCAATATTTTTTTCAATAATTGAATTCTTTCGAGAAAATGTAATTAAAATTCTATTGAAAATAATTCAATTATTATTTTCAATAATTGTAATTAAATTCTTTGCAAAAAGTCAATTTATAAATAATAAAAATCTTTGTAAAAAGTTTAATTATTATTATATAAATAATAAAATTCTTTTGAGGATTTCACTTATTTTCAATACAATTTTAATTGATTTCTTCAAAAATTTCAATTATTAGTAAAGAATTTATTTCAATATTCTTGAAAATAATAAAGTTTTTTTTAATAATTTTTACTAAAGATTTTGAAAATAATTAAATTTTATGAAGAATCTCTTTTAAGTTTTTAAAATAATCGTGTTTATTATTAATTATTGTAATGGACAATTTTCTTATTAAATTATATTAAAATTATTCATAGAAAATTAAATTCTTTATTATTATTATTATTTATTTCTCCATTGTACACTTTACATAAGTTTTACAATATACTTTCCCGCAATACTTAAATTTAAAATATCTTATAAATAGTAGTATTAATTCTCTATACATTAAATCACATCAGTTAGATTGAACTTCATTTAACAAATCATTTCTTAATTATAAATTACAACATGTAGTCTTTGATTTTAGAAAATTAAATTCTTTTAAATACCTAATTTTATTAGAGTTTTTATAAATAATTACATTTTTTTAAGAATTTAATTAAATTTCATAAAAATAATGTAATTTTGAAAAACTTTTAACCTTTATGGGACTGACGAGGTACCCGGGTACCTTTTGCATTTTAAAATTGATTTTTTTCATATTTTTTAAAATCGTAGCGACCCAGGGTTTTTTGACATCTCAAATTTATCCATATAAAGTGTTTTTACATTATTTATAATGTACTTTGTTTATTTATTTATTCTGAAATATTAAACAAAGTTTCTTCACCCATAAAAGGCGGACGAGGTACCCGGGTACCTCTGTACATTTCAGGCTAATAGATGTTGAAATTTCTATTAAAAAATTATGAAAAATTTCAAAAAACAATTTTTTATAGTACTACACATAATTTGTTTATAAAATATGTAATTCAGTTGCTATAATTAATAATAATATCCATAAGAAATCGTCAAATTAAACATAGGTACCCGGGTACCTCGTCCGTCCATAGAAGGTGTTTTTTCCTCAGTCCCATAAAGGTTAAAAATAACTTTTGAGAACAATTGAATTGTTTAGAAAACTTTTATTACAATTTTTAAAAATAATTGAACCTGTTTGAGAAATTTTATTAAATATAATTATTAAATATAATTAAATATAATTGAATTTTTTTTCTAGAAATTTTATTAAAATTGAATTGAAAATAATTGAATTTTTATTAAAACTCTTGAAAGTAATTGAATTTAAATAATATTTTTAAAATAATTATATTCTTTCGAGAAATTTTGTTAAAATTTTATTGAAAATAATTGAATTCCTCCGAAACATTTTATTATTTATGAAAATAATGAAATTCTTACGGAGGATTTTACAATTCATAAAAAGAATTGAATTGTTTCAATGAATTTTATCTGAATTTTTAAAAATAATTGTATTCTTTCAAGAAATTTTATTAAAATTGTATTGAAAATGATTGAATTGCTCTAAAGAATTTTATTATTTATGAGATCAGAATAATGAAATTCTTACGACAAATTTGATTAAAATTTTTTTATATTAATAAACAAGAATATTTAATATTATGTACGTAATAAGTGGATTCTTCAAATTTTAAATCTGTAATCATTCAAAAATTGATGTTATTCCGCGCTTATCATTTGCTATTTTTATACTTTCACATTTTGTTTAGAAATATTTATTTATTTACTAGATGAGTAAAGAGGCTTGTGAAGATAATTGAAACGTAAAAATAAATTTTTTTCTCGACAGTTGTTACGTCGAATGAAGGCGTTGGGGCAAATGATAGAGCGGCTGATAGATCAGAAATGGAAGTTGACGATCATCAACAGGGAGCGAGCGCTGCGGCGTCAGTGAATGCAGTGGAAATACCCCCGAGTAAAGCAATGAAATTACGTGGTCATGAATCGGAGGTGTTTATTTGCGCCTGGAATCCAACGATGGATTTATTGGCATCGGGCTCAGGAGACAGTACCGCGAGAATATGGGACATGTCGGACAATACGACTTCGCCTAATCAGCTGGTTCTTCGTCATTGCATACAAAAGGGCGGCGCCGAAGTCCCAAGTAACAAAGATGTTACGAGTTTGGATTGGAATGTAACTATAATATTCATTTAAATCACTTTAATCGCCAAATTTACGTATTTACGTAAAGTAAATTTTTCATCTAAAGTTAAAATTTTAAGTCTAAGTATGAGTTTTTTGACATTTTCTTACCATTTTCCAAAGATGAGACTTTTTTCGACTTATTTTGACAGAGAGTGACTTTTGTCCTTACTGTAAAAAAATAATCAAATTACAAAAATTTGTTATTAATTTAGAACCAATTTTGAGTACTAAACCTTTATTTGTTCTATTTTAATATTTAAAAACGGCTCTAATTTAAAACTCCATTGTTTTATTTTAAATTTATTCATTTTTACACCTAAACACGGCTCTGATTTGAAACTTCTTTGTTTTAATTTGGCTTTTTTACAAAGCTAAAAAGTAAAATTATTTATTATTCATTAAAATAAATTTTTTAAAATGTAGTTTTAAATACTTTTGAAAATTTATTGTTTTGTCCGACTTGTTTTTACATTTTTGTGAATTTTAATAATAATTATAACAGAATTGTCCCAAGATAGGAAAATCAGAAAAATTGAGAAATTTTATTAAAATTAGTGAAAAATATCAAATTTCTAGAAATGCTACGAAAATTCTGATTTTTGGTGAACTTTGAAAATATTAAAATCCTTAAATTGTCCTTGAATTCTTTTTCAGCTTAAAAACTTTACAAAAAAATATAAAGTTTGATATTTTTATAGGAAATAATTAAATTTTGAATTTTTTAAAAAAGAGTTTTAGTAAAAGTTTTTTGAAGTTTTTTTTTTAATAGAGTTTTAGTAAAAATGTTTAAGAAAAATTAAATGCCAAAAGTTTTCAAGTTAAAATTTTTTATTTATTTATTTATTTAACATTGGTCCCGCAGTCCCTATGGACCATACATGGGTAACTAGATTAAAGGATATAAAATACAATATAAATTACAAAAACAAAATTGTATAGCAATTTCAATGGAAGAATAATGTCATGTTGCCGCATTTAACAAATATCGTTCAAGCATGTGTCGATATAGTGCTCAATGGTAGAAGTAAATTTGTTTAAAGAAGAAAAAAATTAGTCTAAATCTGGATTCATTTTCAAATACAAATGGTTGATATTAAAGCAAGAGAAATAAATAGGTTCAGAATATGCTATGGAGATAGATGGTGTAGACAAATAAAAGGGTTCATAATTTCGCGAGTTAAATCTCGGCACGCGAAAGTTGATTTTAGATAATATGTGAGAAATGTAAATTTGAGAATTGAGCACTTTGAACAAAAAGATTGTTGCGGTTAAAATACGTTTTTCAGCAATAGTTCTGAAGTTAAACCTCTTACACAAACGCTTATAGCTAACTAAAAATTCTAAAAATTTTAGTTTTTTGAAAAAATTTATTTCAAATCTTTTTGAAATTAGTTGAATTTTGAAATATATGTATATTATTTACTTTTAAAATCTTTCGAATAATAAAAATTTCAAGATATTGAATTGAAAACAAACTCATTTATTATAGAAAAATTTTAGATATAATTTTTCGAAAATAATAGAATATTGGAGGAGATATGGAAATATTTAAAAAATAATTAAATGTCAAAATAATTAAATTTCAAAAAGTTTAAAACTGTAATATTTATGATAATTGAAATTTTAAATAACTTTAATTAAAAATTTTGAAGAACTTAGTAATATTGAATTACAAGGAATTGAATTTTTGACCAATTTTTGTTGAACTTCCCACTTTTTTAATAATTAAACTCTTAAAGAACTTTCGAAAAATTATTAGAAAGAATTGATTTTTAGAAATAATTAAATTTCAAAAATTTTGAAAATAAAATTTTTTTAAATTTTAATTTTATGTAACTTTACTTAAATATTCTAAAGATCTCACTTTTTTTAAATTTTAGTTTGATGTTTTTTGAAATTAGTTGAATTTTTGAATATTCATTAAAGTGAAAAATTTTCTTCAAATCGAAATTTCATAATATTAACTTGAAAACAATTGAATTTTATACAAGTTTTAAGTAAATTTTCTTTTTTTTTGAAATAATTAAACTCTTGAAAAACTTTATTAAAAAACTTTTAAAATAATTGATTTAGTGAAGAGTTTTAGTTAAAAATTCTAGAAATTATTTGAATTTTTGAACAATTATAGTTTGAATGTTTAGAAATAATAAAATTTTAGAATATTTCAAGTTAAAAATTTTTAAAAAGTTCAATTTAGAATATGTATTTAATAAATAATAATATTGTTTAAATATTTATTTTAAAAAATTATTAATCATTTCAATGATTTTAGTTGAAAATTCTAGAAAAGAATTGAATTTTAGAAGAATTATTCGAGTTGTAATCTATTGAAATAATTAAAGTTTTATTAACTTAGAATTGGAATTATTTTTGGGATAAGGGAGAAAGTTTAATTTTTTTTTGTAAATCAGAGAAACATCAAGGGAATAGAAAATCAAAATGTGACAATTCTGAAAATAATAAACGACTTTTTCGACTTTCTTTTTACCTTTAAATCAACTAAAACAAGTTTTTTTTTTATTGTTTTCCACAGATGAAAAATCATAAAAATCTCAGAGCATTTTTGGTGAAATTTTGGAAATTAATTTTTAATTATTTCACCTCTTTAGACAATTTTTAATTTAACCAAATTTGGTTTTGACAGATTTTAACTAAAAAATAATTTAAAATAACAGTTTTAATCTTAACAAACTTAATTAACAGTTTGAATATGAATTACAAATTTTAAAAAAAGTTAAATTTTTAATCGGTTTTCTATACCTACATTCTGAAAATTCTGTAAATAGTAGAAAACTCGTGAAATTTTGCTAATTTATAGAAAACCTGATATTCTACTGGCGATATTTTTCCTTTTTTAAACTTTTGTTTTAAATTTGTATTACTTATATAATTATTAATAATTGTTTTTTGTGCATTTTATTGACGATTTTATCTCTTTGTTTTTCAGTGCGATGGCACCCTTTTGGCAACGGGTAGTTATGATGGTTACGCACGCATATGGACAACAGATGGTATATTGGCCTCAACTCTGGGTCAACATAAAGGACCAATATTCGCACTGAAATGGAATAAAAAGGGAAATTATATTTTGAGTGCTGGTGTTGATAAAACGACAATTATTTGGGACGCCGCTAGTGGCCAGTGTACACAGCAATTCAGTTTTCATTGTGCGCCCGCACTTGACGTCGATTGGCAAACGAATACATCGTTCGCGAGTTGCTCGACCGATCAGTGCATTCACGTGTGCAAACTGAATGTCGATAAACCAATAAAAAGCTTTCAGGGCCACACTGTAAGTTGCCAATTTATTAATCATTCACATTAGCCATAAGTCAGGAAATGAGAAAAATTGTTTAACAACATTTTTCCAAATTTTTATCCAACTAAATACAGGCCTCGGATATTATGACTTTTTCCGACTTAATTTACAAAATTGAGACTTTTTCGACTCTTCTTCCTAATACTGCAACAAAATACCACATTTTTAGTATAAAAAGCAAACTTATTTCAATTTTAATTATTTATAGTGTGAAAAATAGCTATAGACAAATATGTATTTCAAAAATTATTTTTAAACAATTTTTTTAATTAAAGTTTTGAAATATACAATTAAACAGATTTTGAATAATTGAAATTTTGTAAAATGAAAATAATTGATTTTTTTCAAGTATTTTATAAGAATTTTGGAAAATCAACTTTTTAAAGAATTTTAAATTGCAAATTTTGAAAAAAATTTTTTCAAAAAATGATTTTGAAAATCAAAAATTATTTTAAATCATTTTTAAAAAATTAATTTTAAGAATATTATCTTTATTATAATTTTTTGAAAATATTATAATTTATTAACTTTAAAAAAACATGGACAGTTACAATTATTATACAAAATTGAATTTTTGTAGGTACAAATAATTGAATCCTCGAAGAAATTTCGGAAAATTATTAAAAATAAGTTATTTAACAGTGTTGTCACAGGTCAGGGAAAAGTCAGGGATTTTTATTAAAATTTCTGAAAAAAATTAAATTTTCAGAATTCATAAGAAAATTATGAATTTTTGTGTCCGTTTTGTTTGCCTCATAAACTATGAAATTACCACGAATTCTAATACAAAACCTAATTACCTTATTACCTTATTACCTACTTAGAAATGTTTTAATGAATAATTTTACTTAAATATTTCAAAATTAATTGAATTTTAAAACAGTTGCGTTTACAATTTTCATAAACTAGATCAACTTCAAACAATTTTAATTTGAAATTTTATAAAATTTTACAATTTTCATAAACTAGATCAACTTCAAACAATTTTAATTTGAAATTTTATAAAATTTTAATAACAATTTCCAAAAGAATTCAATTATTTAGAAAAAATTTCAATAAATTTTTACTCAAACATTTTATTTTTTTCAAAAATAATAAAATTTTCATAGGAATTCAATTATTTACAAATTTTTTTATAAATATCTTCGCAATAATTCAATTATTATCATAAATAATACAATTTTTACAGAGATTCAATTATTTTCAAAAAATAATAAAATTCTTTTTAGGAATTCAATTATTTTAATAAATAATATAACACATCGAAGAATTTCAATTATTTTTAATACAATTTTAATCGAATTCCTCGAAAAATGTAATTATTCTTAAAAATTTTATTCAAATTTGTCGATAGAATTCAATTATTTAGAAATTTGTTGATAAAATTCTTTATGAGAATTCAATTATAAAAAACATTCAAGTATTGAATAAATTATTTATTTTTGTATTTTAATAATAAATTGAACTCTCGTTGAATTTTCTAATAAAAATTGATATAAAAATGAATTTTAGTTAAAATTTTAGATAATAATTGAATATTAATAGCATTATAGCGTGAATTTTGAAAAGGTTTCACATTAAAAACTTTGAAAATCTGAATTTTTAATACTTTTAACAAACAATTCAGTAGAATTAATTTTTTTGAAAAAATTAAATTGAATTTTTTAAAAAAATTATTTTAAGTTTTTATTTTCTAATATATATATATTTAATTGGAGAATTTCCGAAAAATCGAAATTTCGTAAAATTGAATTGTAAACAAATGGATTTCAAAATTCTCAAATAACTTGGACAAATGGTATTAAAAACTAGCAAACGATTCATGACCACGTAATTTCATTGTTTTACTCGGAGGACACTGCACTGTTTCAGAGGAATTCAATTATTTTTAATAAAATTTTAATAAAATTTCTTTAAAGAATACAATTATTTTAAAAATATTATTTGAATTCAATTACTTTCAAGAGTTTCAATAAAAATTCAATTATTTTCAACAATTCTGATAAAAAATTCTTCGAAACAATTCAATTATTTTCAATTCAATTTTAATAAAATTTCTATGAAAAAAAATTCAATTATATTAAAGATAATTTTTAGTAAAATTTCTCAAACAGGTTCAATTATTTTTAAAAATTATAATACATTTTTTCCAAACAATTAAATTGTTCTCAAAAGTTTTTTTCAAAAGTTTCTCAGAATTACAGTATTTTTACGAAATTTAATTAAATTCTTTAAAAAAATGTAATTATTCACAAGAACTCTAATACAATTAAAAAGAATTTAATTTTCTATGAATAATTTTAATATAATTTAATAGGAAAATTGTTAATTACAATAATTAATAATAAACACGATTATTTTAAAAACTTAAAAGAAATTCCTCATAAAATTTAATTATTTTCAAAATCTTTAGTAAACATTATTAAAAAAAACTTTATTATTTTCAAGAATATTGAAATAACTTCTTTACAAATAATTGAAATTTTCGAAAAAATCAATTAAAATTGTATTGAAAATAAGTGAAATCCTCATAAGAATTTTATTATTTATATAATAATAATTAAATTTTTTACAAAGATTTTTATTATTTATAAATTGACTTTTTCCAAAGAATTTAATTACAATTATTGAAAATAATAATTAAATTATTTTCAATACAATTTTAATTACATTTTCTCGAAAGAATTTAATTATTGAAAAAAATGTTGACAAAATTCTTGAAATGAATTCAATCATTTTCAAATTTTTTAATAAAATTCTTAGCAAGAATGATTTTCAATACATTTATTTTAAAATTGAAAATATTTTAAAAGAAAAATTATTAAAAAAGTTACGAAACAAAAAAGCAAACAATAACTAAGTTCAAACTACGAACAGATTACCGAAATACTACGATTATTAATATAGATAATTGATTTAAAGAAGAATTTTAGTTGAAAATTATAGAAAATAATAATTGAATTGAAATGGTGAAAATAATTTTGAAACAATATTCTGATAATATAAAATAATGATTTTATCACTCGGTCATCTTTAATTATTCTTAAACATGAAGAAATGGATCACTTCGAGTCGAAGACTTGTAGTGATCGATTTTTACAAGTTTTAGAATAATATTCTTATAAGTTGTTAAATTTCAACCAAATTTCAAAAATTCAAATTTTTCAAAATCTTAATTCCTATGGGAAAATAATAATGATTAAATATTTATTTAAAAACGAAGTTATTTATTTATGTTTTCGAATAATTTTACAATTAAAGAAATTCGTAAATAAATGTAACGGAACATTTTTTTTTTATTATCTAAAGAATTTTAGAGTGAATCAGAATATTCTTTATGGTCAGGGAAAAAGTCAAAATTTTGTCTGGAAACCAGGGAAAAGTCTGGGAAAAATAATTGAATTTAGGAGTTGTAATTTTTAGAAATTATTAAATTTCAGGTTTTAAATTGAAATTTTAAAAATTTTATTTCTTGTGGAAAATCAAATGTGAAGTAAGATATAAATATTTATTTAACTAAATTATTCAATTTTTGAATAATTGAATTTAAAAAGTAATGAAAGGTCAGGGAAATACAAAATTAAATTTTTGTGACAGCATTTAATTAAATAAATGACATCTTCGTCTTTTTTGTATTTTTAATCGACTAAATCGACTTTTTTTGCGCTTTAAAGTCGATCCAAGGCCGGTAAATAAATTTTCGATAAATTGAAAGAATTTTGATGCAATTAAGGTTGAAAATTTATTTAAATTCTGTTTTTAAATTTATTTAAATTGTCTTAAATTATCTATTATTTAAGTTAAAAGTAAAAAAAAAATATTTCTATTTAAAAAAAGGAATATTTTTAGTTTATATAATTGAAATGAATTTCTATTTTCCCCGTTTCAGAATGAAGTGAACGCGATAAAATGGGATCCGCAGGGAAATTTGTTGGCGAGTTGTTCGGACGATATGAGTTTGAAAGTGTGGTCAATGAAGCAAGACACATGGGTGCATGATTTACAAGCGCATAGTAAAGAAATTTACACTATTAAATGGTCGCCGACAGGTCCTGGAACTCGAAATCCAAATATGAATTTAACATTGGCCAGTGCATCGTTCGATTCAACGGTGAGATTATGGGATGTCGAAAAAGGCGTTTGCACTCATACTCTCACAAAACATACGGAGCCAGTTTATAGTGTTGGTTTCAGTCCTGATGGTAAATTTCTTGCCAGCGGAAGCTTCGATAAGTGTGTACACATTTGGTCAACACAGGTATAACAATTTTTATTCAATAAATTATTATCTTCCAAAATAATTCTAAACATTCGAATGAAGGAAATCATTTTTCTATAATTAATATTTTTTTTTAAATTACCGAATGCAATAGAAAACAAAAAAGTAAGTTGAACATTTTGAAAATTTATAATTTATTGTTTTAATATGTGAAGTAAAATTATTTTATTATTAAAATCTTAATAATATTGAATAAATAAATAAATTTAATTTTTACGTTAATTTGACTGTTCAGAATTTTTACGACTTAGTTTTAAAAAATGCGACTTTTTCGACTTTTCTTCTATATTTTTGACATAAAATGCTTCTAAATTATCATTCATTCAAGTAAATTTTAAACATTTAGTTTGAAATGGATTTTTTAAAAATTCATTTTACTCTTTTTTTACATTTTTATGAATTTCGACATATTCAGGTTTGGCACAGGTCAGGGAAAAGTCAGGGAATTTTATCAAAAGTAGAGAAAAATATAAAATTTCTAGAAATGCTACAAAAATTCTAGTTTTTGGTCTCTTTTGAAAATATTAAAAATCTTAAATAATTTTCATTGAATTTTTTTTTCTTTAAAAACTCTAAAAATGATATGAAGAATTACAGTTGCAATTTTTGAAAAATGTAAAATTTTACATTTAAATAAATGAATTCTTGATGAAATTTCTGAAAATTGATAAAATTGATTATATTGCTAAAGAAATAAATAATTGATTAATAAAATTCTTTGAATTAATTAACTTTAATTAAAAAATTGTTATAAAATGGTAAGAAGAATTTAATTATTTTCTAAAAATTTCAATAAAATTCAATAATTAAATCATAATTAAATGTTTAATTTCAATTATTAACAAACACGATTAGTTTAAAAACTTGAAAGAAATTCTTCATAAAATTCAATTACTTTCAAAATTTTCAATTAAAATTAATAAAGAAATCCCATTATTTTTAAATTGAATTATTTTCATAAATAATAAAATTCTTCGAAGGAATTAAATTATTTTCAAATATTTTGATAACATTTTTTGCAAGAATTCAATGATTTTCAATACATTAATTTTATACATAATTCAAAACATTTGAAAAGAAAAATTATATAAAAGGTTTGAAAAGAAAATGCAAACAACTGACCGTAAATTTGCTTCAAATCCGTAAAAGCCAGTCTTTTTGAAAAAAGGTCCCTAAAGTCCGTAATTCGATTGAGAAAAGACGAAAAATTCGTAAATTGTACGATATAATTTAGAGAAATTACAAATGATTGCAGAAATTCAATTATTATTTTTAAAAGTAATAAAATTCAATAAATTAATTTTTTCGATTTTTGGAAGACGTAAATTTAAATATTTTATTTTTTTGTTGTATTGCGTTTATTTATGTTTTTAATTTATTGACGTGATGTTTATTTATTGACTTTAACTAGTGACCTGATGATGGTGGCGAACCTGACCACCGAAACGTCGTCTATTTTATAAAAAAGTAAAAGAGTGTTTTTCTTTTACCTTTTATATACGTCTTCCAAAAATCGAAAAAATTAATTTATTAAATAACTGTGGAAGAATTTACTAAATATTTAAGTAATAAAATTCTTTGCACAAATTCAATTATGTTCCAAATTTTTCAAAAAATTCTCGTCAAAATTTCAATTATCTTTAGAAATAATTCAATTCTTCTCCAAAATTCAATTATTTTCAAAAATTTCAATAATTTTCAAAAATTTTCCTCAATTCAATGATTTTTAATATCTACTATTTTAATAAAATTTTCCAAAAGAATTGAATTATTTAAAAATTTTGCAATAAAATTCTACGCATAATTATTATTTTCATAAAATAATAAAAATTTCATAGGAATTCAATTATTTACAAATTTTTTATAAATTTCTTGAAAAGAAATTCAATTATTTTCATAAATAATAAAATTCTTTCTAGGAATTCAATTATTTTCACAAATAATAAAACTCATAGCAGAAGTTTAATTATTTTTAATGCAATTTCAATCAAATTCCTCGAAAAATGTAAATTATTCTTTAAAATTTTATTCAAATTCGTCAAAAGAATTCAATCATTTAAAAATTTATTGATTTATTCAATAAAATGTTTTTTTTTGTATTTAAATAATTAAATTCTAGTAGAATTTTCTAATAAAAATTTATTTGAAAATAGATTTGAGTTAAAATTTTAGATTATAATAGAATATATTAAAAGCATTAGAGCGTGAATTTTAAGAAATAATTGAATTTTGAAAAGGTTTCAAATTAAAATCTTTGAAAATCTGAATTTTTCATATTTTCAAATAATAATTCTGTGGAATTCATTTTTTTGAGAAAGTTTAATTGCGGATTTTTTAAAAAAATTATTTGAAGTTTTTATTTTCTAATATATATATATTTAATTGATGAATTTACGAATAATTGAAATTTCGTAAAATTGAATTTTGTAAACAAATGAATTTGAAAATTGTCAAAGAACTTTTTCGAAAATTATTAAAAACAATCGATTTAAAGAAGAATTTTAGTTATAAATTCACGAAAATAATTATTGGATTTTTTGCACCTTTCAATTCGAGGTTTAAAATTATGTTTTATTTTCACATTATTTTTACACTCTAGTAATAATTTGTATTGAATGAAATTAATCGTAATTTATAATTTACAGAGCGGACAGCTCGTACACAGTTACAAGGGAACTGGTGGCATTTTTGAAGTATGCTGGAATAGTCGTGGTGACAAAGTTGGAGCATCTGCAAGTGATGGCAGTGTATTTGTACTTGATCTTCGTAAACTGTGATTACAATCGACCGGTTAGGTTTGCTGAACATTTTTTCTTTTTTTAAATTTCAATTCGTGAGAGACAATTTATACAATGAAATTCTATTTTATTTCAACTTTTAATGTTTCCATTGTACATATTGTACGATTTTTATCTCTCGAAAAAAAAACTCTTTTTAAGTACAACCTAATCAAGAAAAAGTGGTTTACTTTGACTGACATATTTTCTTTCTGTTTCTTTTTTTTTAATTTAATTTTTCTCATTCTTCTTTCAACAAATTATATTATTATATATATATCCTCAATGGAAAAAATTTGATTTACAATTGTCTATGATTAGTTTTTTGTGAAATTATATTAATATTTAGAAGAAAACAAGAAAAATTGAAGGAGAAACTAGTGAAGGATAAAGGGGAAAATTAATTTATAACAAATTTTTGTTTTATAATGGAGGAAAAAAAAGATGAAGAATAAATTTCTTTTTATTCGTAAAAAACGAGAAAATTAAGAATTATTTAGAAATAAGTTATAAGATTTTTCAAAATGTGGTAGATTTTTTTTACATTTATTATCGGACGTTTATTTTATATTTAATGAAAAAAATCTAGATGTAATTCATTGTAATGTTAATAATGAGTATTAAGGCACATATATTAGATTAATAAAGTTTTTTAATGAACGACGAATGGAATTTTTACCTAAAATTTAATTTTTGTTGTTTGAATCTTTAGTTAAAAATTATTATTTTCTAAATTGTCTTATATTTCTAAGTTCTTTGTTATTCAATTATTATTTTTTATTTATATTTCTTATTTTTTTAAGTATGTAAATTTTATTTTTTAAAATTTTTATTCGTTTAGTACAAATTTATATTATTTAACTCTTTAAAAGAAAAAATGTTATTTATTTTTCTTTTTGATAATGAAATATAATTTTCGGAATTCATGTGCAATTTTAATACAAGTTTAATGATGAATTTTGAAATCTATTTCGAACACATATATGTTCGCGGCTGAATAATGATTATATCCCTAATGGAATGACTAATGAGAGTGATCAAATTATCGCAATCGATTCTGCATTGTGTTGAGTTACTTTAGAGTTTCATAATTATTGTAAATTTCATCAATTTCAATTACCAAAAATAACACAGAAACTACATTTTTATTTCAAAAAGTTTTTAAATTTACATCAGATTATTTTTTAAAGAAAAATTTCTTTTTTAAAAAATAATTCTCAAAAATTAATAAGAAAAAAAAAGTAAACGCTATTTTTTTAATATTGAATTTATATTTTTAAAAATTTTTCATAATTAAATGTAGAATTTTTGTGATTTAATATTAAAGTACATTTAATTTTTAAATTTGATTATTACTAATATTTATCTTGTTTATTCGTTTTTACATTTTTATTTTTGTTTTTGATATACAGTGAAATATAATTTCCTATAAAATTTCTTCAAATTGTGTTGTAATTTTTTAAGAACATATTCCTAAAAGATAATTAATATTTTATTAAATAACATACACGGAAAAGTTCTTGGGCGAGTCGCTGTACCTGTTGTGGTGGCGCTGAGTGACCAGTACAGTAGATAAACAAAGTGAGTTCTACGCGATAGTTCTCAAGGCTGCCGCTAGAGGCGCCACTGGCGCTGCAGTCGGTGAATGGCGCGCGTTTTTGAAATTAGTTCGCGAGGCCGCCACTAGCGCTGCAGTCGGTTATGGCGCGTATATTTGAAATTGTTAAATTTCTACCTAACCCTAATTTCTAGCCTAACCCTTTTTACTAGTGCAATTTGCTATGTGTGAATCCGTGAGTTGGGTATAAATATCTGGAATTCAATGCCAACCCACAGTCGGTATTGCAGATTCCATCATTAACAGTTGATTGAAATGCAGATTCCTACCCTACATTTTAATTCAACCGTCAGAGTAGGGAACTGTTTTTTCGACATGTTTCGACCCTCATCTGTGTTATATTTTACACATGTGTTAGTGCAATTTGTGATGTGTGAATCTGTATATTGGGTATATGTACACACGACAAAGAAATTTACCTGGAACAACCATAAATTTCACTATATTAACGAAAGTTTTAGTTATTTCAGTTAAGACTTTCACCTTATTGCAGTTCCAGTTAAAATTTTATTTCCGTGTACAACACCTGAAATAGATTTCAGATATTCACACCTGTCTCTTTTTAATTAATTATTAATTCATTAATGATTTGTCTTATCTATCCAAATATTTTATTTTAACGAGTCTTGAAAATTTTTTTCTTCAAGACAAGTACATATCAGGATATTTTACTTTAAGAGCTTTCTTATTATATAATCATTATAAAATATACATTACAATTAAATGTAAGTAGTTTTTTATCAGTTGATATTAATTCATTGTTGAATCATAGTTGATGCATTAATGACTCATTGTTGATTCGTTAATGATTCATCGGTGATTAATTAATGATTTATTATTGATTCATTAATGGTTTACGGTTAAATAATTCTTTAAAGATTCATTATTGATTAATTTCTTATTAATTTTTTGAATAATAATAATTTATTAGTTAATGATTTGTCTTGTCTATATAAATACACAGAGAAAAATTAATAGTCAAAATTACACTGAGAGAAGTTTAGCACAGCATCTGAACTCAGATACAGCAGCCGCGTGAAATGAGGGTTAGATATTGTTCCCTGATTTTATTCAGATGCTGAGATAAAATAGAACAGCATATGTGCTAAAACTTTCGTATATGTGTTAAAAGTTTAGTTTCTGTAATTCTGTACACCAGAACGAGAAGTCTTTAAAACCGTGGGACCAATGTTGCGCGGAAGGTTAGGTACAGAATCTGAAACATGCGCAATGCAGAATCTGAGCTAAACTTCCCTCAGATACACCAGATCATGGACGAATATACGTTGAAAGACTTTTCATTTCAAAAAGGGTAAAATGATGTTTTTATGTTACTTAATCGTATGAACGTATCCACTATTAATACAGTTCAAACTAATAAGTGGGTCTCTACTAAACGAAAAATAATATATTTTTCTCATCTAAAATTGCGCGAAATTGTAGTAGAGGTGGGAGGGGGTGAATCTCAAAAAAAAAACTACATGACATCATTTGGGAACGCTTCCTAACCAATTGACAAATATTTCAGTTCATTATTGGTTCATTAATGACTCATTGTTAATTCATTGTTGATTCCTTAATGATTCATACTTGATTTATTTATGATCCATTGATGATTCATTAATGTCTCATTGTTAATAAATTAATGATTGATAGTTGATTTATTTATAATTCATTATTGATTCATTGTTAATTCATAGGGGCCATCCATAAACCACGTAGCCTCTTGAGGGGGAGGGGGGGGGGGTCAAGCAATTGACTACGACAAGAGGAAAAAATGGCGCTAATACATGTAATAGCGTACTACATGGGGGGAGGGGGGGGGTCAAAATTCCCCAAAAATGGGGCTACGTGGTTTATGGACGGTCCCATAGTTGATTCACTAATGACACATTGTTGATTCATTAATGATTCATAGCTGATTTTTTATGATTCATTAATGACTCATTGTTAATTAATTGTTGATTTATTAATGACTTATAGTTGATTTATTTATAATTAATTGTTGATTCATTAATTATTCATAGTTGATTTATTAATGGTTCATAGTTGATTTTTTATGATTCATTCTTGATTCATTAATGATTCATTGTTGATTCATTAATGACTAATTGTTGATTTATTAATGCTTCAGTGTTGATTTATTAATTATTTACTGTTTTTTCATTAATGATCTGTCTTAAATATCCAACTATTATTGAAAATGAATGATGAAATGTTAATAGTAGTGAATAAACTCCATACATTAGGTTGAAAAACTTATCGATGTCGAGTAAAAATGCTTGGTATTGTAGATTTAGTAGATTTTAGTAGATTTAGTAGAAATGATATCTTATTTTAAAATAAATAGATATTTTTTCCAAATATTTTTGGGCTGTTCCTGTAGAGAATAAAAATGGAAAAGATGTTGCTGATGCAATGTAATATTTAGTAAATAAATGTATTCCAAAATACCTGCATTCAGATAATGAAAAGAAAATAATCTTACAATTAACAATTTGAATCAGAAACGAAAATGAATAAAATTACTTTTAATCAGCATGCAGGAATCTAAAAAATGTCAGTTGTTGAACGATTTAATAGAACACTTAAGAGTGAAGGTGTAAATTTAGAAGTTGTTGACACATTAAAAGTACGTTTTTTAAAATTAAAAAAAGTACCGCAGTGAATACCAAAGTTAAAAAAATCATGATAAAGTACGAGTCATCAAATAAAACATTAACTAAAACATTCACCATTGGGGTCGTCCATAAATTAATTAAAACATTTATGGGGGAGGGTCTACACGGAAAAAAAGTACGTGAATCCTTCCTTGAAAGTGCTTGACTTTTGGATAGGACACAAAATACAAGGCTGTATCATATACTTTTTATTAGAAAATATAGAAAAGTCCTAGAGTTATTCTAGTACTAGTATGGGCAACAGTGTTTTTTAAATTTTAACGAAAAGTCATTTGTTCAGTTTTATAAAGTACGTGAAAGATTAGTTGACTGCGCTTGAAAATTCTGTAGAGCATGCGCAGTGTGCGTTGCGCGTTTCTACCCAAGGTAAATGCCAGCTGATCGTCTGTTTCCATTTGTGTTAATTTCAGATGTGAATATACTATTATTTTATGAAAAACAAATAGTGTTAATATATATTTGTCTTCAAGAATTGACTTTCAAAAAAATATTTTTTATTTTGTGTTTCTCACAAAACAGAATGTTATGTAAGTATCAGTTTTCAGTGAAATAGCATGTCTCAGAAGTCGTGAAAAATTTCACCATGTGGTATATAAGAACAATTCGATACGTACTTTTAAGTGTTAAAAGTGTGTTTATATTTAAGTTATACGCGAATATATGTGTGTGTTATAGGTTAGTTCATAAGTGTTGACGAACGTCGAAAAGTGATACAATAATTGTTCTTTGTTTGTGTAATTAATTATCCAAATATGTGAATAAATTTCAGAAAAACTGTGTGAACAAGTGGAAGTTATTTTTTTTTATTTTACAATTTTTTTGAAAGTCAATGAAATTCTTAAGCAAGGTTATTTTTAGAAATTTTCATTGACTGCTTTTGAAACTCTCATGCAAAAGTACAAGACTGTTTTCAGTATTTTGTGTCGTATCCTAAAGTCAAGTATCGAGTCAATGAAAATTTCACGTATTTTTTTTCCGTGTAGCTAGTTCTTACGAACAATAGAAAAAATTGAGCTGATGTATGTAAAATATCTTACTAGGAGGAGGGGGGGGGGGGGGGGGGAAGGTTAAATTTTCAAAAAATATTTTACGTAATTTATGGACGGCCCCATTGACAAAGTTGTATCAACTACACCTGTGACTTATAAGATCAATAATTACTATAGGACCAACCAATAAGTAAAATATCCTGGTACATATCTTGTAGAAAAAGTTGTCAAGTCTCGTGGAAATAAAATTTTGATTAAGTGGTTAGACTTTAATTATTATCAAAACAGTTGGATAGATAAGACAAATTATTAATGAATCAACTAACAATTATTATTGTTGACTATTGAAAACTACTTAAATTGTATTATAAT